CCGCTGTGTATCATGCACCAGGTCACACCGTCACACATTTTACACACTTTAGCGTCGCATCGATTTCATCTGTTTAAACACATGGACGGACAGACAGGGTATCCCGACCGCCTTTGACTTCAACTTCTCCAACCACACCAACTGTGACGGAACAGCAGGGGATCACCTGTGGGTTGGCTCGGATGTGATGGGACGGGACACTGGTGGACTCGCTCGCTAGCCCCCAAACATCCAATGCCACTGCACGCAACCACGAGGCACGGCAATATACCTCTTGGGAACATCGAGCCACAGCTGACGCGACTAGCCATCTGTACACTACTACTGCGCATGGTGGCCCGCAATCGACGTATTCCACCGCTTCCATCCGTCTCGCGACTTGCCGCCAAGCGCAACAGAACAGGCGAGCAGGAGACGAAGGAGAAAAAGTTCGTAGCAAAACTTCGGCTAGCAGGTCCGCCAGACAAGATACTGTTTCTGTCCTATCGAGTCTCCGTGTCTTTCCCACAGAATGCCAGAGATTTCGACCACTGGCACATTGCAGCCCAATATGGAATGACACAGAGGTCAGACTGCCATTTCTCGACACCTTTAAAAAAACCAAGTGGTGAGCCGCGGCGGGAGGATGCAAGTTGGTGCACGCCAGTTCCATATTTGAACTCTCCGCAGGATGCCAATGCTAACGATTTAATTAGCCTGCTTCCTTCCTGGTAACGCCCTTCATTGGCCCATGTTCGACGTGAGGCAAAGCCAACTGGAAATCTCGGGCGAGCAAGACAGTGAGCCCAGTCGGGGAGCTCAGAGCCGTTCCCATGCCAGTGGCGCAAGTGTTTCCAAGAGCCCGTTATCCTGGGATCCTTCGGGCCATTCCACGTCGGCCGCGCGGTTCCACCCACTCTACCACTGCCCCACCAGGACTTGGGGTAGGAGTACGGAGTAGCTTTCCTTGTCGCTGTCAGATTACCGCCAGTTCCCGTCCCAGTTCTGGGTCAACGACCAGGCCCGAAGAGCGACCACAAGTGCGGGCAACCCAGCCAGGGCAGACGGAGCAGGGAGGCTGGCAGGCATCATGGGGGGGCATGGATCCATCCGCACGCGGCCTGGAAGCAACATGGGCCCAGACAAGAGGTCAAGACTCAGGAGAGGGTACCCGGGTGGCATCTCAGTGGTGCAGGAAGGGTGCCCTGGCCGATTAACCCCTGGGCTTACTGAGGAGCGAGCCTGCTGACCGGCCCATCATCATCCATTGCCATGATATTCGCCGGAAGCGTGCAGAGCAGTGGGCCAAAAGGATATGACCAAACCAAAGAAACAGAGTCAGCCGAGAGCTGAAGACAAAGTCAACGCCAACCGCGCATCATTATGACAGCGTCGGCCTCGGGCCAACAAGAACGATTATCGAAGAGAGCTCCGCCAGGGATATGGTCTACTACTACCAGAACAATCCACCGAAATTTATCGAGTTGGTCTGTTGAAGTTCGGTCAACAGCTCGCTGATCGTCGTCAACGGTGTGGAGGCATGAGATTTGTCTCTGGAGCACTTATCAGCAGCAAGCAAGTTCTGACAGTCGACTAGGTACTCTAACAATCTATCCCCGTGAGCCATGGAACTAGAAAAAAGAAAATTTCTCTTCTTGAGGAATCAAAATGCCAATTTCAGTATGACACGCGATCATCCAAGTTGGCAAGCACGCATACAGGTTACACAGTGACCCTAGGACTAAGTGGTTACTGGTCAGTGGTACGGTACACGCAAATTGGGGCCCACACCCTTTCGAGAATCTCACAGCACTCGCAAATTGGCCATCTCGGACCAGGCTAAAGGACATTAGAGATTTGCATTATCGTTCTGTCGCTTGACTCTGGAAAAATTGACCACAACGCAGTCAATGGCGCGATATCGGTATGTACGAATAGCTTACTCCGGGCATCATCGAAACCCAGCTATCCTCCTTTCAGCACTGGGGTCTGTGGCCAGGAATTTCTTCTTTCGGCTTGGTTTGGACACCTCGCACATTTGAGTCAGACACCACGCCGAGGCCTGCCTACTGAAGCATGCCTCTTTTCCCTATTCATGAGCCATACAAAAGGGTACGGTTGTCAGCAACGCCACGACAAGAGGAACGGATCGAGTGCAACGGTTTCTGTTTGGCTCCTACGGCCGAACGCGGGTCATCGCGCGACCTGCTGGGAGATAAGGTAGGCTTCAGCCATTAACGGCCGGTGCGACGATACAGATTGACAGAGCAAATTCAGCCCCTAGACTCGATTTTGCTCCAGAGTACGGCCCAGCAACCCTTTGCTTTCGGAATTTTGGGCTTAAGGGGTCATCCTAGCCAACTTCGTCGTACTTAATCGGAACACTTCATATCAGCCGGTTTAATTTCCAGTCATCACTACTCCGTAGTAAAGGACTCGACAAAATACGCCGTCTGGTATTTCTGAAACCCGATCATCGCAGATTTCCCGCCCGGGATGCTGTGGAGTTGATGACGCCGACCAGGATGGCTTGAGTGGTTTCGGGGTTTCGGGGCCCTGGCATTTCCAACATGTTCACATTTCACTTGTCGCAGAGCACCAGCTGCCACTCGTTTGGCAGAGGAAGTCCAGGATGCACACTACCTTACACATGGATTCCTCAGCATCTCAGCCCACCTGAGTGGACGGGGGTTCGTTCCGATCGAGACCCGTTGGTTGATCTATTCCGTTGCTGCCCACAAACAAGCGTGGAGCGGCGAGGCGCAGGAAGAAGACATCACAGGACCACGGAGCGCTGTGACGCAGACTCACGCAGCTAGGAGCCAGGCAGGGATTTGTTACTGGTGCTGCTGCTGTGGTGGTATCCGTACGGATACTCAGTACTTCGTACTCGGCGTGGCAGGCTATGAGACCCCTCTGGATACGTACCGATCCCGATCAGCCACGGATACCTACGGAGTAGTGCAAGTGCATGGTTATTGTGGACGTCGCGTCTGCATATTCACATCTTAGTGAGTATCCTACCTACATCAGCAATCCATTCCCCTAACTACGTCGTCGCGGCCCGCGTCCTCCTCGCGATCCCACTGGATCCTGTCTTCCAGTATCAGCTGGGCCGTGCCTTGAGACGCGACTCAACGCGTTCGTATGATCATATCCGAAGTTGGGATTCCCAGTCGAGTTCGCATCAAACTAGGTTCTTGTTTTATTGCAGAAAATGAGGGCCACCTTGGGTTACTCCTAGGTCTGCGGTGTGCCTCTACCTCCGCACTGTATTATCCGTACCCTCCACTGCACGGAGTTCACGGGCTTCGAGGCAACGAGACCCCGGCTACGGCACCCAGAAGTTCGCCTCCCGTCGGCGTTCCACGGCAAGATCCGCAACACGGAGAAACGCGGGCATCCCAAGGTCTGCCCGCCCGCGTGTGAGCTGCGGCCCTCCCGCGAATCCCATCAGAGTTGGGCAGCTGTTCTGCTTCGTTACCGGACTAACTTAGCCTGACATTTCCGCTCGATCTAGCCATATCAGCCTCCAAGTACGGCTGCCTGATTGCTTAAGCTCGGCCCGGCTAAGTTTGCTGTGCTGTCAGCCCAGCAGAATGGCTGGCCACTACGGCTCAGCATTGAGCCCAGGCTAGGGATACAGACTCTCTAACGTCCACGACCAGGACTGTAGCTGCCGACAAACAGCTCTCAGCCATGTCGAGAATATTGCGTCAGAGATTTCTACTGCTTGGGCGTACAGAGATCGAGCATCACAAGGACTAAGACGAGGCGAAAGGGGCGTCCCGCGCTGAGACACCACCAAGGAATACAAGACACTAGGATCTGATATGCGTGGTACGGAGTAGGAAGAGAGACCCTACCAAGGCAACAGATCGGAAGCGTGCGTGGACTGGCATTTCAAGCCTCGTGTCCTCTCCACAGAACAACAACCTAGATCCAATGTCGCACAGAAGTTTTCGTCGCACCTTGTTAATTTCGACTAAGACAACCAACACAGCTTCGCACTGTATGTGATAGAGCATTCTGCTCGCCTTTGAGGACATGAAACAGAGCATTTGCATTTCATCTGAAGCCAAAATTGATGTCTGAATGAGGCACTCTCGGACGATGCTGACTCCCAGTTCCAAGCATGGTAGGGGTGGCGGAGACACCGCAGGTGTCAGACAATGGCGCACACAGCAGCAGCAGCTCAACTCATTTGTGGCAGGTTCATCGGCCAGGATCGGTATCCGAGGTGCTGCTGTATCCGTACCTCGAGTAATAGTGGCTGACCTTCAAGCAACAAGCCAACATAGGTAGACACCACACACCATACACATCCGCACACACACACACACACACACACATACTCACACACTGCTCGCTCGCCTTGTCTGCGGCCAGATCTGCGACCGCCGCCCGGGCTGGTGGGTTCAGACACGGGATTAGACGTGGCCAGTCAAGCCAAGGCGCACGTTTTCCCTGTTTGGTACGGCACTCCACATCTTCCACCACTTTCTTCCACGTCGCCCGCCCACGGACAACATCGGCGAGGGCCGTACCTAAGATACCCTGTCCTGCCAGCCGCCAATAGGGCAGAACCAGAACTGGGGGCGCGAGCTGCCGAGGGAGGGCTGTACGAGTCAACCTGGACCACAGTTGAGCCGAAGGAAGCAAGGGACAGACGTATGGGCGAATGGAGTCACGACAGTCGCAAATGGTCATTCAGGTGTTGTTCTCAAGGCAGAGAAAATGATACTTCGACGGCCATAGCACTGTTTGTCTTGTCTACCTATCAGTGCCATCAAGGGCTATGGTTTCTTGTTCGATATATGACGGAAGGCGTTTCCATCCCGCAGCGTGCACCAACGGTGGCTGCCCAGACGAGGCACAGCCTGCTGTACCACTACTAGCGACAGGAAAAGGCTTTCAGCGACATACGGTAGAACCCGACTTCGCGACATTTAGCACCGGTTTGCTATTGCATACACGCCGGGATTCAACGACGCATGCTTGTACAATCGCTTTTCGAAATGTGTTCCCATTTCATACCAGACGTGTTCCCTTTTTGACCGCCGTCTGGCCATCTGCCCAGCCTTTGGAGCACACGGTCTAACCCGGACAACACCCAAGTTTTCAGGCACCCTTCGCTTCTTCGATGCCTGGGCGACGGAGCATTATTTTAGAAGGCAGTAAGGACGACTCACGGCAACGAATTTGCATCATTAGTGCGGCCAATTCGACGGTCCCCTCCCATCTTGTACTAATGACTATTTCAAGCCACGAAGCCCTGGGCCTGCAGCCAGTACAAGCCGCCGGCCGCAGGTACGCAGCTGAGTCTTTGTTCTGTTCCTCTTCGTGCGTTTTTGCCGGGACTTCTGACTGCGGTCCTTCTTTGTCACGAGGTCGTCTAAATCTAACGATCCGGCGCGAGCCGGAGCCATGCCATGACGAAGGAGGAAGAAGGGGGGCGGGGGGCGGAGCGCCATCCGTTGTTCCCTCGGGTGCTCAAGTGACAGCATCGACGGAGGCGAGGGCCCGCACTAACCGCCATGACCCATACTCCCTAGGTATTTTCTACCCTCAGCAGGCAAACAAAGTGGCCAAGGGTTTGGAGAGGCGAGTGAAGGCAACATTGTATCACACATGTCATGATAGCTGCAAAAGCATTGATTCAGGTGGACAATCCACCAGCAGTCCAGAGCAGATGGGGTGAGAATTAGCCTTTGCCGACTCAGACCAACAAGTTTTGCTATTCTGACATGACGATGGAAGACACACAGTCGCGGGCTTGCATCACTCCGCCTTGTTTATTTTTACCCTTCTTTCCTCTTGACTTTTCGCATTCTCTCTTTGTCTCACCGTATCTCTCTGTTCAACCCGTGCCCTCCTTTATTTCTCCTACCTATGCAATCGACGTCGGTGGTCTCGTGTGTCGTCCGGCCAGTGCCTGGTTCGGCTAGCAATTTGGCCAGCTATGTTTTTCTTGAGATGTGACAATTGGCAAGGCAAAGCCGAAGAAGACTATTCTATTGATTTGGCATGGTAGCATTTCCACCAAAAAGGAGACGGCTAAAGACAGCAAAGCTACCCATATTGGGAGCGAGAATCGAATACACACTCGTCACAAGACTCGCCTCGGTGCTTGCCATTGCACGGGTTTGGAGGTTTTTTTTTGTTGGCTTTGCACAGGCATTGTCGATCTGGGGTGACATGGGACATGACGCTGAAGTGTTGTTTTTGGGGCAGAGTACCCATCCCTTGGGACACTGCAGCCGGGTTCGGAGGGAACCAAGAAATTCTCTTCTCGGGCCGTTTTGTTTGCCTTCCGCGTCGTAACGTGCCATCGTACGTCTGGAATAGTGATGTTTTCGCCCTTGGACGGAATATTTGCTGAAACAGATACGGGTGAAGCGAGCAAAGAACGCAGAGCAGGACAGGAGCCGAGTCTCGAGTTTTGGTCTGGTTGGCCATCGCCGAGGGGGGCACAGCTGGACTGGTCCAAGTCTAGATACCTAGCTGCACGCACTAGTGTCGAGTCAAGCCGGTGTTGTGTACTTCATAGCTGACGTTACCTCGATAGGTTGACTTGCGGTCGGCAGGCGAGAAGGGAGAGAAAAAGGGCCTAATGCCCGGCCGTTTCCTATCCACCCCGTCGGCGGTACCTGTCGTCTTGTCTTGTTTTTACTCTTTTGTGACTTGACCTTTTGACTTTGGGAGGAGGGGTGGTGGTGGTGGTGGTAGTGGTAGTAGTCGAGCATCTCAGCTTTTGCCCTCTAGCTGTCGGGTCCTTGCGTATTGTTATTTTTTCTTTCCCTTCTGCTTCTTCCCCTCTCTCTCCTTTTGTCTCTACTGACATATTAATTTCTGCAAATGGACGGCATGGTGTGGGCTCTCCAAGGTGGTGGACGGTGGCAGGGCATGTATCCGTACCTACACAAAAGGTGGTGCTTCCAAGTTGATCACTTTACCGACAATACTACTTAGTACGTACCTGGTAACGGGGAGCTAAAGACAGGCAGCTCCCAGCTGGAGGAGGCGCCGGTGTTGGAGCAAGGCCACGGCCCCTAGGTAGACGAAGGGGACCTAAGGGGAAGGGAGGGGATACTCCCGTCCACGATAAAGTCACCCATTGGGCGGTGCGACATGATCCGTCCGCTGTGCCATTCCCGCTCGGCTCTACTTTGCGACATCCACACTCTGAATGTGTGGTGGGAGCAGGGTGTGTGTGTACGGAAGACCTGGAGCACACGCAGCGAGCAAGAGACGACGGGTGAAAGGGGAGGAGAAGGAGGGCGCAGGCAGAGCGACGATGAGAGAGAGAAAGACAGGCAGAGAGCGAGGGCCATGGGAGAGGGGCGTGTGGCCTACTACTGTCTTGGTAGGTGTGTGGCTGGAGTGACAGCAGATTCCCATCCCATTCCCATTTGGTGCAGCCTGCAGGTGTAGGTAGAGATGGTGCAGGTGCTGTAGGGTAGCAAGGTAGGACCAGCAGCAAGAAGGCATGAGAAAAAAAGTATACGGGAGCAGGAGGAGTAGAGGCAAGACGAGAATGTCGTGATGGTCGTGAGTTTGGCCTTCATCGTTTCGTCGATTGCACCTCCTTCGTGCCAACGGGCAAGGAATAGCGACCATTTGTCGCGCGCCGTCAGGTTTGATTGCAGTCGCTATCACTCACTCTTTGATATATTCTCCGGTAGGCCAAGACTTCCTCTTCGCAGCCATCCTCATCTTCCCCATTGTCAGGACAGTCCGTACGGATACTACGAAGACACTTAGCTACGGATACTGTCGTCATCGTCATCGGAAATTCTTCAGACTTCATCTACTGCACCCCAAGCCGCGTTACCAACCCTTTCATCCAGATCCCATCATCAAACCACCTATCCGCACCGGCACCGCACCCTGCCGTCTTCCAAGGTACCCGAGGTTTGGCACCCTGTTTGCCTCGTACCTGAACCTGGGCCCGGACCCGGGCCCGGACCTACGTCTTCTCCCCTGCGTGTTCTGAGCCCTGCCCAGGCAGCGTGCCTGTTGTCTGAGGGGAGGGAGGCTGCTTCAGTATTATCCCTCCTTCTCCAGCTCTTGCCGTCACCCAGCTGTACTATTTCCTACCAATATCTCATCTCATCTTCTATAGTGCGCCATCTGACTCCAGCAAAGGTAAAGCCCGCAGGTCGAGTGGCCAAGGTCGCATCCAGGACTATTATCAAGGAACGGCTGCCCTTTTACCTCCATCTCGCATACAACCGCCCGTATTTATTGCACACCGTACTCTGAACCGATACACAAGAACAGGACAAAACAGGACCACTGCAACTCAATTTAGAATAGACAACAAGCGGCGAGCGACAAGGCTGCGACATTGATGTGGCTCCTGGCGGTCAGTACTGCAAGGTGTTCGGGTCTCTTCGTCTCTAAATACCTTATTTACCATTCAAGATACCCAGGCGACCCGTTCTGACCAGCAATATCAGTCAAGAAAGAAAACGAGTCGAGTGCCCGCAGCCGTCCCTTGATGATCAATGGGCTAGGTACCATGCAACACCTTGGAGGCAAGAGATTGAGGGCACAAAAAGAAGACAAAAATACGCCCCCCTCCCCAGGGATTGACCATTTGAGCGACGTTACCCAGATTCGAAGCCCATGCCGTCCGGTTCCTTGCGCAGCGGCAACGGGACTGTCGAGGACATTACGGTGCGGCACGCTTCCTTGCTTTACACTGCCTCTGCCTCACCACACTTGAGCATCCGCCAGGGCTGTCTGGGGTATCTGGCGTGTAGGCGTTTGAAGTGCATGCGGGCGGGTCTTTTTTTGTAACTCTCCATACTGCCTGGCGTACTTCCCATCTTTGACAGTACGTGTGAGGTGTGTATGTGCGTGAGAGAGTATGTGAGAGGAAGTGCGAAAGAGAAAAAAAGAAGAAAAAAAAAAAAGAAAAAAAAGAGTAAATAGAGAGACAAATGGAGTGAGTGAGATGTGAGAGAGAAAGAGAGACAGTGTGAGTTTGCATGTTGTGTGAGTGTCCGCATATTTGCCCTGTTGCTGTTTCTGCTTCCGTTGTTGCTGTTGTGGCCCTGCTGTTGGATGCCCTTCCGCCATCCTGTTCCCATGCTCTCTCTTCAATCCATCCACCAGGTATTCCTCCATCGCACCCCTAGGCCGGGAGGAGGGGTGTGGAAGAGGAGAGGAGAAGGGGAAGGTGAGCCACACCTCATGCGCAAAGGTAGAAAGATACGTACCTGGGGGAAGACTCGAGGCTGGCACCCCATGTACTCTATACACAGTACGTACCTGCCTTACCTCTCGGTTCCCACCTAAAGTACGGAGTTCAGCGCACGCCTTTCTTCCCTGGCTTGACTCTCGAGACCTTGGGAAGTTGGGACCTTGGGTGGGACCCATGAGATCCTTGGGACATGGACATGGGTACCTGTACCGCATCTTCCCTGGCACTTTCGTCCCAGAAAGTGGATGAGAGGGTACCATGCTGCGGTGCCTCCCCTTCCCTTTCCCTTTTCCCTCCCTTCCCTTCCCCTTCCCTTCCCTACCTTACCCTTACCCCCCCGTACCGACCGCACCGCACCGCTCCATGCCCATCCAAGTCCCAAGGTCCCAAGGTCCCAAGTTCCCAAAGTACGGATGCTGGTTCCCAAGGTCCAAGGTATAGGTAGTCAAGGTACGGAGTACGGTCGGTAGGTACGGGGTACTCGTCTACGGATACTTCTACCTCACGCAGTAGCGCCTCTTTCTTCTCTTGGTTTCTTACATCTTTGGCACAATCCCTCTCCTACCACTCCACCGCCAACCTGGGCCTTACCTACCCTTTTTACATTACTTTACCCGCCTTGCGCCTGCTCTGCCTCGCTTGCCTTACCTCACCTTTCTCTCTTACCTCTCTTTCCCTTTACAAACCTTCCTTCACTAAGAGCTGTCTGCGCGCATCGCTCCTTGTCCACCTGACTTGGCTCTCCTTTTCCCAAACCTGCCGACCGACGACGCTCACAATTCTCATCCATCCTTCCTTCCTACCGGAACAGCATCGCAAACCCCTCTCCTTTTGCGTTCTCTGCCGTCACCGGGAAGGAGGAAACTGGACAGGACAGGAAGAAAGAAGCCGATAGAAAAAAAGAAGAGGGAATCCAGGGACCGCAACACCATCATCCTCGTCACCATCGACGCCTTCTTTCTTAGAAGCTCCCGTCTGCACATCCAACTGCTTGCTGCTGCTGCTGTTGTCTCTCACCGGCAAAGTTCAAGTCGCCGACACACCGGGACTGTCTCCTACTTCGTACCTTACTTACTCGGTTTGATGATCCCGACCTGACCTCACTTTCATTCCTCGACAACAGCGACACCACGCAAGGACGCATTCACCCACGTTTGCTCGGCTGTCATCATTGCGGGAGTCGGATCATTGCCAAATCCGCCACTTTTAAAATTAATCATTCCAGCCACGCGATCCTCACATCCGTACCATCCCGTTGTCGAATCTCGCCGAGCTGCGTTTTGCGCGCCGAGCTGCCGCTGCTTACTCTTGCGCCCGCGCTCTCCGACGGCTTATACGACAACCGCTATCCGTACTCAACTCCAAAATCCCCCCACCACCGCCACCATCCTGTGCGCGCTTGCGCTTCTTGAGTCAACCGACTTGGCTGGCCGCGCCTTCTTCTCTCCGCCACAGCCCACTCGGTCATGATTCTTGCCCTTCCCGTGCCTGGCCGGATATTTTTGACAGCAGGGTTTGACGGATAAGCCTACCTTGCGCGCACGGCATTATCGAATTTCGCCTCAAGGGCCCATTTTAACCACACCACCCACTACAAACATCACTCCACGACACCAACTGTTCGCCAACACGATAGCATCGCGCGGCGACGAGAGTGTAGGTTCAGTCGCGGCATCCGGGTGGACTCGCCGCAACCAGAGCATGGCAGAGGAGCAAGGACGAGGGCCGCCTTCTATACACCGAGAAGACGAAGCTCGTCACCAACTTCCCCCCGTGGGAGCACCTGAAGACCCAAGATACCACGACGACAGACATCACAGACCCAACATGGCTGCCCCAGTAACACTTCCCTCCATTCAGGATCCTCACGGCGCCTACGGCCAACCAGCCTACCCGAGGTCCTACCCTGGTGATCCACGAGGTGACCCGCGCGCCGATCCACGCGCCAGCAACTACAGTGCCTCCCCGAATTCCGTTAACGGTTACCCGCCGCCGCAACCGGGTGGTCATCCGCCGCAACTGCCGCCGTTGCAACCCCCGGGAGACCCCAGATCTCCCACTTATCCTCCTCCGCCAGATGGAAGAGACGACTACTACAGAAATCGCCAGCCTCAGCAGCAGTATGGCGACCCCTACTATCAGGAGTATCACAACCGCCAAGGCCCGCCGCCTCCGGGTCGCTACGCCGACTACCCTCCTCCCGGCCCGGGTGGTCCACGATATGACTACCCACCAGGCGCACCGAGATACGACTACGGTCAAGGAGGCCCTCCCATGCAGCAAGCCGCTCCAAGACAACGGACCTCCATAGCCTGCAGATACTGCAGAAAGAGAAAGGTGCATTATCCCCCAAAGTGATGCGACAAGAGGAGCTCTTTGAGACTAATTTTGAATGCTTCAGATTCGGTGCAGCGGCTACCAGAGTGCGCCTGGCGGCAAATGCGTAAACTGCAGTAGGATGAACCAAGAATGCATATTCCAGCCCGTTTCTTCGTCTAGCTCGACTGCATTTGTGCCCGTTTCGGCCATTCAGGGAGGTGTTCCACCGGGAACACCGCTCTATGGAGCTTATGGGCAGCCTCTCCCTCCGGGCTCGCTGCCTCCGCCACCGGGCCCCCCGGGTTACCCCCCTCAACCTGGCAACGGCGGCTACTACCAACAACCACTCCCGTCCCCGACGGGCGGCTACTCGCCATACGATTCGCAGCGTGGAAGGCGGCGACCGAGGGACGATGACGTTGATGAGCTCCGACCTCCGCCACCTGATCCAAACTCTGCAGACGATCCTCGACGTCGCTCACCGGCCTCGAGCTCGAATCATAGCAGCCCGGGAGGCTACATGGGCTATTCGCAGGGCGGCCACCCCGGATATGACCCAAGAGCACCTCCGGCTAGACATAGCCCTGGACAGCCAGCGGCGGTACCTCACCCGCAGACGGGAGACGAGCGAGCCGCGGCAGCGACCCAGCGACAAAGCAACTCCTCCACCCCGGCAGCATCCTCAAGCTCGGTCATGAGCTTGAACAACTTGGTGGACACGACCCCAAATGACATTGATCGGAACATGTTGGGAAGGTTGAATCGTCCACCAGTAAGGAAGTAGGAAGATGACGCATGGAGGGGGGAGAGTGTGGTCTTTTGTGCTCGGGGAGAACCTAATTATTCCGCGGATATCGACCGCCTCAGTCCGGCGCAAACAGGAATGGATCTGCTGGCCAGGTACTCTCTTCGCTTTGGAACTTCTCTCGACACAACAACCTTGGAGACAACGCTTTTTACCTCGATCATTGCGAACGATGTCGTCGACAGCAGCAACGACGGCGAGGGAATTATGCAATTTAACTCGGGCTGCATACGTTGCAAAGTTCATGGAAAACGCATATCGGTCATCGACGGGCATGGGCAGGCATGAGCTTCTGTAGCAAGCGAGTTTTCATGAGGGAGGGGGGAGTTGGCGGGAACGGCTTCCAGGATCAGCCAGAAAAAAATTCACGGTCAGCATCGTCTTGATTTTCGCTTTTTTGGTGTTTGCTGGGGGCTGGGGTTGGGAAATGGTGGGAGGTATTTTGCTTGAGCATACCACGTACGCGGGTTTCCCGAGATCCGGGAAACTGGTCCTTCCATTTTTATTTGCTTTGTTCTACATCTTTTCTTTTCGTACACAGTCATTTCCCAAAGGAACGGAAAGGGTTAAGATTGGTCTGCCTCACGGCACACGTCTGTTTTTGATTTTCTGTCCTGCCTTTACTCAATTTTAGTACCCATTGTTCGATACGCCACACATGCTGGAGTGTCGCATTTTCATGTCAAAACCGCTGCCTTACTTTTTTTTCTATCTTATCTTTACTAGTACCCCAAACGTTGAGAAGTATTATGAAGGCGGAATCGCGCAAGCGATGCAAAGGAACTGGGCGGCAAAGATATGACACAATAACCTCATCATTCTATCTACATCCCATAAATTGGGCGCGTTTTGCAGTTTCTCTCTCCCCCGTCACGATGTGTTTTTGTTTCTTAATTTCTGCAAAAGTCAGAAGTCGGCAGCACCGCGAGGGCTGCAAAAAATACCGAGGTTAATTGTTTCTTCTTCATTCCAACGATTCTCTCTACTCATGATTGTCATGTTGCCTGTCTCATAGCAATACCCCCGTCAAGGGTGGTGTGCGGTTTGGAAAGAAAGTAACGAAACAAAACATACATTTTGAAAGCCAAGCGTAGCATTGTCGGCATTGTTTATGGTACTTACATTGCTAATGGTGTTTCTTTCTTACAAAGCAAGAAAAGTTTTGTGCTAAGCTTCAACGTTGTTCGCTGAATATTTGCCATGTTGCCGTTTACTGTTGTTGCTTCGCTGTCTCCAAGTCCGTAATCCCGAGAAAGGAAGCCGCCAAAAAAAAAAAAAAAAAAAAAGTGCGTCCCACCCCCCATCTATATGTGACACGTCATATTGATCCGACGGTTGAAAGGGAAAAACAAGAAGCAACTATTAACGCTTCTTTGGAAGGGGGAAGAAAAGCACGGACAGATTTTCCGATCTAGACGTAGCCAGAAAGATTAGGAAGGTCGAGACCAGTAGTTTCCGTCTTTAATATCAGATAAAAGCTTCTTCTGATATCGATAAACGTGCGTTCGCCCGCGGGGGATGAGGTAGGCCCGCAGGGGAAGCTTCGTTCAGCACTGATGTTTTTTTTTTTTTTTTTTTTTTTTTTTTTGGGGGGGGGGGGGGGGGGGGGGGGGGGTGACGGGAACCTATCCGTACCTACCAAAGGCAGGGAGAAGGGTAAGGGGAATGAATGAATGGTAACGGGGAAAAGGGGAAGGTAGAGGAGGAGCCAACCGCACCCGCCGCCGCCGGTGCCGCCGCCGAGTTTGCCTACCCAAGCTACCTGACCTTACTTTCCCCCCCCCCCCCTCTTCCACTTCCAAACAACCCCTCACTCGGACTCCCAGTAAAGAAAGAGAAAGAAGAAAAGTACATTTTTCTTTGCTGTCCTCCGTACAAAAAAAAGAGTTTTGGGGGCCGGACCGCCGATGCTGTCAAACCCGGGACCTAGCCTGCGTTCTTTTTATTCTACGAGTTTACAACCACCACGCCCGGCTGTCCAAGCCTCATCCCCCCCCCCCCCCTCTCTCTCCATGCTGATGCCGCCATTCCCCGTGTGCCTGGGTTCTGGGGCCTTGGGGGCTGGGGCTGGCGAGGGGAGGGGAAGGGGGCCGTTATGGCCGCCCGTCCGCGCCTCTTAGGCTCCTTTTGCGGAAGAGGAAAACCCCAGGTGCTAAGAGGTTCCCACCTCATGGGACGCCGCGGCGGCATGGCACGGCACGAAACGGATTTTTGCGTTGTTCACTGGCGCTACTAGAACTTTGGGTCCTGGAAGGCATTTACTAAGGGAGAGAGAGCGAGAGAGAGCGAGAGGAATGATGGAACTGCCGGTATGTTGACCATTTGATCTTAGTCTTGATTCCCTTCTTCATGTTTGCTAGTTTCTTTCTTTTTTTTTTCCTTTTTCTCTCCTCACTTTTCCCCCCAGAATACCTATTCTCCGAGCTACCATTCTGTTCCCAAAGTCTCTAGTTCGGTTGTGGCTTTTGAGGTAATACGGCAGTTGGTATGGTCCCGCCAAAGTTGGTTGAAAAGCTCACCCTCATCCCTTAAGCGCCGGCAGAAAAACAGAGAAAAAGTGTCAAACGTCACAGCGAACAAAATTACGAAGAAAGAAAGATTGAAAAATTCAGCAAAACAAGCAAACTAACCCGCTTCTGGTTCCATGTTTCTCTTTGTTCTACAGTCTTGCGCCCTGGTCTTAGGTCTTCGGTACTCGTAGCAACACAAGGGAACTCCTCTGCGCCCCCTCCCCAAGAACAAAGAACATGAACAGACGAGACTCCCCTCTCAGAAAATCAGGGAGAGTCACGAGGTGAGATAGAAAAAAACAATGGCTTATAAATAAGTGTTTAGGAAAACATAGGGTACCTCAATAAAAACTATTCATCGAAAATAATAGCTACAAAGGCTTCAGATCTGCAATGTTCAAATTTTACTCGAGGAGGGATCCACTAAACCTGAAAGACACGAATGTTCAGTTCCCACACCTTTTATCGATTTCTCTCATGGAAGTCTGCCGTGTCTGGTCACTGGTGTATGGATGGTTTGTTGTGGCGTGTGCGGTGTGCTGCGGTGCGGGAGGAGGCGAAGAGGGGGAGGGGGCAGTCTCCAGAGTGAGAGAGAGCGAAGAACAGGCGCGCTCGAGGCGAAACCAGGTCAAGCTAGGTACATCTTGGGGTCGCAGACGAGTGGACGTGAGAGAAACTTCGAGTCCTTTGACAGGCCTCATTGCCGCCATTCAATTTGTCGAGGCAAGACTTTCGGGACCCTTGGCGCTAGTCCTGGTATCCTCTCTTGTGCTCTCCCCCCCTCTCTTCTCTATCCGTACATCACTTCTCTCACTTGACACGCCTGCCTGCACTGTTTTTTTCGCGCGGCGGCGGGCTAAACGAACGAGAGAAAGAGAGAAGGGGAAGGGATGAGCCCATGAGTGGTGTCCGGGCTTCGGTTGGCCCCTCTCCGCAATCAACGCTCATGGGGACCTGGGATTGGGTTGATCCTGGTTACGCAAACCTGCGCGCGAGCGAGCCAGAGGGGGTGTGTACACACGCCTCTCTTTCAATGTGTGTGTCTTTTGGATAGGGCCAGGGGGGGCAAGGAGAAAGCCGTTCGCCAATGTCGAGCACTGTGGTCCGAGGAACCGACCAGGTACACTCGAGTCACACACAATACAATATCTACACACGCCATCCTTGACATAGACATCAAACCACGACACCAAAGAGGCCAGAATTGGAAGATGACTCGACGAGGTTGAAGGAATATGAAAAATCGCTCATGACGAGGAGACAAACAAAGCGCAAGCCGCGAGCCTGCATACTTACGTACACCCACGCGCCTACCTCGTACGCTCTCGCCGAGAAGGAACGTAGAGCAGGGCAGGATTCGATCCGGTCAAAAGAGCAGACGGCCGCTTACAGCGGTACCCATGAACTGGGCGTTGTCTGGGGTTTGTCTGGCAGCTAATTACTCACATGAAGTCTGTGCTTCATAGATGCAGGTCAGGCGAGGTCGGAGCGCAGCAGTGAGATGTCAGACTCAGCGTCCTTGCGTCCGTTGGTAAGCGTGTAAGTGTGCCCGAGCCTTTGCAGCTTTTGCAGCCTCTTCTCAACGGCGAGCCCCAAGAGTACATGATGCCGATTCTTTGCAGCAACGCTAGGGATTTTGGGCCGTCGGGCTTGCGCGACACTGGGCGGAGGAGGCGGAGGGAGTGCGCGGCGACCCAATGTACTAACGCAAGACAGGGAACATACCACCACCACTGATGAGGTCCCTGAATGCCTCGTAGCCCAGCTACGTGCCTTGGTTCAAGATCCAAGTTCCTTGCCGGGCGGCCAGTAGGCCGGTTGGCGAAGAAAGGAGTTGCCTGCCTGCCTGTCTAACAGTAGGCACCGGCCGCTGATGGGGCCGAGGGGTAGACGGGGCACGGTGAACAAGCCAGCTGAAGGGAGATAAGCCGCCGGCAAGAGAGATGAGGTGGGCTCGCCGGTGTCATGTCCCTCCTTGTTGCGTCGAATTCATACACTTTCTGGCCCGCGACCCCCCCTGCGGGACCATTGTACTTCGCACTTTGACATGCTGCGAAAAGAGAACCCCTCTCCTGGAATATACCGATACTGCAAAAACACAGTTGCATCGACATAAAGACACCCCTAGCAGCTTAGCATATGGCCTTCGTTTGCGCGTAAAGAAGGGTATGGAGGGAGGGCTCTAGGGGACTGAGAAGTACAAATGGACTATTGGCGCAGCATTGCAAAGGTATACCTGGATAGAGGGACGAGGGCTCGATTCTCAAAAGGTCTAGGCTTTTTACAAGCGTTCATGGCGTTGGACCTGTGATGTGATGAATGCTAATTTTCAGCAGCCCACACACGTTGTTATGGGCAGTTTTCAACGGAGAAGAAGGGAGTGGCTTGCCGAGCGCTGTCAAGACAAAGGGAAAAAACAAGCTAAAGAAGGCTTCATCGTAGAGCGCCCGTCGGCCGACCACCTGGCTCCTGGGACACTCGGGAGGGGTGGCGGTGGTGACGATGGGCCAAGCGGGTTGCTAGCGAGGTTCAAAATGAGAAAGAGGCTAGAGTTCGATCGAGACAGACTATCTGACGGTACGGAGCGGGCTGGGAGAGATGGCCTGATTTGGCGACGGTCCAGCACTAGTATTCATAGATCATGGTGTCCAGTGGCTCTGCTTCATCCGGAGAAAAGGGGGCTGATCTTGGCGATGTTGGGAGTGAAATAGACGGTGTGCAATGTTCAAGACGACAGGGAAAGCAGAAAGAGAGAAGCGGAGAAAGTATGGAAGCAGTAGGATGCAGAGGCATAGGGAGTGGGATATTGCGGTGCGCACACCGACATGGAGGAGGGGCAGGGAGGGGGAAACGAAAGAAAAGCGGTGGATCTGATCGTTTTTCACCAACAAGTACCTATACCTCACTCGAGGCAGAAGATACCAAGCAAGAGCCAGCGTTAATGGTCCGGGACCACCGAAGAGGAGAAAGAGGGGGAAATGTTCCTATTCACAAACAGAGACGATGGGCGGGTCGGGGGGCGTGGATGTTCGTCTGGCCTTGAGATGCTCGGATAGACCTTTGGGTTACATCCTGACGTGCAGCAATCTTGCAGGGCAACTGTCCATCCGGAAGCATCAAGGTACGTCCGTTCAAGCCCTGCCTCGATCGCCGAGTTTGAGAAGGTCGAGATGCAGTGTGCCCTGGCCGTAAACATATTGGTGCGTGGTATAAACGGCTGTCCTGGCCCATCTTTCCCATTTCTCTGGTTTGGTTTGAGAGCTTGTGTGAGGCAGTTCGAAAAATGTCACATGGTCTCAGAGTCATGCGGCCGTCAGCGCCTCCAGACATGGATGGGTTTTGCATATGCCGTTGACCGTATACAGACTGATATCCCGGGACAAGCCGGCGATCTGACATGCGCTGCGCTGATCCAGGGACTGTGCGGCTTCGTACAGTCAAACTTGACCTCTGACCTGGAGTACTGTAAAGGTGTCGACTGCGGGAAAACCTGGGGAGCCCGAGACAGAGACGAGAGTATAAATGGGAGGAAGACAAGATACGAATGCGAAAGTCAGGCGGTGTACCAGAAAAGATGACGGTAGAGCGGGAACGTGGAAAGGGGGTGTGAGAGGAGACTTAGGACACGGCTTGCTGACCGAAAACGGCGACGGTGTTGCGTACCTGACTTTGACTGATTTCCCAGCCTGCCCTTCCCGTGCTGCGCGGAGGTAAGATGTACATTGAGGCCTTCCCAAACCGGCTGAATGGCGTGTCGTTGTGGAAAGTACAAACGTTTGGGGCGCGCCGGGCTGAGGACAAAACAGATGAACGGCCGTGGAGGAAGGCAGGAGAGCAAGGACTACCGAGGAATGGGAAAGCTGGTAATAATACAACAGTTCTAAGGCAAGAGCAGGTCAATGTGCTGGCTGAGAACGGAGATTCAACTGCACTGAGCTCGTGGCACTGCATCTTTCTACCAGTTGATGCGACGAGAAACAAACCTTGGTGCTCGACTCGTGACGAGGAGTATCTTCAAGCTTTTTTTTTCTTCCGGTGTGCAGATAGCCCACTGCATGCTCTCAATTCCACCCATCCTGTGCTGGGAGCAGAAAAAGTCATTATACAACTATTGTCAGTATTGTTTTCGTCTTGTAGTATCGTCTGGAGTGGAGTGTGAGGTTGTTTCCAACTCGACCTATCCCTGACATCAACATGACGTTTGTATTCAAACGCGTCAAGGCCCCCTTTTAGAGCGAGCTTCTGTCCTACACGAATCTTCGTCAGCGTAATTCGAGCGGAAGCCTTCGAATGTTGGTGGGCACCGACATACTTCAATGGTCGTTTGAACATTCCTCAAGCCTGGTACAACAAGAGCCCGACAAGAAGGTCCTGCTTCGTCCCTGAATTCGTCCCTTGATCGCATACAATCAGCTTACAAGTCTCCAAATAAACAACAGTTTTAGAGAGAGACAACTGACGGCGCTGACACTTGAGACAACCTGTCTGATGTCGCTACACGCATGTCTCTGCTTCTATCCGTATCGACCGGGAAGCATACCCGCACGTATATACGAACTGAGTCAAATCGATGCCTATCCAGCACCGACGGGACGTTTGTGCAGCTGCAAACAGACGGAAAGAAGAGACAGGCAGCCAAAATGTCTCTCCCTTCCCATCGATCTACCCCGTCACCGTTAGCCTGGCCTGACCTTCTCCCTTGAATGCCTCTCGTCAGGTTGCTAGGGAACGTTTGCCGATCCCAATTGACCTCCATTCATTGTCTATCATTCCTACCGAAACGTGAACCTTTTGTTCACTATTCGACAAAACCTCATTCTATCCTTGAAGCAAAGCGAATCGAGAACACGACGAGTAGTAGACTCGTGCCTCCACTGGATCTGTGCGTCTACAGCATCCCCAAGACCAAACATGATGGCAGGTGACCCTAGGAAGCCACCAGGGAACCATAACTTCAGCGCCAACATTCCAAAGAGAGACCTACCAACTATCGTCAGGCTGTCAACCGTCTCAAGTCAGCTGAGGGAACCGGAGCACCCTGCTGGCTAGGTCAGCCATCCGAGTCTTGCGAAACCTTCCTGCCGTTCCGCGACCCGACCTGCCGGGCCCTAGCAATCCGAGGAATTACGCTTGGCCAAGACCTGACCTACATAACCCTTGGGGGCCTATCGAGTTGTCATGGCCGCATACATTCCACGCCATCCGCGTAGTCTGCGGAGGAGAAAGAAGATTCGGGACGGGCCAGATCCGCGCTCAGCCAGCCCAAAGCATCCCATGGCTTGCTAATCCAGTTCCTACTGCCTCGTGGATTTGCGGCACAAGGGCGTGTGTATAGAGGTGGGGGAACTGCAGAGAAGAAGAGTAATCGGATTGAGGCTTTGCTGTGGGAGAGCCTCGAGATTCGTCATTCACTCTTCTCCATCCACCTTTTTCGTCGTACCTATCAGGGTTAGGGTTGCTTGTATTGACGGCGAAAACAGAGTTCTCCGCCAGCCAAGCGTTGCACGAAATCGCACAGTGGAAAGTACGAAGGCGTTTCATCCGCGGGACCGTCCGGGCTCGAATATACTCCAGAGGGCTAAGCGAGGGCGGCGCGGCTGGAACATGTCTTACTATTCATTCTGGTGTACCCCTGGCGGAAGCTAGTCAACCACTCGACCAGATTCCTGGGAATCATGTTTTGTTCCTTTACGCAGACGGCCCGGTAGCGTGCGTACTTCCACTCAAACACCCCCCTTGGAATGTAAGACACGGAGACGATTTCAGCCAGCCCAGGAAGATTCCGGCCTTTGCCGATTTCCCAAGGGCACGCGATGTCTCGCCACATATGATTTCGGAAAGCGATAGCCATGTTTGACCATCAATCTGTCACGGGACCTGGTAGCTTCACACGGTGTGGAGCCATGGCCTTGCGAGGCTTTCGATACGATCACTCTTCGATGACGATGCTTTCGGTACAGGACCTCGATCGATGGACAAGAGGCATGGCTGCCTAGAGACACAGAGAGGAACTGGAGTTCAAGCGAGCGAGTGCTTGTGCAAGCGCAGGGAGTCTTGCGGGGTTCCAACGCAGCTTTGGCGGACTCGAGAATAGCATCCACTTTGGGGACCTTGATTTCTCTGCTGGATATGGTCAAACCATGATGCTCTTCTGAATTTGGCCGGACAAACTGTGCAAAGTTGCGTCCGACGTACTGGTAGAAAACTTCTTGGCAAATCAGGCCTGCACTATCGAGCGTGCTGGTTTCGTTCATGATCAATTAGCCGACGGCTCGATCACTACAACAGAGAGGTAGGTCTTTGGGATGTTTGCTCCTATGTTTCTACCCCTGTCCACAGTCATCTGCGACTGCCCATAGTACCTCTCAAATGAGACCATTGTAAAATCCTCGTGCCAGTAGCAATCTCTTCCCCACTCTGCTAAGATGCAATGGTGCGCATAGCGGCTGTTGGATCTCGAGAACCATGTTATGAAAGCACGAGCTGAAGCGCCGACAGAGCTGAGCATGAGTGTTTTTGAGAGTCCCAGTGCGGAATTCGGGATGATCTGATATTTTACCCGCGGAACATGGCTTCAAATCCTTTGAGACATAAGCGTATTCACACTTCCTTGGTTCCAGGCTTCTCGCACAGCATTCGTGGGGTTGATTGATTTCAGTCAGCCCAAAGACTTAAAGTAACTATACGTGAACTGATTTGCTCGATCAGAGTCACAATAGGAATCTGAACATTCAAACTAGCTTACCCCTCTTTGAGAAAGCTACTTACCTGCTAACAAATTGTGTTTTACCCGCGCAACACATCAGGCATTGTTACGAACATCACAGCCACTACAGCGTCGGAGGACGAAGATGAAACACATACCACATATCTCCAAGACCCAAGGAATCTACTGGAATCTCCAAATTTAATCATTGGTTTTTTCTGCCCACGTCTCCTCTTCTGTCCCTCCCCTCTCGGTGTGAGCAAGGTGTGGTGCAAGGTGAGGTCGCGATCTTGCGTCTCTCACCGAGGTGAAGACACATGGTCTGTGCATCGGTGAGATTGAGTTCACCTGACAGCTTCACCGGGACTGGGGCTCATTCGGTGTGATGCTACGCGGGAATTGCGGGGAAACGGAGCGGAACGGGGGGAGGGCCGGGGTGGGGGAGGACCTACCTGACCCTCCCGCAACCCCCTGGCGACCCCGAAAGGAGGGTGAAATCTCGGGTTTGCCCGTGTTTACCTTGGGCCAAGAGGCCGGGGCAGGGATGAGCGGATGCGATTGAGAAGTGTGTCACAGGTCTGTTCAATTGAGAATCTGCATCACGGGGATCGATGCGATGCCATTAAGTAGCACCGTGATAATTTCACGTCCGCCGGATTCTCAACCTCACTTGAACCACTCTGTGAGGCCCCAGATGTGCGGGAGGCTGGAGGCCATCCCCGCAGTGTAGGACTCTGGTTCCTTGGTCCGACGAGTATCCTCCCGCTAGACGAACCGAGATGGAAACATCCACACCAACAAGTGATGATGCCTCTCAGCTTCCTTTCATCAAATCCCCCTCATCTCCGGATACCACTAGTTTGGATACTCTATGCCCCCCATCCACAATCGCTCGCAACAACTCATTTCAAAACCGTCCGTCAAGCCCCGACTTCACTTTCCAACGACTCACTCACCCCCCGCTCTTGGCCACGCGGGTTCACCCAGCTGCCCCGTGCTTCACAGGGCCAAGTCGCGAACGATACCCGATTGGAGATGGGCTAACATTTCTGAGGGGGTGAGTGATGGGGATGGAGATGGGCATGGGGGGAAGGGGTCCTGACACGTCACGGGTGATGAACTCTGTTGCCGTATGTGGTTCGGCTGACCGGTGCGTCTGCGTTCTGGATACCCGATCCAGGATTCGATTCAGGTACGCACGCACATCCCACGGTTTGGAGCCATGGCGAATACAGAAAACCATCTGCAAGAAGCTGCAGGAACATGCACTTGTGATGCGATGGGGGTGGCTGCGAGTGGTGCATGGTCATAAACATCGTTGGTATCATTAAGATTAGAGTGCTGACGTCGTCAGTCTCCTCCATCTATATGCTAGTGCCTCCAGTAGTTTTTCTGCCTTCCTGCTGTAATCTTTTTGTCCCTCCTGGTATCTCATGCGTTCTCTGTATTCTTTTTGCTCTCGTTCCTCGCAACGCGAACGTGGTCCGTAGCACCTTTCTCGCCCTTATTAGTCGTATTCGGTGTCCATATTCGGTGTCGGAGGGTCGGGCGTCGGTGTTGCTGAGCGGCCTTCAATGCTCATCTCTTCTCGGTATGACATTTGTCCGTTTTCAGCCCTCTCTAGCACAAAACACCGCTCGGCATACACGCCGTTTTCATTCTGGCGACGCCAGGCGGCGCTGAAGCGACGGACCATAACCTTGCGCCATCCGCCCACATTGATCGTGATTTGCTTCCAGGGTACGTCGGGCGTTGCGAGCTGCTTCTCTCGCAGCAGAAACTGGAATGTGCGTAAGGCCGCGTCGTAGTCGCGGTCCATCCCTGGATGAACAACCTCGAGAGCGTGGAGAACGGTCTGGACGTGTAGTGTGACTGTTTGAAGGCTGCGGAAACTGCAAAGAGCGCGGAGGAACTCCGTCGGGTCGCACATGGCCACGTCCATATCCAGCTCCAGCGTGTGCACGTGCGGTAGACCATGCGCCAAAATTGCGATATCCTCGCCCCAGAGCGTTGGGCACCGTCGATCCTCTTCTCCGAAGCCCATGTGATCACGGAACTTGAGCACCTGGAGAGATTCGCCATGTCTCAAAATGCCATCTAGCGGGAAAAGACGGACATGGCACGTCACATTAAAGGTCTGCAAAGCCCGAATGTGATTGGCCACTAGTAGGTACAAGCCGCCCGTTGCTTCGTCTCGTTTGTCAACTAGGTGGGCGCTGAAGTCTTCGCAGTGTAGCTGTCGTAAGCCCGCCAAGTCATTGAAATCCACAGTCGACAGGAAGTTGAAGACGGGCACGTATTTCAGGTCGAGTGACTCGAGCTGAGAAAAGTCCCAATGGGCACGGGTGTCCTCCCTCGAATGGTTCCAGTCGTAAGACTTGAGGGCCAAGTCTTTGAGCGGGGGCATGCGCTCTCCTTGGACAAACTTGAAGTTCGTTCCCTGCCCACGGTCTTCGTAATGGAATATCTCTAGGCGACGGGAGAGTAGGAGCAGCTGTTTTAGGGAATTCAATCGTGTCGTGAGCGGCGGGGCGGGGCTCGCAAGCTTGAGCGAGACAAGAAGGTCTGTGGGAATCGCTCGGACGTAGGTGTCCCGTAGTTGTCCCTCGAATTCTCGTAGGGGCAAGTCCTCGACGAACAGTTTCGTGCCGTTAAATCGTGTCTGCTGGGGGTTGAGCACGTCTGACGGGAGCCAGAGTCGTCCTGATCGGAATTCAGCATCGACATAGTGCCACCTAAAAAAGCATTGTCAGGAAAACTGCTTCCAATAGCTGCGAATACCAATAGTAGCATACCGCACTGTCTTTAGCCTTTGGACCCTGTCCAGCACCCGCCGAATGCCGTCAGGGTCAAGATCGCTCCGTGTGACGACGTGATTGGTGTAAGACGACACATTGCGCAAGAGATTAGGATACCGCGATTCGGCATCTGGGGCAACAATGCGCTCGTTGAGGCAAATCGTGCGATAGGTAATTGGAGTTGCGATAGCCTCAAAGCGTCTAGACAAGCACCGCGCAGTAGCAAGGGCGCGCTCGTCTATTTCTCGGAGCTAGAAGATATTCGTAAGCAATTGCCGGTTGAAAGAATTGGCACAGCCAATGAAGCTTTGGCAACCGCCCTAAGAAACCTACCTGCTCAAGAATGAGAGCCAACAGCTCGGAGCTGAGGTCATTTAGAGACCATTTTTGTGGCGCTGCACGGAGGGAGGATGCGGTAGCCATTCGCCGACATGTGGCACTTCCACATGCAGGAGCAAGAGAGAGTCAGGGGAGGGGAGAGGTGTCGAGGAAAGGTAGTAGGTGAAGAGACCTCGTGGCTGGCACAGAGGGGGGAAGTAAGGGTCTTATCAACGGTTCCATCAAATTCGAAGGTGTTGTCCTGTTGAAGAGAGCTAGGATGGTCCGAAGTCATGATCCGCCAATTGACAGACGGGGCTAATCTGTTTGCGGACAATGTCACGAGCGGGTACAGTTAGATGACCCAAGTAAGCCAGCAGCAGCTAGCTAGCCGTGTGGCGACTGCGGGACGGAAGCGACTAGAGGACGCCGACAACGAGGAGGAGATGGCGTAGTGAAGATGAGGAGGTACCGGTGGAGGAGAGTGGTCGGATCGGGGGCCGGGATGGGCTGGATGGGGATTCGATGGGGTCAACGGGGGGCCATCTACATTAACTCGCAGAAGCCGTCTGCAAGAAGAAGACAAGGTGAGGTGCAGAAGGATGCTTGCTTGGTACGTATGTACGCATGTGTAAATGTATATGTATGTGTATGGGTATCCGTATGTGCGTGTATGGGGCCGATGTGTCGAGTTGTACGTACGGTACAATGTACCTTGGTTTTGAAATAGTATGGGGGAAGCCCACGAGAATGGAGTCGCAATATTGGCCCGACGCGGACCGGTTAACTCAGATATGATGATGACAGCAGGGCAAGGCAAGGCAAGGGCAAAGTGAGACAATACTAGTAGCCCCCCGGGCCAAGTAGATGATAGATGGGGAAATGGGCAGACAAGAATAAAAATAAGAACAAGAGACGCCCAGGCGATGATTAAACAGGATAAGGCCAAGGGCACGGGAAGAAGAGCGGATGGGGGATGGGGAAGGACAGACTAGAAGGGTGGAGGGAAGAGACTTTTCAAGGCTAACATTCGAAGCGCCAAAACAGGACGGGACAGGTTTGGAAAGGAAAGCTGAGACAGGCCAGCCATTGTATCAACTACCATCCGTAACAGCTCCAGCTGACTGAGGAAAGCAGAGAGACAAGCTGGAAGGAGAATACTCGCGCGAGTACCTGGCACACACCTCACACCTTACACCCACACTCAAAGAGCTACCTTTTGGAGACACTTGCGTGTGTCAAGCCACGAAGGCGAGGGCAAGGTACCTGCTGTAATTACTAGCAGCGCGGAAGGGAAGCAGGTAAGGATTGAATAGTCAATCCTGAGGGCCCCGGGCAGAAAGAAGACTGAGTGGATAATAGAACATGTTTCAATTCAGTTGATCCGCCCAGAGACGAGGGCCCCTTGTACCTTGGGTACAAGTGCAGGGGAGAGATATGAACGACATGACAACAGAGAAAGGGGCAGGTAAGAAAGGACTCGGAGGAGGCCGTGTAGGTCATACTCCAGAGAAGGAGAAGACCGAGATGGATCATGGGACGGGGGGGGGGGGGGCTTGAATTGGTGGAATGGAGCTAGTAGAAACTCGAGAAGGTACAAGTTGCATGTCTTGTCTGAGAAAAGCTGTCACGGCGTTCGTTTGGTTTGTGAGAGAAAGGTTGAAGACAGGACAGGTGTAAGGAGCGAGGTATACGGTGAGGTGAGAAGTGTGAGGAAAGGGACGTGGATGGGATGGGGAGAGAAAGAGGAGGTCGAGGGACGTTTCGCAAGAATGTCCCAAAAGGGAAACGCAGATTCAAGCAACATGGGAGGATCCCAGCAGGGTTTAGAAGAGGGCCCCCTGGTCAATGCGGGGGTTGAAGTAAACCGAAGATCGCGACCGCCTAGATGCATACAGACAGTTATCCGATAGTTACATATTAAGGAAAATACGTGCCTGCCCTACCTGAAGGATGTGCCTTACTGTGTTGTGTACCTGCCTCTTCAGCTTGAGTTCTTCCCATACCTACCTCAAATTCTGCATATATCTCATACATTGCGCCCATTTCCCACCTGTTCTGGTGGCAGACACACAATAATAATCGACATAATTATGAACAAGAGCATATCTTACCGAGAACCATTCTTCGTACGGATACACAGCACCAGCATCCAGCGGGACCACACACGGGTCTTCCCACTCCACTCGCTCCTCTAACCCGAAAGCCACCGCTTCCCTGTCGCTGGGACTGTCGTCTCCTCCCGTCTCTCGTCAAGACAAGAAATCTTCCGCTTTTTCCCTCCGGATGGAACCACGATCCCAGATGCAGCAAAGTACCGCTCCCCCACCACTTAGGTTCCCAGCATAATGGAACCTGGTTTGTGGTTTGATAGATGTGGATCGAGCCAGACAGTACGGACACACTATAGACCACTCTACACAGTCACACTCACACTCACATCCCTTGAGCCTGGTCGACTCTCGCTCTCGTGCGGAAAACGAATCCCAACTTTTTTTTTTTTTCAGACAATGTTACCCTGCCGCGCCTACCCATCCCATCGTCATTTCCCACGGCCCCGAAGAACTGGCAAGCAATGGAACTTACCGTTCGGAACGGGCTGGCACATGGTAAATGGAGAAACACATCGCGGCTGGTTGCCCTAAACTTTCTCCAACTAAACTTGAACAACGTTCTCTCTCTCATCCTTCACTCCCAACCACCCAGCTGTCATGGCTTCGGATGACGCGAAATGAGATCAGCTTGACAGTTGCCGAGATACGCTGCTGCGTTGAGGTTCCAGAGACGACGCCCGGTTACCGGTACTTTCACCACCTGTCCCTGTCTTATTTTTTTCAGCCAGGCCAGGAGACATCCAACCGCGCATGCGACTCTCCCCCGGGGCCTGAGTTAAGTGCAAATTTTGTCGAGATGAGCCGCCGTTGTCGGATTTTCGCAGCCTTTAGCCGTCCAACTGGGATCCCACCGGCAAGGTCAGACTCGTTCTCGGGTATCAGTACGGATATCCGACCTCATGAACAATATTTTATCGGCTTCCTGGGCATGAAAATCGATGGCATGTCATGCTAGTGAGCAGAGCTTGATACTTACTCGAGTCAATCTCATCCACACACTTGCTGCACCTGTCAACCAGCTCATAATCCAATCGCGAACCGCACCGGAACAGACCTGCAGCTGGGCGCGGGAGACAGACTTGGCGGCGATGCACACACTGCAGGGGCTCACTCACCACAAGCTTCAATCTCAGGATCCAATCGGTAGCGAAAGACGATGATAAACAAAGCTGACTTTTAGGCTCAAGACTGCCCATGTCAAGCCAACGGTCTCAGCCTTCTTCAGACTTTTGCATTCACAACTGAAGGTGAACCCTTTGAACTGTGACGCTCAGATTCCCGCCGTCAAGCTAGGAGCCCCTGTTCGACAACCTCCGTGCACCCTGCGACTCTCGGCCCGCAAAGTCGTTTGGGATTGGGATGAGACTGGATTGGATTGGAGACTTCAGGTTGGAGAGTTGGGAACTTGGACTGAACGTCTCTCAGGGCTCCACACGACTCTGACGAACCAACCGGGAGACCCATAAACCAGAGGAGGGACTCTGTAATCGGCAATATTCCATTATCCGGGCTGCTGGCCAGCAAATGGATGCGATTTGCTCGTCTGGTTTTCCATCCAACTCCCTGTCCGCGTCCGTTGTCGAACAGGGACCCCCGGATCTGCTGCGCTGCACTGAATCCGGCACGCTCAGATATTGTGCTTGAATTTTTCTTTTTCTTGTTCGATTTGGTTCTGGTTTGTTTTTCGCCTAACTGCCCTGATGGTCACCGCTCCGATTCTGCACCGTTGCTGCATATTTGATGCGTCGATGCGGCACGACTCCCTACACAGTACGGAGTAGGCTGACCAGAAACCCGTACATGTCCTCCATTATCCGCAATAGTTTCGAGCATGGCCCGTTACGCCCGTACAACGTGATGCAATTGAAATGCGCATAGTACGGGACATCCTGTGTGTGTGTGTGTGTGTGTGTGTGTGTGTGTGTGCCGTTCAGCAGCAAACCACCGATATACACGTCACAAGAGGGCAGGTGTCAGAACATGCCGTGTCAAAATATGCTGCGATACAGAGGCGCCTGGCTACACTGCAGAGCATCGCTACGTGCCGCACTATTCATGTGCGGATAAATGTACATATGCATGCATACGTCGACGAGCGAACCGCATTGGGCTCGAGTCGCGACGTCGGTACCAAGAAAACGTTGACCGGCCGCATTCGTCGTGCATGGCGGGCAGCGGCTCCCATGCCGTTTAGGTGAATTAGTCCCGCCACCTGCCCAACCACACACCAAACCAGACCTGCCAGAAGGTGAGCAATTGCTTCCTGCATACCTAGTGCTCTTTCTTTCATCATCTAAGGGAAGGAATACATGATCAGTCACTCACGCTTGTCATGTAGCCAACGAGCCGGTGAATCAATCACACTCGAGACTGTTGTCGACTGCGCCTGTCATAGCACTTGGGTGAGACCATCGACTGCCTGCGACTGCCCGTGCCTGCCCTAGGTACCTGCACTGATCAGCAATGCCGTTCCGGCCCGCGGCTGGTCATATCATATTGTCTCGTAACATTGGTTTTCCACCCTTCACGACCCGCCTCCAACAAGGAACCACAGACAGTTCGACATTCACATCACTGTACCAGATGGCAGGTAGTCATATTCACGTCCGTCATTCCAAGAATCCAAATTCAAAAACCCCTTCTTCGGCGGCAAATCATGGCTGGTGGCCTTAATTCCCGAACATAGTTGCGAACTCTAATTCCGGCCCGCCTACAACGATATCAAGTGGGCTTGTCAGTGTCACCCACTCTCAGACTCCCCCAGTCCGAGAGACTCGGTGCGACTCAACATGTCGTTCTTCCAGAACAAACAGGACGCCATCCATGGCCGACGCACATAGGCTAGTGTAGAGCCAGTGGACGGTGGGCGACTACACTAGCTCAAGCTGGAGGGGCGGTCGATCTCTGTTCCATCAGCCGCATCGTCTGATCTCCGCCCAAAGATTCCAGAGATGCGAGTGGTCCGTCGAACCCTTGTACAGTTCCCTGCACAGCCCGCACTAGGTTTTTCCCACGTTGCATCCTAGCCTACTAGCCCTTGACGACTTTCTTCACCAATCCCCTCATTCATCAACCGCCTCTATGGAGACTTTGCTAGGTCTTCACTCCTTGCTCTCACGACGTCTTTTTTAGACAAGCTAATACAGACGCGTCTAGGTAGTTATCAATGATTAGTTTCCTCAGGCAAACGGCTATCCATCGAAACAACGAACCCGCTTTCCCGCAGACGCACATACCAGGCATGGTCATGATTGCCATGATGGACTTGATTCAGGACGACCACCCGCGGCGTCGTGATCGAACACGTACGCTGCTCCTCCTACGTCCTGCATCTTGCTTCCTGCACCTGGCTCCTGGCAGCCGCTGGTCCAAGCGGGCAAATGGCGTTGAACTCCATCGGGCCAGCTCGTCGTCTGCTTTGCCTGGTGAACGTCGTCGCTGCTCCTCTTTGATAGGGCGTCGTTGAAACAAGGCTGGCGCGGGAGGGTTCCGAGCACTTCCCCTCAGATGGTAGCACTACCAATGTTCAGACCAGGTCGACCTGGGATGGCCTAACGCTTTAAGGGAACGTGGTTGTCGTGAGGCGACGAAGCTATGGGACGTTAGGTAAGGAAAGGGGTCTGCACTGACCTTACAAGAGCTTCATATGCCGAGACGGGCGATGTTTGCAGCACGTCCCGTCGTCTCCAGGCGTTTCCCGCCTAGCCTTGCCCTAAAATGCCGCCATTGGTTCTCAGGAAGGGAGCCGATTGCCGATACTTGGTCAGATCAGACAGTGCTTGCGGCTTGCAGGTGAGGAGGACGTGGCTTCAAGCGCTTCAAGCGTTGCGATTGGATTGGGAGGTATTCTTCCCAGCACTTGAGCCTGTCTGCAGTCTACTAGTGGGTTGCGGCTCGAGGAAAACGCCTCTCTGGGCGCACGCTAGCCAACGAGCACATTTGCAACTGGCCTTGGTATTAGGGATGTGAGGGTACGAACGGCCGTAATCCCTATATTCGCCATCCACTTCGTGCTTCGTTCTGAGAACAGGCCGCGTCGCTCAATCTTGGATGGACCAGGCATTCCTCATGCAGAAGACCGACCTCGAACAGCTCGAGCCCGAGCCAGCAAAGTAAGACGCTCAGCTCAGCATGATGCTGTGGCACACATCCAGGGCTTTCGAATCACTTATGTTCTTTCTATTTTCAAATTGCGAGACTGTCATCTGATACGCCCCCTTTCTTCGATTGACCGAGCGCCACAGAAGGAAGGGGATTCTGACAGTTCCCCTCGTCAACGTTGCAGTCTGATAGACCATTCCGTCCAAAGATGACGCTTTTGAAGGGTTGGGAGAGGAAAGTTCTGTCGTGTTCCATACCTACGACAAGGGTACCGGTCACTCGTTCGGTTGTTGCCGCCCAACCCGGGGCCAGCAGAGCTGGTGGGAAACAGAGCAGAGTCTTCGTGTGGTTCATCCCCTGCCCCCTCTCTCCCTCTCTCCCTCTCTCGCCTACCTCCTCGATGGAGACAAGCAGAATCCCAAATGCTACGCTTCCCTTTCCCACATCGCTCATGTGGTTGGTTGGGGCAGTGACTGTCAAAGGAGATGCAAGATCTCGCGATATTTGGCATGTAGACAATCCGATTCGCCCGATGCCTTTGCTTCGGGCAAGGCGCCGAGACAACCGGATACCACCATCAGCCAACCGCCGCTTGGGTTCCGAAAATGGTGGTGTGTGTGGTGGTGGTGGAGGTGGCAGCCCTTTCCCCCGGTTCTGAGGGTTGGCATACGATTTGTCCGGCGGAAGGCCAGTATCCTTGGAGGACGCTCCTCTGGTCTGGCACAATTATCCACCCCCGGGGGGCGAGGAGGGAGAGCCGATAAATCCTGTGAAGTGTATATGTGTGTGTGTGCCGGCAGGCCGTCAACCAACGGAGTCAGGATTTGGGTGTTCCCCTCCGAGACCGTTTTTTCCTCCGTTTTCGCCGTTGACAGGGTTAGGGGGAGTCTTCCTACTGTTCGAGACGTCTCGATAGTCTTCTGAGATTTGGATATGGCGAGCTGGACCGACCAATACCTTTAAGCTGGACTAACGATGCTTCTGGTCTCAGACATTCTTGGTCTGCCTGTTTGGCTTTTGAGGTCACATACGACCATACCCATTGGAAAACTCGGGATCCCGTCCGCTCTCCCATAGATAAGCCAATGAGGGCCGGATTAGTAGTTGGGTCGGTGACGACCAGCGAATACCTGGTGTTGTATGATTTTTATTCCATTGCTGTATAGATTGAATATGGGTACCATCCTAGGTTTTTACTCCGTTTTCTTCCCTCAGACACGTGATGTCGCACGGCGGCTCATCGCCCGCGGACGTCGATTCGTCGTATGTCCTAGCCTACCATGAAACTAGATAAAAGCGTATTCCTGCATGGGCAGATCCATTATCTGCCACATACCCTTCACCTTGTCCAGCACTCTGTATAAAGGGATTGGGGCGATAGGTTCCGTGTCCGAGGCTATTCCCAGATCATTAGTGTCGGGTGCAGAAGGCAACCATTCAGGTTCCTTCCCTTGGCCACCTACTGCAGGATCACCAGTATCAGATGCACAAGGCCGCCGCTCAGGTTCCTTTCCTTTACCACCGACTGTAGGCTGTTCTTCGCCGACAGCGCCAGTCTGCTCCCCGGGGCCCTCCGACATCGTCTTCTCTACTGGCTCAACCACCCAACAGATACTCATACTTCTGATATCAGGCCGAGGCAGTACTTCCCAGCCTGAGTTGAAGACGGTAACAACGAGGCATGGCCCATCCACGTCGAAAATCGATACGAGCTGCTGCGTCCGAGCTTGGTCAGTCTCTGGCGCCCAGAAGTTTTGCTGGACAGCTTCTTCAAGCCAAGCCATACTGGATGGGGCGAGTCTCGTTTCGTGATCCTCGAAGACGTCGAAGGTTCCTCCGAGGTCAGAACTGAAGATTGTTGCCATGATACGTCGATGAAGTTGCCGTTGGATAATGGTGTCTGGAACTATGCCACTATTCTGCTGACTCGACTTCGCCCCTAGATTGCGGGTCGGCCTGTCTCCTACCAACGGGGCATCAGGAGCGTGGCTGTATCTGCCAACGAAAAGAACCCCTTCCTGCATGATCCGGTCCACGATCCAGGATTGGTAGTAGCCGCCGCCTTGATCTTTATCCAGTTGCAGTGTTCTAAACGGGATCGCCACGACGGCCGGGTGCGCAAAAAGCTGCCCAGATACCGAATCTGGCAGATACGGCTGGTGTTTGTCGATGGCATCTGTGCGGATCGATTGCCAAATGCTATTAGCGACGCCTAATGACTGATTGGTAGAGAGGCCGTGCAGGTATCGCAAGATGGCAAAGAAGATTTCCGCCACGATCTTCTGCATCTCGGGCTCCGCTTCTACGCGGTAGGCGTCAAGGTACACTTTGGTCTGGATCCCCGTCGCATCTAGGCCTCCCCAAACACTTGAGTCGGCAGCAATGGCACCATGGTGGAAGATTTCCAATTTTGCCTGGTCCATAACGTACTTCTTTGAGAAATGTTGGGTAATTAGGCCCTCTCGTCTAGAGAGTTCATCGAGGGATTCCTCCTTTTGGCGGTCGGCGATGATCCGCAAGCACTTCATCTTATGCCAGATCTCGGCGTATTGGTACTTCAGAGGGCTGAGATCGAGAATATCGTCAATTGTCCAGAGATACGTACAGAGATGGAGTCCTTTGCTCTTGCTCCCAAAACTATGTTTGTATACGGCCGGGTTGACGAGCTTGCCATCTTGTACTGCGTAGCTGTTGATCCCTTTGGAGTCCGTGTCAAAGGGCGACAGCAGGCTCCCTACGCGGCGGTCCATAGCAGGGTCTGGCTCTCCGTCTTCGTCACCGGGGAAGTCATAGACCTCGGGCACTAGAATAGATGTGTCTCCGTTAAGCAACGCGATGGCCAAAATACCGAGTCGGAGCGAACCGCATTCCTTGGCTACCCTGTCAGCGTCCAAGCGAATCTCGTAACTGCACATGTTTGCGAGTATTGTTAGACGATCTTGAACGTCGCGACAGTGACGAGTATTCAGCAGGGTTAGAGCCGTGGCCGCGTTAACCTTTTGACGGCCGCCGTAGACTCTGCCTCTGTACATGCGGACACCGGACGCGTGCTGACGCACTGTGATCTTGGGATGGAGAAATTCAGCGACAGAGAGAATCGGGATGGCGTTCTTGCCGATACTGGTTCGCATCAAAGCTTGCCCCATAACTTGGAAACGTTGTTCTAGCAGAGACTTGCAAGTTTGTACCAGGTCTCTGAAGAGGCCTACAGGGATGCATACGATCTCTGACTCTAGTGTTCGCCTCTCCGAGTCCAGAGGATGTCGAGGAGTTGAGTATCTCTTCTGATCGGCGCGGAGTGTGCATGTGTAGTCAACACCAGGACCTCGCCTAAACACTAGAACCATGCCGTCGCCGGCACTGACTGCTTCCTGAACAACCCACGCTCGCGTGTACCATCTGTCCGATTGGACCATGTGCAAGAAATCCAAAGCACAGTAGAACAACTGCGGAGGGAGACTTAGATAACGCAGTTTTTCGGTTTCGTTGTTTATTAGGTACTGAACCGCGCTCATCTCAGTCATGCTGATTGTCGATTCGTGTAGGCCAGCCGTAACGATAGCCCTGTTGTAAACGATGTCCATAGCCTGTACGCCGAGCCGCTGGTATGCCTTGTCTTTCTCTGAGCTATCTTCCTTCGGTTGGGGAAGGCATTCTTGGTCGATCCAAATCATGCGAAGGCCAACGGAGTTTGCAAAGTCTACGGCACGGTCGAGGACATCGTCGAGTGCGCGAGCAGGTCGTGGCTTGCCGTTAAGATCTCGGATCTTTGACTCTATGATGGGAGGAACCGTGTTTCCGTCCTTGTCTTTGATTTCCTCGGGCCAGCAGTACGATATCGCGACATAGTGAATACATACATCGACGCTCGCGGGCCGTTCTGTGACGAGATGCGGGAATTCGTCTGTTGGTTTGAAAAGGCGGAAGTCCCGTGTCTTCCTGTCGTGGGGGAAGGTGGGCAGTTTCGAACATATTCTGCATTCGAAGAAGTCATCGTCGTCTGCCTTGGCAGCAGAGGGTCCAGGACCCGCCGCCATCGGCGTGTCGCTAGACTCGTCGTCACCCATCAATGATAGACGAATGGCCTCTTGAAGCTCCGGGTCTCCATCTCCTCGTCTACGGGGGTTCCTTTGGATGCTGAAGATGGCCCGGCAGTCGAGTTCAGGGGCTCCGCTGTGATCGGTGTGTTGCTGAACTCATCGTCTTTCATCAGTGACAAACGGATGGACTCTTGAAGTTCTGTATCGTCCATATTGTCGTCTTCTGGAGGGTGTTCGGATGCCGTAGATGGCCCAGCTTCCGATTCCGGTTGCTTCAAGGACGCGATAATTGCTTGCTTGAATATGGGATCCTCGTCGCTATCCGGAAGGGTTTGTGGTAAAGCGGATGAACCAGGGCCAGGACTCGTCGACTTGAGCCTGGGAGAGTGCTCGGGTACCACGGTGTTCTTGCTGCTTTGGCCTGCCTTCGAGTCGCCATCCTCCGCGTCGACGGTGTCATCGTACACCAGGAACTTGATATCCCGGTAAGCCCACGTCTGTGCCTTGACGCGGTGCACTTGAAACTTCCAAAGCCCCTGTACCTTTTCGAGGTCCTCGGGCCTGAGAGCCGATATGTTATGACCCGTATCGTCTTGCATGTTGCCCGTTTCGCGATGTAGTCGGAGATGACTGTGTCTTCTGAAACGTCTTTCGAATAATGGTAGGTAAGCTCCGCTGATGGATAAGAAAGAGAGGGGACAAAAAGTGAAATGCGCATCCGAGTGGACAAGGACAATGTCATTCGAACCAGTAGTGGAGGTTAATCTATCATCATGACTGACACTGGGTGCCTCTCGTACACTTGGCTGCCTCCCAAGAACGCCTCGTAGCCTGCTTCGCAAACCCTTCCTGACGTCTTTTGCTAGCTAATGCGTGATGTAGCCCTCAGATTGCTATTCATGAGTGGAGCATGCCTCGGGGTTCTGCGGCACGTCTAGTTGCCTCACGACCGCTTCGCCACTGAGAAGGATTCAGCGTCCATTGGAAGATGGGGGTCATCTTTCGTTGAGCAAGGCAACGCCGCTCGACTGCAGTGTAGCAGTCAGCGTCACATCGAGGCAGATGGGCCGTATACAACGCAGAGGAGATGGAGGTGGTGTGCCAATGGAGCAAAGAATAGAAAGGATTCAGAGATATGACGTGACGCTCTGGAAGAGAGAGAAATGAGAGAATAGGCGAGGTGCAGACTCCATGGTGGAAACGGTAGGTAGCGAACCACCCCTTTTCTGATCCCACTTTCCCTCTTTCTCGGCAGCACTAGAAGTAGTTCCTTATGTGACTTTGCATCGTCACCTTCTTTGGTTGATGGCAACGACAGACGAGCAGTATCACTTCCCTGAAGATGAAAAGTCTGATTTCACAGAGATAAACTCATAAGCCAGACGCCGTGCTTTGCTGATGCCTATAATCGATAACTTTGTTCGCTCCTCAAGAGCGCAGACTTCTGCCTTGCGTGAGATGAGAACCACCACAAGATACCCAATTTCCTCCATACGAGTCTGTAAAGCAATATGCGCAGAGAAAACCAGCTTTTGCTGATCAACAGAACATGGCAGAGGATACATCGTCTCCTTCCTAAATCGAGCTTCCGCTACCTAATTTAGTACCTGTACACCGGTTCCTTCTTCTTGGAACTCTTCGGGGTTGATTCGTAAAGGTCATCGTCCGAGTCCTCGTGCAGCGTCTCTTGCCGGTTCCTCAGATCGACTGTATGAATCGGGTTGCCGCTGAGAGGTCCAGGCGTAGCGGCATCGTCGGCGCCATGCATTGTGATTTTGCCAAGAGCGCTGTCCTGTCTTCCAAGGTAGCTTGGTGTGGGGTTGAAGCCTGGGTGAAATGGCTCGTGACCCAGACGCGGCTCTTCACCCGGCAGTTCCACCGCACCACCGGATCCTCCGGGTCTGCTCGATGAAGAGTAGTGGTTCTCCGGTTGGGGGTCCCTGAATGGGTCCTCGGCCCCGTATTGCGGTTGGGCTTTCGGAGGCGGTCCCGGGGGCGGCGCGAAGGATTCTGATGCCTTCCCCTTCCCGCTTCCTTCGGATGGCCTTGTCGGCAGAGGAGGAGTTGAGCTAGAAGATGATGACTGCGCCTGTGTCTGCGCCCATTCTTGGGTTCGGCTTGCTTGCTGAGACTCGGCCGTTTGGGGGCTCACGGGGCTAGCATTGTCTGACCGCGGGTCAATTCCGAGCTGCTTTCGAGCGCCGAGAACAGCTCTCTGGTGCTGATTGAGTGCAGACTGAAGTTGCTCGTTCGTATCAATCAGGTGCTCCATAGTCTCGTTGTCGGGAGACGGGTTTTCGGCAGTCATGTACAGTTGTATACTCCTCGAGGCACTCTGGCATCTGTCGGCAAACTCCTTGATTAGGTCATTGTTGATGACCTCCTGAGGAGGAGTGTTGACGACAACTTGGGAGAGTAGTTTCGCAGATGTCCTCGCCTCTTCTAACCTGCTCGCAAGCTCCGCCGGGGTGGGCAAGCTTCGGTTGGTGTGATTCCTGGCAAAGTAATTCTGCGAATGGGGGTTGAACGGTGGCGCATTCATGGTACGAGGATCGGGACCCGCCATGGACTGTCTGGGGTTCTGTCGAGATTTGTCAGTTCGGCAAGGACGGAAACAACTACTTTATCAGGAGCCCTTACGCCATATTGCTTGTAGCTTCTTTCCTTCTCCTTCTTCCACATGGAGATCAACTCGCCCAGGCCCTGGTCGTCAAACTTGGTAGCCTCAAAGGTATCCAACGTCTCAGACAGCATCTGTCTGACACTGGGATCGTGCGTAGTACGGTATAATTCCTTGACGGTATCGGCGAACTTCTTGTCCATATTGCGCGTGAACGTGGGACCAGGGTTGTCGGTAAGGATGCGAATCAGCATGATGGCATTGTACTGCCACGAGGCTTTGGCGTGGTTGTCCTTGGCTAGGTATTTCCGGATAATGCGCGCGCACTCGGCGGCGGCGGCCGGAGAAGACTCAGCGGCATCAACAATGGGCGGGAGGTAGAGGACTTCATCGCCCTAGACGTTCTGTTAGCAGGCAGCTCCGTGCGATCACAATTTGTCGCGACTAAATATATACCTGAGCATTGGGGCCTCCAGATTCGCAGAATTGTTTCTGAACACTACGTCAGCTATAATCGTCGGCGTAGAGAAGGCTGGATCTTGCATACCACGCTACGGGCAGCTGTAGCTTCAGGCGTCTCGTTCTGCGGGTCTGCTGGCGACGCCGACACTTGGCTAGATCCACTGAAGTCTGGTGGAGAGAGACCTCGATCAGCACTTCATTCGCGATCAACCCGAAGATGGTTGAGGGAAATGGTTGTACGGCGGGTTCTACTCACTGTTCGTCGTTCTCTTCTTGAGCGTACTCATCATCCGGTTCACACTAAGCCCCTTCATTGCCTTCATCTTTGCGGTCGCGGAACCGGCGGGTGGAGGAGCGCTGAGCCGCGAGGGAACAGGAGACTTGCGTCGGAAGCACGGATCCAAGGGTCCTAGAGCAGACAAAGGGGAAAAGCGTCCGAGTCGGAGCGGAGTGGTCGGATGTGAGAGAGAGACGTTGATATAACCGTCGGAAGGTATCGCAAAAGCGGCCGTGAACAACTGAAGTAAATGGACGATAGGCGGATTGTCTGTGGGAAGGGGTTAAGGTTCGGTGACTGGAATGACAGCAATGCGGGAAGCTGTGCGCGTATGTTTTGGGGGCGTGGGTTGTAGGCAATCGGCGGGAGTTTGGAAGAAATAGGTACGGATACGCAGGGCCTAGTTGAGCTGCAGCCTGGAAGTGACGCTCGGAGGGGAAGGGTAAGGCAAGGTCGGACGGGCCAGACGAACTGGGGGGTTATTTTAAATTAAACCTCAGCCCGGCGTCCCGCGTTGGTCCACCGTCCACGGGGTCCTTTTTAAGCGTGTGTTGTAGTAGTGCGTGGTACGGTATCTGGTCTCTTGGACCGTTGGAGAAATTTTGGCGGGGTGATTGGAACGCCGCAAGTGACGAGCGTCTCGGCGTGTGAGAAGAGGGAGACGGCGGCGCCTGGCAAGGGTTCGGGTCGAGTGGGCTTGTCTGCGCCTCTCCGAGTGCGTGGTGCGAGGAGAGTGACTGACCGCGGTTCGGAGTAGAGGTCACGTAGCGGCGGCGGTAGTCTTTGGTCTTGCGAATGCCGGACGTTGCCGGTGGCTTTGAATAACCTTGATACTCAGCAGATGGCGGTTCTTGGGATCTATCTCGTGGAGGATGGCGCAAATGAGTGTGGCTGATAGTCGGTTTGTTTTCGGGCCTGGGCAGATGCTTCGTTTGGTGAGAGGAGGAAGACCAAGGGTTCCGTCCTGTCGTCTATTGGTGTCCGGCGTTAATGAGAAACCACAATGGGTGCACGGGAAGATATCAGTGTTTCCAGCAAGGTGTTGGAGACCCTTGTAATCTTGTCGTTGTTGGTTGGAGCGAGCAATGTGTATTGGATGCGTCAGATCAGGACGAACGTATGCGAGCGAAGAAAGAGAAGGGCAGTGGAAAGGTTTTCGGTTTGGCTTGAGCCAATGAAGGTATGCTCGTCGCACCTTTTGCTGCGGCGAGTTGTTCAGACCAGGTACGTTGTCGCGGCGTCGAGTCTGGAGCAGGCATGACGACGACTTGGATGGCAAAAAGTGATGCGCAAGAGGCCCAGAGAAGACGGCAGTGCCTGGGGAGACCTTGCACCGATCACCGCCCCGGTACGTATCTCGCAGCTTGGAGATGGGGACCTTGAAACCATCTAAGCCAACCAAACATTCCCTTGGGCCTTTCCTTGCGAATCCGTCCAGACGGGAGTAATCCTCCTCATCAAATCCTATTCATCCGAGTCTCTCGCTTCAGACTTAGGTTTTGTAACTGATGTTATTCGGACCTTGCCTTACTCTAGATGACTCGCGAGACTTTAATATTCTCGGCTCAAGGTAGATCTGCCCGATGTGCCCCAGATTCATAGTACGCATCAGAACGTTACTGGAGTGTTTACCTCCATTCTTTGGTTCGGGTTCTACTTTATTTGGAGAGGACCACGTCAAAAATTGGGGGTCGCATTAACTAGAGACATCCCCCATTTTGACGTATGCGGGCGGGTACGACGGTCTACCTCTTCTACATTCATGCCATAATTCAGGGTCTTTGTCCCGCAGATGATCGGACGGCATCTCGTTCCTTCAATAAAAGCAACTCGTATCAAGATAAACACCAAGCTAAACAAACTATGTATCTTTGAGCTTTTTGTTTATTATCATTATAGAAAACCGACAATAATCAACCTCAAGCTCCAGATACTTCAACTGCCAAACCCACGGCCCGGCAAGCCAAGTGTTGGTCTGCACTGTCGTCCCTGCACAGCCTCACTCATCCACGCAAGCAGCAACACCCTCAACACGTACGTGTATGGCCAAACAGCGCCACGGGACCTACTGCACCGCGCGCGGTGTACACACTCCTTTTTTCTGTCGGCATCCCGTCGACTTGTGGGGAACTCCCAAGACGCCAGACATCGGAGGCCACGCAAACCGACCCCTCTTTGGTGTACAACCTGCAGATACCTGGCGACGATATGTACATCATCAGGTTGCCTCCCGCGCCAACGTTGTTGCCCATTTTGAGCTTTTCACGGCATCATGCTGATGGCTACCTTACCTTACCTTACCCAAGATGGATACCCCAGATGGACAGACGGCTCCCGCGGCTAGCTTTCGGCGATAAGAGGCTATCATATCCTGTAGCTTGCTGACAACGTTCTTCTATAGACGCAACATGTCTGGAATAGTTGATATTGGCCGCCCGGTCACTGCGCGTACAAGATGGCGCGGTTTTCTACTAATGCTTGTCTATCTTGTGCCATCCTACACTTGCTTGATCAGATGCCCTCAGTCGTACTTGCTCCATCTACGAAGAGTATTCTTCACCGTCGTCTGACTCGCCGTCGGCCGAAACTTCCTCCACGATCAGGTTTCCTGACCGTCCAATCTTCTGTCCCATCGTCTCTTCCTTGCTGGGCTCGTACACAACCCGGGGCATGACAGACGCAATGCGGAACTGATACTCGTGCTCGTAGCCCTCGGGCTTGATAGCAGCCTTTTCTGATGTTTCTTCTGATGCCGTCAACACATCGTAACACTCCACGAAAGCGTATAACGTTTCCATCGTGGTGTCGTTCCGGAATCGGCGCACAATCCTTCCGGCGCCGGACGACTCGGGCATCTTCAGCGCAATCCGTACCACATCCTTGTTGCTCGCTGGCGGTTCGTCTTCCATCGTCGTTGCCCGCCAACGCTTCCACTTATCGCCAAGCTCCTCGCGCCTTGCCGCAGCCTCGGCCTCTTCCTCGGCTTTGCGTGCAGCTTCTGCCGCAGCCTTCTCCGCCTCGCGCCGCTGTCGCGCTCTCTCCCTGTCCTTAGCCAGCGATCGTTCGTAAGCAGTATCTTGTTCGGTTCGTAAACTGCGCGCCACCTCTTGTGCAGTCCTCTCTGCTCGGACACCTGCGAGATCCGGTGCATATTTGTTGACAGCGGTCTGTGCTTCTGAAAGGTACGCAGTAGCCGGCATCGGGCCAGCAAGCCGCTTGATGATGCTCATTCTAGTGCTTCCTTCCTTTGGCGTGAGGCAGACGATCGCTGAAAACGGGTACTTCGTGCAGTTGTATTCCTGGGCAACCTGGTACGCTTCCGAATCGAGGATATTACCGCCCCACAGAATGACATTGTTCGCCGGGTCGGTGATGAAGCTGACCACATCCGGGTTCAACAGAGTTTCCCTCGTGAATGATTCGGTGTCGTCGTGTTCGGGTGACATGAGAACGACCAGTAAGAATTTGAGTTCCTTTTTAGCCAGGTCTTGTGCCTGAGCGATCCCGCCCTCGAACCAGGGCAATTCGGTGCTTCCATACTCTTCCTCGAATTCGCGCTTGAATCGCGCAGCCGTGTCCCGGGGCATAAGCATTCGGCGCCCGTTGGTACTCCGCAGTCCATTTCCCGGTCCGCTTGTGATGGCTCGTGGCCGGATCTGTCGGGGAAGAAAGCTGAGTAGGTAGAAGACGGTCCGGAACATCTTGGATGCGATGCTGTAACCGATGCTAAAAGGCGCCAAAAGCAGCCCGATGAGGAAGGGCGGACGGTGGACTGTATTCGGTTGAGGAACGATTCGCGGCGCGGGGTCGGGTCGATCTCTCCGAGGAGCGGGTGGACGACCTGCAGAGGTAAGCAGACTCTCTTGAAGGTTCTCGTGCCGCGCTTCTGTCCGAGGAATGTCCTGTGCCATTGCCTCCGCGACAGGATCAGGGCCTTCGCCGTCGAAGAACTTGGCGATGGCGATCTGTAGCCAGAGCAGTCAGTATGGTTCGCAAGCCGGCTGATACTGTGATGCGAAGTTTACCTGGACATTCCATTGCGATCGCTGCAACAGCGGTATCGCATCCTTGAGCTCTTGATTTGTGACACTTGTGTATTGCTGGAGGGACTCTTGCTGACTTGCAGACAGCTGTCCCAAGTCTACGTCTCCGCTCTCCGCCATGCTGTCGGTTGGTGCTGCACGCGATGTCAGGATTGGCGAGTTTGTCGAAGTGACGGTGTGGGGAAAGTCCAAGTGCAGATTCAGTAGTCCATAGAGTAGGTGGTTGAGCAGGTTGACGTTGTGGAAGGAGTTAAACCTGAGGCGGAGGTGGGCTGGTTATAGCTAAGAGCAACGTGGCTAAGCAAGGTAGCGGAGAACGACACTGCCGTGGTAGTTGTAAGCCTGCCAACGTCGTGATAAAAAGCCAGAGGTCAAATGCTTTGACAGTAGAATGGAAAACACAAAAGTTGGATCTACTGTAGGAATGGAGGGACAGGTTCAAGAATCAAAGGCGCGGGTTTGGGCTTTGATGCAGCTCATTGACGAGAGGCTGGATGCGTTAGAAGCAAGTGACCGAGTGTCTGAGATGCTCCGCTAGTCGCAGCTGATTGTCGAGTGTCTTGCCTGGTGACGACACTTGTCTGTGGACGGAGGTCGGATGTGCAAGGGCTTGGCAAGGTACATGAGGTAGGTACTGCGCCTTACTGCCGGCGTCTGCGCGACGAATCGCGACCGCGACGCCACAAAGAGTATACCTTATCGCTTATCAGGACACATGGCAATTGCATCTACCCAGTGAGGGGAGGCTGTCGGATAGGTGCATAGCCCCGCCGTGATGTGAAGTACGCCTGCAAGTGGTGTTCGGACACCTACAGGATCGTCCCCGAGCTACAAACACCATGAAGCAGTGCTGGAGTTCTCGAAATTTTCCAAATCTCCAATAGGCGAGATTGTGTTCCATGAACTTTTTTCTAAATACTCTTGATGTAAAGTGGTAAGCGGAATATGAATGAGCTGACCAGTCTCCTCTCATTCCTACATCAAATATTGATACACTTCCGTGAGTACTGCACTTCATGATGCCTACAGCAGGCCAGAATTCCTGCAATGCATACCGGTATTATTATAAGCTTGTGAGCGAGTGATGCCAACCTTACGACAGCCTGAAATTTGTTGTAATGACCTAATGTGACGGAACGTTAGACTGGATGGAGTGACATGCCTTATGCACTTAATGAAGGCCAGCCTAACCTTGATGTTATTGTCGCTCGGATATTGTGGAAATGACATACTTCCACGGCCAAATCCAACGCGTTTACATATCCACCACGAATGTTGATTAGTAGTGCTAGAGCATTGACTTTTAGCGGTTTGAATGTCGCGAGGGTGTGTCATCGTCTCCCCCTCACAGTATTGGACCCAAGTTGGTTTGACTTGGTTGGTTCCATTCCCACCCACCGATTCTCCGGCTTCAGGCCTAACCTCCGCTCGCACCGCCAACTCCCGCTCCTGTGTTCTGTGCCAGCCTGCCAGGTTCATTTCCTGGCCACGCGGTAGCAAATCTGACCTCTCTGTCTTCCCACCTACATACACCACTTTCGCTCCGCTGCCCGTCGCCGCCATTGTCGCCGGTCCCTGTTTTTTTTCTTCCCTCTTTCCTTCCTGGTCCCTCCCGCCTTTCCTGCGCTGGGCTTGCATATCCGTACGCATCCTCCCCGTTAAGTACAGATACGGCGCGCGCATACTTGGATTCTACCTCACCTTGCCTTACCTAAGGTACTATCTCAACTGTACCTTATTCCGACTGCATCCCGTCGCCTTGCATCGTCCGCCAATTTGATCTGTCGCCATCCTCGACTCGAACCTCGACCCTCGCCTGGTGCACGGCATCGTGTCCATGATCGAGACACCTACCCCACCAAACGTGTTCGAGCCATGGCAAAGGTCTGCAAGGATCAAGTGCGTCTGCCCAAAAATGTCCTCCCCCCCAGTCCGGCTTCGCGCCAGGCCCCACGCGAGCTCCAGTCCTTCTTCTTTGCCCGCCTTTGTCTTCTCTCCACCCCGCTCAGACAGCCCAAGTCCTGAATTCCCCCCCGTCCACACCCAGCGCGCGCGCGTCCAAACCATGAAAACGACCTCGACGACTACTCGATCATGGGCTTTGGATTTGGCTGACTCTGTGCAGACGTCGTAACGTCGACCAAGGGGGCGAAACTTTCTTCCACCGAAACTACTGATCATGGCCACCTCGCGATACCCCCAGTCCGACCTCCGTCGACAAGTTGGGTCGCCGAAACCCAAAATCCGAGGCGAGTCAACGCGCATGCCGCTTTTCCAACCACGTTGCCGTGACAGGATAGCTGACGTCTTATCAATTGGCTTAGAAAACAAAGAGACATTATGCCGAAACGTAATGATATACGGACACTGCCGATACGAGAACACCGGTTGCGCCTTCAACCACGACCAGAATCGATCCAACTCGGTCCAAAACAGTCCCGGGGGACAGAGCAACCAGTCTGATTTGTAGGTCACCGTCCAGATCCGTTCCGCTATCATGATCGACTTCCGTGGTCGATCAACCTGTTCAAAGTGCTCGAGAGCTGCCAATGTTCCCTATCGAAGCCTGATGCTTTTCTGCTGGAGGCAAAAGAAAGCGCCATGGTTGCAGAGGCCATGGCACAGGACCAGAAGCGCAATTAGACTCCGGCCACACGTGTATCAAGCAAGCCTGGTGGCGGACAGAACGTCTCGACACTGAGGCTTGCATCGCGTAGAAAGAGGAGTTGGACCATTTGAACCCCAATCAAGGGTGAAGTCACGCCGAGCGGCTCGCATTCACATCGTGATATGCAGCAAAGCTCCCGTGGAACTTGGATTAGTTATCTTAGGGTCGGTGTGGACCGACGCTGTGGTCGCAGAAATGTGACATGAAATTGGAGAGCGCCATGGAGGATGAGACGTAGACCACCAACCCGAGGAGCATTGACGATACCGGAAAACCATCAAACTCACATCGCAGGCCATATTCGTAGAGAGCTAACGTTTGGACTTTGTAGCGCGAGAAAGGCCCTCAATGTCGACTCACCTTCATTCACACCCGCCGGTTTACCCTCGGTGGCATCCCCGAATTCAAATGCAATAGGCAACTCTTCGAAGAAATCAACATTTTCCTCTCAGGCTGCTAGTGCAGCCGTCTTTACTCCTAGAGGGGCAGGCTGTATGTTTAGAGCCATGTTGTATCGCGGACTGTCTCATCTAATTTCTTCACAGCTGCGACACCAGCCGCCGCTCCAGATGGAGAAGCTGCGTCCACAGTATTTAACCCCGCCACGTTCCGAGAATTCACCCCATCAAACTTTGAGTTGAGTACTGGTGTAAGAACGACTGTACCTCACACAAGATGCAAGGCTGACCTTGATTTAGATCACTGCCAATGGCTCAGCCTCCGAGACAGGGCTCTCTTTTGACCCCTTTACTATGCCCAACGTTGGCCAGACATTACCGGCCACACCATTCAACCCTTATGCCGATGATCCTACCGGACTCGCTGGCTCAGGTGCCTACTTCCAACATCAAAATGCTTACACGGCCCCCCTTCAACCCGTAAGAGAACGCGTAGTAGAAGTTGTGCGTACCAAAACTGACGCTTTGTAGCTGCAATACCATTTGTACGCACCCGTTGGGCCGTATAGAGATGACTTGATGCCGTTCCAAAGGCAAATTCACGACTTCTTCTTACCTGAGAAACTGCGTGAGGAAATGCAACGCAAGTCCGAGGCTTTGCAACAGGTTATGCCAAGTAAGTTACGAAATGAACCACAGGTGTACAAATATCTAATACTGCGATAGACTCGACACTACCTCCGTTAGACAACTACTACTCCCTTGTTCCTCTTGACACCAGTCATAGGAAGAGCTCTAGCGTCTTTGGCTTCACCACATGGGTGTACAAGGCTACCTCCTCGAAGAATGGCAAAACATACTGCCTCAGACGGCTTGAGGGTATGCTATGCAGCGAAGCCTTCCCTCGACATTACTAATGCATAATAGGTTACCGACTAACCAACGAACAAGCCATTCGCTCTGTCAAGGAATGGCGAAGGCTCAACAATGGCAATGTGGTAGGCATTCACGACGCCTTCACCACTCGAGCCTTTGGCGACAGTTCCCTGTTCTTCGTGCAAGACTACCATCCCCTCTCTAAAACACTTGCCGAACTTCACTTTTCCCAACCAGCCTCCACCCACGGCACCCGCTTCAGCGCAAAGAATCCCATAACCGAAAGCGTTCTGTGGGGCTACATTTCCCAAATAGCCAACGCGTTGAAGGCTATCCACACATTAAATCTGGCTGCCAGATGCCTCGATATGAGCAAGGTTATCGTGACGGACAAGAATCGCATCCGGCTTAGTGCTTGCTCCATCCTGGATGTTGTTCAGTTCGACAATCGTCGCCCGGTTCAGGAGCTACAACAGGAGGACTTGATTCAATTCGGGAAACTCATTTTATCACTGGCCATTAACACGCCGCCGAATCAGCTCACAAATCTCAAAGGGTCCATGGAACAGATGAGCAGGGTTTACTCAAAAGAAATCACTGATACCGTCTTGTGGCTTCTGACCCCCGCTCCTGCTGGTGCCGCGCCGAAGGGTATAGAAGAGTTTGTCCGGGGCATCGCAGTCCACATGGTTGCCACGCTAGATGCCAGCTTACAGGAAGCGGACGCCCTGAAGTCGGATCTGTTCCGCGAACTAGAAAACGGCCGCATCGTGCGTGTGATGGCCAAGCTCGGGGCCGTCAACGAACGGCAGGAATTCGACGGCGACAGGAATTGGTCAGAAAATGGCGAGCGATACATGCTCAAACTATTCCGGGACTACGTCTTTCACCAGGTCGACGCGAACGGGAATCCTGTGGTGGACATGGGCCACATTATCCGATGCCTGAACAGACTGGACGCTGGTAGTGACGACCGAATCTGTCTTACGAGCCGAGACGAGCAGACGAGCTTTGTCATCAGCTATAAGGAGCTGAAGAAACAGCTCGGCAACGCATTTGGGGAGCTCCTCAAGGCAGGGAAACAGACATCGAACCGAGGGTTCCAAGGTACCGCCCACTAGAGCGGGGAGGGTTGCGATTACCACGGGTACGACAAGGATCGGAACCACGATCATGAAAGGACGGGGAACGAGGCTTCAGCGTCCTTGGATTACAATGCAAGGGGCTGCGCTTCAGACGACGCGAGAAACTACTACGGAGTGTGAAGAACGAACCGCGATGGTTTAAGACGTTGGACTACGGATGCACGGTTGGAACGGCGCGTGAGACGATGAGTGGACGCGAGATGATCATCGCTTGCCTGCCAGGTTCGAAGGTATAAGAGGAGCGCATAGGAGCCTTCGAAGTGAACGGAACAGCGAGGGGAGCGGAAGGAATAGAGAAAGGGGAGTGAGCGGTCTCGCTGACTGTGGGGACTCAGTTAGATGGGGTACAAATGCGGGCAAGAATAGTAACGAAATAAATCTCTTTTTCATTTATTTTGTTCGTGCAGGATGAGTTCAGGGAATATATCCGGGGTGCAATGAGCCCTGCCGTCCCCGCTGTCGTCATGGTATTTGCGCCATACCTTCCCACCCCTTTCTTTTTTTCCGGTTTTTCTATCTGGGAACTTGTGATATGCCATTATCAATTCATGTCCTCCTGCCGATGTACGCACACAGCCTGCAAGAAAGGGGCTGCGATCTCGCGTTGCCCATACATCCCCGCCAGGTCGCGCATCAACCGTCCAGCTCTGATGCCTCGTTGATAGAGCGTTCTGTAAGAGCGCGGTCCCCTCTCCCCTCATAAAAATGGAGTTGGGAATTTTCCAAACAGAAAATCTAACGAACCCCTGACCATCTTTCCACACGCCCAAATCATTCCTCCTCGGGCTGCGCAAACGGGTTTGCTATGGGCTCGCTTCCGTCGACGGGGCTGACGAGGACGAGCAGGGTTCCGCGGGCGACGATAAGGCCTAGGGACCTGGTTGTTTCGTTTTCTTCTTCGTCTATCATGTGTTTCTTGTTAGCCGCGAAATCAACGGGGTTTCGCCCCTTCTGTTTTTGGCACCAAGAAGAAGGCACACGTACCTCTCATGACTTCCTGGACCTCATCCAGCACCAGGTTCATCAGCGCATCGTATCCCTTCAACGTTCCGGTGACTGTAGATATTCCCCAATGTTAGCAACCGGTACATTATATTACCACAAAGGTCCTCGTGCAAAGCACAGAGGATAGATACTGAGAGAACAAGACAGGGGGAAGAAGAACAAACCTTCGCGCCCGCCGTTGAACTTGACGGTAATCTGCTTGTCCATATACTTTGACAAGTCGAGGATATTCTCCTTCTTGGGCCTCTCCCGGTCGCCGCCCGAGCCCTGGGCACCGCCTCGATCACCACCGCCACCACCGCCGCCGCGACCTCCTCCCCTTCCGCGGTAGTTTCCTCCCCCTCCTCCGCCGCCGCCGCCTCGGCCGCCGCCTCTGTGTGAGCCTCTATCCGCCATTGCGCGCGCCGGGTTGTGTCGTGTCGCGCGTTTATTCGGAGGGATAAGCGCGGTGATGAGGCCTTGCCGGTATCGGTAGGGGATGTGTAGTAATGCGCCGTCTACCTCGATAATGTCCCTTCAATAAGTCGGCTATGGGAATTCGCCTTCTTCTTCGACGAGGTTTCTTCTGTTCGCGGGGGTGACGTCGTCGAGATCGTTGGGTTTTTTTGGGGCTGGGGTTACTGGCCGGAAAGGCTAGGGTGAGGTCGTCGGTGGTGGGTTAGGAAAATGAGCTTGAGCTTGGTCCGGGCTTCTTCCATGGTGGGGCGGGCCCGCGTCTTTCCATCCTTCCCCCCTCCCCGCCGTTGAGAGGCCCGGGCTCCGTGATTGGCGGGGCGCGGGTTCTTCGTTCGATCTGGGAGGACGGGACGGGACACATTTGAAGTAGTGTGCGGTTCCTATCTATAGAGAAGGCAAAGCAAAGAACTCCGGAAAACTGCAAATAGCAGTTTGCATATGACGCGGAGGATGAGAACAGAGAAATCTTGACTTATTTAGTGCTTTTACTTACGAGTACATAGTTTCCAACTGATAATGGTGCTCAAATGGTAATTTTGAGGTATCTTGGAAAATGGTCGTTTGGGCGATAACATTGCTTCAACGTTGCGCATGGTCACTATTTCCTCGAAACGTGAATTCTTCTTAATTGTCTTTTTTTTTTTTTGCGATTCGGGGCGTCCCGTCAATGGCCACGCTACGCATCTTGCCTACCATTCACCAATACTTTCTCGGCACTCATCAAACCCCCGATGAAAACCATTTGTGCGGGAAGCTGGTCTTGCCGTCGCGACGTCTCAAGACAATACCAAGAGGACCATGTCGAATGTCAGTCATCTCAGCATCCGCAGCGAAAAGAGACACATCGAGTCCGAATAACGACAAAGAAAAAACATAGATCATTCGATTCAAGGGCGCGTAGCCGCGTTACCGAGAAAATTTAAGTTTCGGTAAACGGGGAGGAAAATACTGCTGCCTATCCGCATCCACGAGGTACTTACACCGCAAGAAAAAAAGATCCAATAACCATCATTATGAACCAGTGAAAATTTCAGAAGATCTAATTTCCGTTCTTTCTTGGGGTTCTTACTAGGATCGGCGAAAAGACCGATGACTTTGCAGCAAACGACGCGCAACGCTCGAGTCGAAACGCCTTGGCGCTGATACGTTCGCAGCGCGCGTCGTCGTTGAAATACGACTACGGGCTTAGCTCCAGCCCGTGTAAGTGACGACACACCATGGGGGCCATGATTTGTGAAGCGGTATCCGTAGGTATACTAAGGCTAATCGAACCGATGAACCAGGCTGTGCAGCTTCTCTTCCCTTTTGACTAATTTGGACGAACCCCAGGAAAGAGATGGAATCATCGAACCGGGGGGGAAGGGGGAAGGGAGGTTAGTTCAGTGAGCGATATACTTCATACTGTGGTGTAAGTTCCTGTAAGAGAAGTAATCCTGGCGCGTGTTCCGTTGGTGATTTCCAAAATGTCTTGGCACTGCCCTCTGCGCCACCCCCGATGATATTGATGGGCAACCAGAGCACCCCCAAAGGAGCGGGAAACAACGCATCATTACGCCGCTACATTAGATCTTTAGTTCAGGGCCATAAAGTGGGAATCGGGGAGTCCAGAGTTGGTTGGCAAATTCCCGAGGTTGGTGAAATTACGTCCCTACTATCCCATTCGTCTTGCTCCTCCAGACATTTGGTCGGCGTTCTCGTCTGCAGATGGGGGCCACGTACCGCGGTTACGAGGCCTGTCCGCCCTCCTGACCACTCTGCCTCCCTGCAAAGTCCCTGTGAAGTAGATGCATTTGAGCAATGCCAGAGTGAAAGAATTTCGGAGGCGACGGGCTGCGAGGACCGTTTCCATGTCGGTTCAACTTGAAAGCAGTTTTGTGTACCGGTACTGCGTAGTGATGTGTGCGTGTGTGACATTCAAGATGTGGTCCCCCCTTCTCACCCTCCAAGGACGAAAGGGAAACCAAACCGATCTGCGAAAGCGAGCGAGCGGAGAGGGGCCGCTGGCCGCTGGCCAGTGGCAACTGCTGCTCAATTTTTATTCCAAAACATTGACAGGCCCAAAAATAAGGTAGTTGTTTTGCCCATCAGTGTCGGAGCGAGTTACATCCCAGCCGGTCGTCCGTCCCTGGAATTTCTGCACGTGCGTCGCGTGGGAAGGAGGGGGGAGCGCGGTAAGTGGTTCATGCCACATGGGAGGGATGGGGGCTGCTAAGTTGGGAAACGTTTGGCTTGGTTTGGTTTTATAACGACTTGAAGTGATGTTTTAGGGTGAGGGGATGCGATGGACCATGTGCGATTGACATAATTAGAAGCGTCGTGGGCAGATGAGACTGCGGTTGAAGATGATCTCATTCATTGGCCTTTTAGAGTTGATTTGCGCGGGCCTTTGAGTGCCGGCCGGCGAGCGATGCATATTCGCACCTAGTCCAGGACTCTATGGATACTTGCTGTGTATGCAAGGGTACTTGGGCGGGGGCGGCGAAAGTCATGTTTCTGCGATGCTGAGGGGCCGCTTGAGTCGCCCCGAAACAAGACGGGGTTGGCTTGTTGACAGGCATCCCGGGTGAGGATGAAGAGGAGTTTATAGATTGGCGATACTTTGGGTCCCCGACCTCAAGTCTTGCTTTTGACGCCGGTACCTTATTTCGTACGGAGTACAGAGAAGCCAACAGGGAAAGGCGTAGGTTTCTGGAGTAGGTAGTGCGTTCCTCGCGTTCCGCTCCGTCCGAAAGAGATCAAAGCTTCCCAGTCGTCGGGTCTCCGTGTTTCCTCTCTCCCACCCACCGTCGTCCCTTGTCCGGATTTCTGTTTAGCATTAGCATTTTCGTTCTAGAAAAGTTCCATCTACGGATGGGCTACCTGTACCAGGTACTGCGCACTACGTAGAGGGTGGACGACCGCGGTGCCATGGCCCAGGGCGCGCGAATCGACCAGCGGGCGCGCGGGTTCCCTAGTTCATCTTTGGTAACGTCGTACCTTACTAAGGACCAAGAGGGCCTTGCTCCGCCCCTCCACCCCGTCCGCCGTCGAACAAAAACCAGGAGTGCTAGGCTTCCCAGGCGAAGTAGAGAGTCGCTTGCCGTTTGTCTGTCAAGTGCTGGGCATGCGCCGTCACGTCGTGCGGTGTAAGTCGGGACACGCCAGGGTAAGACGGCAACCCAGAAAGATGGGATGCTTTAATGTGACGTGCCGGTTCGCCGGGGGTGGGAGGTATTGGATACTAGGCTCGAGGTCAGGGTCAGATCACAGATGCGATGCAACGGAAAAGAAAGGGGTGGTGGTGATTGTCAGGACTCAGTGGTGCGGCGTGCCTCTTCTCTTGTCTTGTTTCTGTCTCTTGTTTCTTGTCTCTCTCGTTTCTGTGCCTTGTCTGCGCCGGGTGTCTGTCTCTGTACACCAAAAGAAAGGTAGGTAGGTGATGGTGTACGAAGTACGAAGTACTCTCGAGTCTCGGTGTCCCGGCAAGGTAGTTGGGCAGGTGAGGATCTACGGTGCGCTCCTCCCTCCGAGATTCCCACCCGGCAGCCCATTTTCCCGACCGAGTCTCATGTTCAGCGTGGGCGGTGTCTCAAGCTTGTTAGTCGTCTGTTCATTCATCCATCCCATTCCTCCTTGGACAACTCACTTTGTCATTCATCAATCACTCTGTCACAGTCACAGACTCATAGTCTCACACAGATGGGCCCCCCTTCTTCCCGCCCGCTACTCCTCTCCTCTCGAAACACTCAAAGCCGACTGGCCGGTTGGCTCCTCCATTTCCCCAGTTTCCAGGCTGTGCACTGCACCAGGCTGGAGCCGGCTCTTTTGGGGCCCATGGGCCATGGGCCTTGATTGAAAGAGCCTGGCAGCTTGTTCCCCGCTCGTATTAATTGTGTTCGGCGTCCAATATCCTGCATCGACTATCTCCCGGCATCAAGAAGTTCTTCTAACTCTATGTCGCGGACCGACGATGGGCACCTCGGTCTCAAAATTGCCAGGTCCCCTTTTTTGCTTAAATTTTGCGAATCAAACCTTGCCGCTTTGCCGACCCCTTGGAACTATTATTTGCTTGCTCATTGTTATTCTCCCCGAACCCGACCTTTTCGGCTCACAGAGCCGGACTGGACTGTTCAGCTTCCAAGCCTTCATAGGGCTGCCGGTCTTACATAAGGAGACGGACGACAAGCGGGAAACGGCCTGCTTTTTTGTTCAATCTTACCTCATATTAGTCGCTCAATTGCTTTATACGACATGTCTGCGCCGGGTCCCAGCGCCACCCCCGTACACAGTTCGCCGTCATCCGTTTTAAAATTTCCCACTTTGCTCGTATAGGACAAGCTGCGTTTATCGACGGGTCAAGATCCAAGGAAACGCAAGAGGCAATTAAAAGAACGGCGGGGAGAAGAAAGAAGAAAAAAGATTGAAAAAAGGCTCACCAAGAAAGAACTCATCGCCGGGAACTCCCTATTACGCCGTCTTACATGGGCTGAACCACTGAACCACTGAACCACTGCATAAGCACAGGATAGCTTCTTCTTCTTCTTCTTCTTCAACGGACAGAAACAGACGGCCTGTCTCTGCACACAGCCCCAGATCCAGTCCAATCCAAACCAGCCCGGTGGTGTGGCCCCCACCAGAATTGCTTGGTTATCAATTTAATTGCTCTTTTGGGGCTTTGGGGTGGTGCTTTTCGCGCGTGTTTGGGAACCGGGGCGGGCAGCGTTTCTGAGAGCTGGCACCCTAGTCCACACACGCATCATCACCACATTCCGCTGCCTTGGCTTGGCATATTTCACGTTACCTCAACTCACTTTATCTCACCTGCCTCAAGGTAACCACAGCCCATACGGATACATCTTACCAGTCGGGTATCTCTCGGTTCATCCATCGCCTGCCTACCTCATCTTGTCTTGCACCTTTCATGCCACGCTAGGAGCTGCTGTAGCTCCCAACTCACTCCCGGCAGCTGTTGCCTCTGCGCTGCGCTGCGCTGCTTCCCGCTCAAGTTCCACCAATCCTCCTCATCTCAATCTCACTTACACACGCCTCACGCCTCTCACACCTCACACTTTGCGCCCAAGAGGGGGACCCTGCCCTGCCCTGGTCCTCCACTTCTTTCCCTCTCTCACTCTCTCACTCACACGCACACACTCACTCGCTCACTCACCCTCTATCCATACCGGCGTACACAGCACTACTGACTGTCCAGTCCTTTTTAGACCCTCCGTACGAGGGCAAACTGAGGTGTCCTCGGGTTCCGTCAGTCCAAGCTTTTTAGGCTCCCTCCCTTCCCGACGAACGAAAAAAGAAGGACGCCGGGTCCCCTCTCCCACCCCCGGCCCCATCCGTTTAGTGGAACTTCCCTCCGCCCTTGCTGCACCGTATCTTTGCCTTCCATTGCGGTCCTGCACTGCATTTTCCCAGCCGTCCACCGTCACACACACATACCTTACTTGACCTTACCTTACACACACCTCGCCTCGTGCCTGGGCTACCGCTCACTCTACCTTAGCATCCCGCCTCTCGCCTCTTTCTCTCTCTCTCACTCACTCACTCCCATTGCCTAGTCACTTTCATACACACACTCGCCCGCCCGACTCATACGGGTGCCGCCCCTCTCCCCCCCCCCCCGTCGCGAAAAAGGGAACCCACTCTTCAAAACTCCCGTTCCGTCGTGTCTCTCCTAGTTCCTCAACCTGGGGGTCTCACATCCAGAGGTACGGTACCTACTCTTCCTCACTCTCTATTTCACTCACCTCACTTTCATACCGACACACGACATAACCAATTTGGGATTTTGCGGCTTTGCGGTGGGAACTCGGCACCTGCTTGGCCCTTGTCATTGGGCAATTCGCCCGTAAACTCGCCTCTGCAGCTGTACCCCCGTCCGCTCTTCTTTCTCTCTTCTCTCCCCGTCCCGTCCTCCAAGCCGTCCCATCCCAACTCCATCACTCTCGCGTACCTTACCTACCTACCTGACCTTGCCTTACTCTCTGGTTCTTCATATTCCCTCTCACGCGCACGGCGCAAGCACATACTTGCCTGGACGGTCTTTCTTTCTCTCATCCCGTCACCCTGTCCATCCGCCCTCTACCTACTTGTGTTTGTAAGTAACCTAGGTACCTTACCTTAAGGTACGTTAAGGTACCCAAGTTCCCTTGTCTCGCCTTACTCTGCCTCTCTCCCACCTGAGGTACACCTACCTTACGCCTATTTCCTATGAGTACTCCTCCTCCCGAGTTCCGCCCCAGTTCCCAGCCAGCCCCCGTCCTGTGGCCCCGACCACGTCCCCCGTTCCCCCCCGTACAAATCCTGAGCGAAACCCCGATTCCAACCCTCCTCCTCTCCCCCCGTCTTTTCTTGGCTCTCCGGCCTCGTTCGCTCCCCCCCCTTCGATCAACAAAATCTCTCGTCCCTCTTTCGTTCGAAAGCTTGCTTGCTCCATCCCAAGCCCCAACTCTCTCGTCCCTTCTGTTACCTCAGGCATTCCTCCCTCACTTCACTGGGGCCCTGTCTGCTGGGTTGCCACCACGTCAAAAGGTGCTGCTTCGCCATGAACTAACCAACTTCTAGATTTTAGGATCCCTCTTATTACGCCCCGGGGCCCTTTGGCCTTCACACACACTTTACACCACTCCACCCAAACCACAACTCGTCTCACACACGCACCCAACCTTTTGTTTTACAGTTAATCTTACTCTTTAGAGAGAAGAAAACAAGGCCACAACGAGGAAGGGTGGAAAGAAGGAGAACAAGAGACACCTTAACCTCACGGGATCTTCCCGTCTGTTGCCCGGTGATAATTTCACCATGGCGCATGCCCAGGATTCCCAAGAGCCCCATAAACGGAAACGGGACGCAGACGACGGCGGCGCTCAGCCAGCTCACTCTGATCGCATTCCCCAGCCTCCTCCGCCTCAGTCAGGTATGTGTGGTGCGCCAGTGTGTGTGTGATCCAAGAGTCGAAGTTTCCAGCAAGAAAATCAAATCCAAAAAAAAGAGAGAGCAAGAGAGCAAACGTGTCGCGATGCGCTGAAGGAACATGAGCCGTCGATCTCATCCATCAACTGCATCTCGTCGTTGTCGTCGTCGCGCCCGGAGGCAATCGAGGTTAGACTCGCCATTGATCCCTCGCCCCGGCCTGCCTGCCAGCGCCGCCCGCACCTTGTTTTCTACCTCTTCGTTGTTTCCCCAACTTCATCTCTCCCGTCTCCATCTTCATCTCTACTCCAGCTCAGGCTTCCTCTCCATCTACATCGCGCTTGTTCCAAGCCCCTTGGCAATGCTTAATTGTCCTGTGCCATGGAATCTTGCCCCATCGGCCATACCCGCTTGCGCTGCATCTCGTCTCGTCCCATGAACTAGTACTAATTGTCAACTCAAAAAGGCAATGCATCCATCATCAATTACCTATCCAAAGCCAGTACTGGCAGACTCCAGCTCATTCAGGGAGAGCCTGACACTTTCTCGGACGTGCTTGGTTTATTAAATCAGTACGAAGGTACGGTTTCCCCCCTCTGAACTTGTGTGTACATTATGAAACTTCATGCTCAACGGTGAACAACTAGGAGTTCTCAATAGACATGAGAGTCTCGCGGCGAACTTGGGCGCCAAGCTCACCGGGCCCCGTCTTCTAAAAGCTATGGAGGGAGCTTTTGAGGGGCCCATTATCACCAATCCACCGCCTCCATATGGCGCGGCACCCGTCAGCTGGCTTGATATTGTCACATTTGCCAAAACAAATCCCGAGAAGTTCGTTCTGACCACCGGGCATGACGGCGAGCGCACATGCCAGTTCTACTTGAACGGCATTCAGACCCAGATCCTGGAAGATGACTGGCGGCTCATCATCAACGGTGCCTTGGACAGGTTCTCTGTCGTGTCTACGGCTCCCTTGGAAGAGGATGAGACGGCTGAGGTTGCGACACTGGAAATCGTGGAGCAGCGATTACAAGTTCTCATCAAGAAGGCCGATGAGATCGCCAAAAGGGCACGACAGCTCAACTACCACTTGAGCGGCCGCAGAGCCGGAATCAACTCGCGCCATGGCGGGCAGCAAGGAAGCAGCTCGGCCTTTCAGTCAGTCAACCACTCCAGAGGCCACGTTGCCCACGGAGCCGGATACGACCTGCACGCAGACCTGCTCCAGCAGTTTCTGTCATCTTCCCAAGCCTACCCCCCTCGGGTGCCCTCTAGCGCCGGCCTCGAGCAGGCTCATTCGACGGGCCAACACACACCGCCCGCGACAATTTCTCACCCGCACTCACTACCCCTACAGGGGCGCCCAGTCGTCGTACATGCGCCGCCTGTCATGCCACAGAGAGATCCGTCGTATGACCCGTCGTCGCCGCATCGGGCCATCATAACCGCAAGGATAGAAAAGTTGAACAAGGGAGATCAGATCTGGCCGCCGTGCGACCGCTGCCGCAGGCTCAAGTCGCCGTGCATCAAGCATCTGACGGCCTGCCAGGGCTGCACGAAGAAGCACGCCAAGTGCGGGTGGAAAACGATTACCGAAGAAGAGATAATCTGGCTAAATCGCGAGGCCAGCAGCAGCGCCGACGAAGCGCCGCACGTAGAACCGAGCCCGGTTCAACCGGCACCGGTGAGGAGATTACAATATGACCCGACACAGGACGACGGTCGATCCCATGACGGCCGGTCCCATGAGCCGCCGCCGCCGCAGGCGCACCCGCCAACGTCATCGTCCGCGAATCTTATGCCAGGAGGAGACTTATCTCGGCCGGCTAGCAGAGGCCAGCAGGACCATCGCCAACGGTCACCTTTAGACCCCGGATCTCGAAGCAGGACAAGCAGTTTCATGGACGTGGAGCATGAACCGCCCCCGCCGATGAACCACAAGGCGTGGATGCCGGAGCCACACCCGCACCGCGGGGAGCAGCAGCAGCAGCAGCAGCAGCATCCAAACCAATTGCCCAGCCTGAAGAATGACCATATGCTGCTCAGCCACATGGCATCGGCTGCGACTGCAGCAGCCGATGCGCGGGATGCCACTTCGACGCCCGCGAGTAGCATGGTTGGGCGATGAGCCAGCAAACGACATCATTTGCAGCAGAAGACTTATTTATCCATGGTACGGGCCGCCTTAGCAACAACGCCATACTCTCATTAAAGAGGGAATAGGAGGGGCAACAGGATTCGAAAAGAGCGTATCGGGGGTGTGTGTGCGTTTGTGTATGCAATGTGTGTAGTGCGTAAAGTGCGTATGTGCGAGTGCATTGCGAGGTGCGGCCCTGGAAACAAAAGCAAAAAATCAGACAAATTCATAATGATATAAAGTAAGCTCACTTTCATGTGCCATGTCAAACTACTTGACCGTGATGTCGGGGCTGTTTGCAATCTCAGTCAGGGTCTGGCTGGCTTACACATGTTTGTAGTTGGTGTTTGGATATCTACACATTAGGTAAGCATGGTAAGGTCCAGAGTAAGGTAGCAGGGGATAGCTTCTTTGACGAATGACAACGACTGGAAAGCCATAGGAAGCACGGGCCAAAATAAGACAGTCTGTCACAGCCGGCACGCCGGTTAAAGTGGATCGCAAAGATTGAAATCTGAGCGTGGCGCGTCGTTCGTAGGTACCTATCCAAGCACGCTAAGCAGATGGACGGGGATAAGGAAAAAAAAAAAAAGTTGCCCAGCTCCTATCCTATCTTAGATTCTCGTCCATCCATGACGAGCCGTTCCCTCATCTCCAACCTATCTCCCGCGACATGATTTCGACGTAACGGTCTCTCCCCTTCGATATCAACAACCGCCACCACTCTCTTTTACCATTTCGCCATCCGAAGTCCGTCACAAGGAATGCTAAACCTCTCTTACATCTTATAATCGACTTTGGTATTTCTGCTAGCTGAAGCTATACTGCTACAGCGGCTGGAATCGCCCTATTGCCACGCTTCTTCCTCTTCTTCTTCCTCCTCCTCTCCTCCGCCTGAATGGCTCACTCTGCCGCATCCGCCGAATTCATGTCTGCAACAGGCGACCGGTCGGCAGCGCGCCGCGCCCCGGATACGACTTCGTTCCCGACGTCCCGCGAGACGGGCGACATCATCCCCGACACAAAACAGAACCCGGCTGTGGGGGGCGAGAAGGAATCACCATTCGCAAAGTCATGGGTACATTTCGTTGCTGGAGGGTACGTCTGAAAACAAGCCTGACCTTCTCCTTCTTTCGTTCCTATGCTCCATCCATCTTCCTCACTGGTTGGAAGGAAAGGTTGAAAGGGGGTCTTTGGACAGGAAAGAAATTTTGCAAAGGGGGCAACACAGAAGAAAACTGACAAGACTTCTTCCACCATTATAGTGTCGGAGGCATGACGGCCGCAACACTCACAGCACCCCTCGACGTCCTCAAAACCCGCCTCCAATCCGACTTTTACCAAGCCCAGCTCCGCGCCTCCCATGCTGCCCGCGCCCAGGCCGTCGGCACCCTCTCCCCCTACCGCGCCGCCCTCTTCCACCTCCGCGAGACCTTCCAGATCCTGGGCTCCGTCTACAAGATTGAGGGCCCCCGCGCGCTCTTCAAGGGCCTCGGCCCGAACCTCATCGGCGTCATCCCCGCGAGGAGCATAAACTTCTACACCTACGGCAACGGCAAGCGTCTCATTGCAGAATACGGCAACGGCGGCGAGGAAGGGGCGGGCGTCCACCTCGCGGCGGGCGTGCTGGCCGGAGTGACGACGAGCACGGCGACGAACCCCATCTGGCTCGTAAAGACCCGCCTGCAGCTCGACAAGAACGTGGCGGAGAAGAGCGGCGGGATCCAACAGAGGCAGTACCGCAACAGCTGGGACTGCATCAAGCAGGTGCTGCGGACCGAGGGCGTCCGGGGCATGTACAAAGGCATGAGCGCGAGCTACCTAGGCGTGGCGGAGAGCACGCTGCAGTGGGTGCTGTACGAGAACCTCAAGAACCGGTTGGCGGCGCGCGAGGAGCGCATCGTCGCGAGCGGAAGGGAAAAGACCTTTTGGGACCAGACGGTGGATTGGATGGGGAATGCTGGTGCTGCTGGCGGCGCCAAGTTGGTCGCTGCCATTCTTGCTTACCCCCACGAGGTATGATTCCACGACGCCCCTATGACACTCACCGGGCTACACGGGATGTACTGGCTGACACTTCAAAACAGGTTGCGCGAACGAGGCTACGACAGGCGCCCCTGGCCAACGGACAACTCAAGTACACTGGCCTCTGGCAGTGCTTCCGCGTCGTCTGGATCGAGGAGGGCTTCATGGGCCTGTACGGCGGTCTGACGCCACACCTTATGCGTACCGTCCCCAGTGCGGCCATCATGTTTGGCATGTACGAGGGTATTCTGCGTCTCTTTGGCGCCTCCAGCAAGGCCAACGCGAGCTTGTAAACAAACGCTCTGCCAAGAGAAGAACATCCCACATGTGGTTTCCGACTACTTACCATCAACACCACCAACGAGGGGTCTCAGCAAACGGCGATGATCGAACCGACCGGCCAGGACTCCTCTTTGGATGTAACAATTCAATTGTACCATAATACATATACAAAACAACAACCCTCACGACCAACACGATCGACGCAAACCATCGCAGCTCTGGGGGGTAAACGGACTCAACGGATCACGGGGGAAGAGCTGTTTACTTTGACGATTCTCTTCTCAACTCCCTCCTTAACAGCCGTTCAGGAAAGCTCGGGGGGTTCTTCATGTACGATATGAGCTGGAGGCGTCATCAATCTCTAGACTTTCTTGGGTTAAAAGGACAGGACCTCCTCTTACCCCCCCTCCCCCCAAAACCGGCAGAGGGGAGGAGGCAAGCTCTTTCACGGGAGGCAGGATTGAGCCTCGCAGAATTCACCTCACTGATTTACGCTACTCTTTTGGGGAGAATAAAGGGGGGCATAAGAAGGCGTTTTGTAGGAACAGGATTGGGGAACAATTGTATAAAAAGAGTAAACAAAAACTTATACCTGCAACCAAAAGTAGGGCCCACCCCCTTTGAACAGAGGGGCGGGGGAACGTCTTCACAGAGAAGATTTACCATCTGTGTATCATAATGTACCAAAAAAAGAAAAAAGAGACATCACAACCCATGAAGACTACAGATACGTGTGTGTTATGAGCAGTGATGTGGTGTATTTACTACAATTTGAACTTGCGACGCAACAACGCCTCGAGCGAAGTTTCTACATCTGAAGAAAGACACGTTAACTGCATACCAGCACGTTATTAGCTTACTTGAGATAACTACTCCGAGTTGAATCTCTCAGATCTCGAAAGGAGGGAGGTTCGGGTCACGAAAGACTTGGCCCAGCTGACTGACATTCGCCTAGCAAGCAAGTACCCTAGAACAAACCTCTACCAGAATACAATCTGGAATCGCTCCGCTCCCAGGTACCCTAGAAAAGAAGGTACACTTTGCGCGTAGAGAAGGACCCTGGTGAAGTACCCATCTAGAGCCTTCTCTTTGCGCAGACTTTCCATACTCGGTGCAACGGCCTCTGCAGAAGTTACACCATTTGCACACATGTGTGTACACAGTCCCAGATGGTGGAGAGTATTTCGATAGTCATGATTCTCAATTTTATTTCATTTTTCGGTAACGCCAGCCCTCTCTTCCTCCCGCTATCTCATCATCATCGTCGTCCTCCTTCTCTTCCTCTTCCCGTGTCGAGGAGATAAGCAACGCTGATGCTGTCCGCCTCGGCGGGATTTCGTGCTGCTGCTCGGCGCAAACAGGGGAAAAGTAATCAAACTAGCAAAAAGAAAAAAGAGCTGGTTTGGGGGTTGATGTCGAAACGTCGTCAAAGAACTCAAAATAAACACTATGAAGAGGCAAGAGCTGAAGAAAAAACACTGCGCAACTGATCGCTTTGGAAGGTCATCCCATTCATCCTGCCCCCTGCCCCCAACCATCATGAAGTAGACCTTTCTTTCCCCTTTTCCTGTTCAATTTGTCCAAACCGACGCCCAGGTTTCAAACAACCTAGGTTGTACAAGAGGGGTTCATTCGTAAGAGATGGAGCTCTTTGCAGTCAGCCCTTCTTCGAGCTGCGTGTCGATGCGATGGTGCTTGGGTGGCCTTTTGCGCAGTTTATTCGGTGCTCGCGAAACAGACGAGGAGAAGCTGATGCGGAGCTTCAGTCACCACGCATTGCGGTCCCAGTTAGGGTCTATGGAATTGCGTCAGTTCACGTTCTCCATGCCTCGGGTATCGTGGCAATCCTCGCCCCAGTAGCCAAGCGCAGCACCAAGGATGGTGCTCAAAAACGACAAGTAAGAAATCGCCCCTCACCTTGAACGAAAGCCGCCAAGACCTTGCTGCCCGTCTGCAGAAGCGGGTGTCCGACAACGATGCGCAAGAACTTTTCGAGACCCGCGCGGCGGCCTTCGATTACGTCGTCGCTGAAGCGGTTCGTGAACACCTTGCCGGGAAGGGGAGGGATGGTGACGCGGGCGCTCTCGCGCTCGAGGATGTCGCGGAAGTACTCAAAGTCGGAGTAGCGGCGGCGCACGCTCGAGGCGCGGAGCTTGAAGGCGGGGATGTTTGTGCGGCAGACGATCTCGTAGTCGGTGTACATACTGCGGCCCATGCCGTGGGTTCGGGGGTTGCGGACCTAGAGGGGGGTTGTTAGATTGTGAACTGAATCCCTTACTTCGGGCGCATGAGAGCATGGGCAGGCAGGCAGGCTGTTGAGGGGGGACGAAGGGCATGCGGGACTGTCCTGACAGGCTAGAGGGGACGGGGGTCGCGCTGCTGTCGTGGAAGCTTGCTGGACGTTTCTCACCTCGATCTCAAGGAAATTCTCTGGCGGGCCGTAGATTTCGTCAAAAGACTGTTGTCGGTTATCCGGCATTGCCTGCATGATGGGCCGGTGGAAGCGCGGCGAGGCCTGGCTGCCTGCTTGTGATCCGGTCGGGGAGGTGGGAGAGGTGGGCTCAGCGCTGGGAGCGCGAGCGGCGTTCTGGCTTCCGGAATCCGTTTTGGCGACTTGTCCTCGGCGGGAAGAGGGATAGATAGAGTGGTGGTCGGCGAAGCGGTGGTTGTTTCTCACGTTGTTCGCGCAAGGGATGGGCGGGGGAAGGGCGTGGAGTCTGTCGTCGAGGTATGCGCAGGCGCGATATCGGGTTCGGTGGGAACGATTGTTCTTCTGTGCTGGCTGCTGTTCGGGATCCCCTGTTCCCTCTATTTCTCTTTGGCAGTTGTCTGCTACGAATCGATGAGACTCGTTCTTTGGTGTTGCGTGACTGAGTCCTTGATTCTGGGCCGAGGCGATGTGAGGTTGGCTGTTCGTTATGGGAAAAAATGTCGAGGTGGGAGGGAGGTGGGGGAATCCAATCGGGTGCGAAGTGCGGCCGATTACGACAAAAAAAGGGTGGCAGCAAGCAAGCAAGCAAGCAAGCAAGCAAGCAAGCAAGCAAGTGGTGCAGTGTGGTTTACCTGGGTGCCTGTTACTGTAGCTGCCCGGTGAATTGCGGGGGGACAATATGACGAACGCCAATCCCGGCCGCTGCCGCAACAGACCGAATCGCTTGATTATTGGGAGGAGGCTGAGCCGATGCGCCGTCTGAGGGTACGAGGTGAGGGGACACTTCCTCGTAACTGTGACCGGCAGCGCTACCCAATTGAGCAGGTGGGGGGCGCTTTGTGGACCGGGAGGCATTTCTGGAGCCGTTCCCAAATAACTAGTTGTAAACCACTTTCAGTTTGGCTAACCGGGTCTTAGTATCAAGGCAATGTACGTAGAACCGGGTTGTTGGGTAATTGGACTTCTGCATCTCCTTCTTCGCATTATACATAAGACTGCGTCAGTTCCAACCAGATCTTTAGCTGCTGTTGGAATTAAGGTTGGATTTGTATTGCTAAAAAGGATGTCTTTACCCCATTCAGCAGAACCCCAACTTTTTGGAAGTACCATTATCCTGCAGGTCGCCCGCGTTGTATCTTGGCCTCATGTCCCTTATGCCTCAACTCCCTGATGCTGGCATATAATACAATTATTGGCCACCAGCAGGTGCAGTGCGCATGTTGGGCCAGTTCTGAGGCACCTACTCACGTCTCATGGCTAGTAGACCTCGACCAGTTCAGAATCCCAGCGTCTGTGTCAAACTACTCGCCGCAGTAGACGCGATAGACTGGTTGAAAAGTGATAGGATGATGCTGGGGCGCTATGAGTCCTCTGAAAACAAGCAACCAGTAAACGCCGAGTTCTCACCTCCAAGCCATCCCTCTATTCGTGTCTGTACACAGGCTCTGCCAAGATCCCAGAGCCCGACTCTGAAGACTTCTGCCTCAGCTTCCTCCTCCAGCCGAAGCTGTGTGCGGCGCCATGTCATGCCCGAAGTGCTCAAGACCTCGGACGTCGGCATCTAATACGTGCATCTTGGCCGATCAATCCGGCTATCGTTGGCTCGTAACCGCCTATTTCTTGTCCGCAAATCTCTGGTGAATAGCGCGGATCTGCTCCTCGACGTTCAGGTTATGTAGGTGGTTAATGTGAGCCTGACTCTTGCCCTCGGGGTTACCATCGAAGCTGTGAATCGTAGCCTTCTTGCGCCGGGCAGCCTCTTCTTCTGATAGGGGTTGACCGGTGACACCGTCGAAGACGTCGCTTCTCTGACTTGCTAGACGCTTCAAGTTGTTTGCGACATCTGCCGTGGACAAGTTGGTCGTGGAGTATCTTGCCTCTGCCTTTGCCTTTTGGTCTTTCCATTGAGGGTCCAGCAGCTCAACTACAGAAATTGTTAGCAATATTCAACGTTCATTTTGGAAGGCGGGTATCAAGCTCACTCCTCATGTGATCCTGCAGCTCATCCATGGGAATTTGCTGTTTGCAATTCGGGCACAGCGCCATCTGGACACTCTGTTTGTTGGCCGCTCGTTGGAGTGCTCGGGGCACGTAGTTCTCTTTGATCTTCATCGGAGCAGTTCCACCACGTGCTTCAGCGCGTGCCTGTTGTTCTCTGGCACGTGCCTCTGTCCTCTCCTGGATTCTCCGCTCTTCCTCCTCCTCTTCTGCCGATCGTCGCGGCATGCTGTCCGGATAACCTTGGAAGCCTGCTGGTGCTTGCACCTGGAACTGCTGCTGAGGCGCATAGCCAGTGTGGACTGGCAATGTCTGGGAGGTCTGAGGGTAGGCATTGTACGACGTATCCTCGTCGGGCATGGCTTCCTCAATGCGAAGGTTAGTTAATGATGCCTTGTTTCGCTCTTCAAGGGAAGCGTATTGCAATTCAGAAAGATTTGTCGGAGGCGGCAGGTTCGCAGACTCGTCGGCATCAGTGAAGACAATAGTCTCGACAACCACAAAGTCGTTCCAGTCGATACGAGCAAATTCGAGCTTCTTTTTCTCGTCTTCCTCCTCTTTCTTCACCTTCTCAACCTCCTGGAACTTTGAGTATTCGGCACGTTGCTTTGCGCGGCTCAGGACATGGTACTTGTCGTCGATGTTTTGCTGTATATGGCTGATCCGCTCTTGCTCAATCTTGCCGCCTTCACCACCCAAGCCGCTGGCCCTCAATAACGCTGTGTACTGGTCGACCTGATGTTGGAAAAAGTTGTGGAACGTGTGGTTCGGGATAAGGAACTGAAACTGCGGGTTTCCGGCCTCGCGTTGGGCAAGCTGGGTCATGAACTGTCGACCGTTCTTCGCGACAAATAGGGCGGTCAATCGAATGACCTCGAGATCTTTCTGGTTGATGCGCGGCATACGAGCCGAAAACTGGAAATCGGGAGGCTTGGGCGGGCCTTGGGGCTTCTCTTCGACGGGTGCTGCTGCTTCGTTGGCGCGTCCAGCGGCGATGGCGGTGCCGCGGCCGGCCTTGATCTCATCAAGACGCCACTGGTAGAATGCATGATATGCGTCGGTATTGTTGAGGAAACTGAACTTCGGATTGGAGCGCTCCTTTTCGCGAATTCTGTCTTCGAAGATGAGACCGTTTCGCGCGACGTAACCTGCCGTTTTTTCGAGAACATTGCGAATCTCGCGAGGCGGCAAAACAACACCGGTAGGAGGCTTGAGTTCGTCTAATACGGCGGCGGCGTCGCCGTTGGTCGCAGTCGAGGCCATGTTGTGTGGGGGAAGGGCGCGCGCAGATCGGGTTGATGTCGTCAGGATGCGGCGCGTGGAGCTGGGTAGAAGTCGAGACGAAGGTAAAGCTCACAAGCCGCGTTCGTTCACTTTTTTCGCAGGTTCCCAGGCAACCTAGACCCGGACCGGCTGGCACGTATCTTAGTCAGCTGATGTTTAGGAGGAAGTAGTGCACGGGCCACAATGGTTTCCACATTGCATTTGGTGATCTTCAGTCTCGCAAATAACCTCAGGTGGAAGGTGGTTTACCTTGATACCAACCTACCTTACCTACATAGTCAACAATTTTGCTCGATATTGTCACCAAGGCCCAAGGCGTGGCGGGGAATCTTCTCGTTTGAATTGCTCCGCTCCCATGGGTCGCGAGCTCGAGTCTCGTGAAAAATCACTAGCATTGTTATATCTGAGGAACAGGATGGAAATGCTGTCCAGTGATTTTCGTAGGCCCGCCCCCCTCCCGTAGGCCCCCCGAGAGGGGAGCCGAGCTTTTGCACCTTTTTTTTTCTCCAAGTGATCATGTAGAATATTTTGTTTGTCTTCTTCTTTTTAGTTTGAACCTTGAATTAAGCATAATAATTGCAATATTTCTACGCAGATTGGTCACTTATCGTAGTTTATGAATGACACTGGGGGTCAAGCTGCACAACCTAATTGATACAGAGATGTATGTGTAAGTAAGTCAGTTGGTGTTTTGAGCGCCGACGAGTTTCCCTCACTTACACCACATTGGTGCGTTTTTCACTTTTTCCGACGTTCTGACCATTCAAAAGTTGATTGATTCCTCTTTCACTAATCGAATTCGATGATCTTGAGTAGGTCCTGGGCCAATCATTATTGCTGGTTCCGGCGGCTGTCTCAAAGCGGGAAGTAAGGGATTGAGATCAGACGCGGATGTCTAAGAATGAAGGGAGGCCGTTGTGGTTACATTCCGATACCCAACTTCCACCTGCCCACATGCCTTTGCGAGGCATGGAACAGCCACTCAACGCGTGTTGCTCACTGCCCAGCCCTTTGAGGCTCGAGCAAGATGGCGTTGGTGGAGTTGCCACGAGGCTGGCCGGGTGCTCACCAGAGGCAGGAAAATGGGGGCCAATTCGATGTATGAACCCCGTCTTCGATGCGTAGCACCACTGAGATGGAAATAGACTGTGGAGCCAGTTGGTGCAGTTGAGAAGGATAGGCCCAGGTGATGTTGTGTGAGGTAGAGTTGCCTTACGTACGCCGTCTCTTTTTCAGCCGCATTGTACCGGTGCACAGGCCAGCATCCATCAATAGTGGACATGGAGGGCATGGATGGGGTCCAACGCGCCAGTGCGCCTGGGCGGATGAGAAGCTGAACTCTGTCGGTTGGGGTAGGTATTGTGGCCGGGCGCACCTCAGAGAGAACAATGGGCAGCCACAGCACGTCTCCCGCCGTCTACCTTTGGCGCTAGAGGAGCACGGGTACGCGGCCGGAGCTAAGATAACGCAGCTCCAAGGCAGGTACTCCAAGATATTGGACGAGCTAAAAATTATTTATCTGTAAGGTACGTGTAGCTCGTGTTGAGGACACTTGTCCAGTCACAACGATGACTTCTTGTACATTGGGTCGAGGACAAGGTCAATGGAGTGTTGAGATCTTCCAATTGTGTGGGAGAAGCATCTGGACAATGTGATATATAAGTAGTTGGGGTCCGGGGCTATGCTACCACCTCACATGCTGGCTGACAATCACTCGGTACCACCGTGAAGCGCGTAAAGTGCTTCTTGCCTCAGACTGGAAAACATCCAGAGGTACCCCCTGGCACATCGGTGGGGTGTGAGATGGTCCAAATATACGCGTCCACAGGTCCCCCCCTTACCCGAGCTTTTTAGGGACCACATTCACACTTGAGTAGCACCTTGGGGAATTTCTCGTAGACTGCCTTGCCGACCTTCATAGTTCTGTAGCTTGACAAGGTCATGTAGTAGTAGAAGGCGGGCAATGAAGGGACAGAAGGAGGGGTGTCTGCACTGCATGTCTTCATGTTTAATGAGGAAGACACTGCCTACTGTCTACTGTCTAGGGGAACTACCCGGCCATGGGGAATCGTGGGAAGGGGGCGTGGATGGACTCAAGGGGGGAGGGGGGATCACTGGATGGAGCCAGGCAGGTCCCAGGTAGGCCCTAGCTTCGACCAATTGCTGGCTGTCAAACCACATGGGATGAGGCCACTTAAGCTACAACTCCGACCCTGACCCCCTTATCCTCCCTTCCAGCCTGGCCTCCCCCCCAGCTGTCATCAGTTTCCGCGGTCTAAACTTTCCGCCAGGCAGTAAACCCAGATTCTACCTTAACAGCACTCTGCCTTATTCTCTACGGATACCTGCCCCTGCTCCCTTTTTCTTCCATCTACTCCAACCGGGAAGAAAAGGCATCCTCCTTTTTTTTCTTCTTGTTCCATTGAGGGCATTCTTCTACCGAGCCCGTCATTCACCTTTGCTAAATGACGGCCTTTTAATCCACCTCTTCCCTTCTCGACTTTCGTTGATCCCTTTTCCCACCACTCTGCCACTCGACCGACGCGAGAAAACCTCGCGTACCATTCTCACCTTCCTAGGTGCTGACGACCGCTTTCCGCTCTCGTCGTCCACGTCGCCTGCTACCAAGTCGTAGCCGCCCTCGACGTTGAGTGGACGACATTCGCAACCGCCCCGAATATCCCGACTATCTCCCCCGAATCGTTACCCCTTCTGCGACCATGGCTGCCACCAAGCCAGTCCGCTCCCCGAGCCCCAAGCTCGAGAAGCAGGCCAACGGGGTCAATGGCATCAATGGCAACGGCAACGGCTATAGCAAACTCCCTGTCCAGCGCGAACCGAGCTACAAGTCCGACGGTGTTGAAGATAACGATGTCTTTCTCCTGCCTGTTTCCGATTACCAGATTATGCTCGGCTTGACCATCCTTTCCGCCATCGTTCGCCTGTTCCGAATCTACCAGCCCACCAGTGTCGTATTTGACGAGGTCCAGTAAGCACACAGAAACCCCCTTGCCTCCCCTCCCGTGCGCATCGTCGCTGACATCCTCGCCTACAGTTTCGGTGGCTTCGCTTCGAAATACATCAAGGGCAAATTCTTCATGGATGTTCACCCTCCTCTGGCCAAGATGCTCATCGCTCTCACCGGTTGGTTGGCTGGCTTTAACGGCGACTTCGACTTCAAGGACATTGGCAAGGACTACCTCGAGCCCGGCGTTCCCTACGTCGCCATGCGCATGTTCCCGGCCATTTGCGGTATCCTACTCGCCCCTCTCATGTTCCTGACTCTCAAGACCACCGGATGCCGCACCACTACGGCTCTGATGGGCTCTAGTCTGATTATCTTCGGTAAGAACAAAGTGCCTCGCCAATCACCTACGAATCACTCACTAACGCTCTCTACAGAGAACGGTCTTCTTACCCAAGCTCGTCTCATTCTCCTCGACTCTCCCCTTATGGTTGCGACCGCCTTCACCGCCCTCTCCTTCCAGTCTTTCACGAACCAGCATGAACAAGGGCCCGAGAAGGCTTTCCAGTTGAGCTGGTGGTTCTGGCTTTTGATGACTGGCCTTGGTCTGGGTACGACTGTCAGCATCAAATGGGTTGGTTTGTTCACCATTGCCTGGGTTGGAAGCTTGACCCTCGTCCAGCTCTGGGTTCTCCTCGGAGACACCAAGAACGTAACGCCGCGCATCTGGGCCAAGCACTTCATGGCTCGCGCCTTCGCCCTCGTTATCATCCCTGTCGGCTTCTACATGGCCATGTTTGCCATCCACTTCCTTTGCCTGGTCAACCCTGGCGACGGCGATGGCTTCATGAGCTCCGAGTTCCAGTCTACTCTCAACTCCAAGGGTATGCAAGATGTGGCCGCCGACGTCGCCTTTGGTAGCCGTGTCAGCATCAGACACGCCAACACACAGGGAGGCTACCTGCACTCTCACCCCCTCATGTACCCCACCGGTAGCAAGCAGCAGCAGATCACTCTCTACCCCCACAAGGATGAGAACAACCTCTGGCTCCTCGAGAACCAGACCCAGCCTCTTGGAATCAACGGCGAGCAGATCAACGGAACTCAGGCCTGGGACAACCTTCCCGAGCCTGTCTTTATCAAGGATGGCGATGTCGTTCGCCTTTACCACACTCCCACGTTCCGTCGCCTTCACTCCCACGACGTCAGACCCCCTGTGACGGAGGCTGATTGGCAGAACGAGGTGTCCGCTTACGGCTATGAGGGCTTCGAGGGCGACGCCAACGACTTGTTCAAGATTGAGATCATCAAGAAGCAGTCCCTCAGCTCCGCTTCCAGAGAGCGTCTTCGCACGATCGAGACCAAGTTCAGATTGGTTCACATCATGACTGGCTGTGTCCTCTTCTCGCACAAGGTGAAGCTCCCTGAGTGGGCCTCTGAGCAACAGGAGGTCACTTGCGCGAAGGGAGGCACCCTTCCCAACAGTCTCTGGTATGTCGAATACAATGAACACCCTCAACTGATCGGCGACAACGTCGAGAAGGTCAACTACCGTCACCCCGGCTTCTTTGGCAAGTTCTGGGAGCTTCAAAAGGTCATGTGGAAGACCAACGCTGGCTTGGTCGAATCTCACGCCTGGGATTCTCGTCCTGACTCGTGGCCCTTCCTCAAGCGCGGTATCAACTTCTGGGGCAAGGATCACCGCCAGATTTACCTCATGGGCAACCCCATCGTGTGGTGGAGCTCTACTCTTGCTGTCGTCGTTTACGTTCTCTTCAAGGGCATTGCAACTCTCCGTTGGCAGCGCAGCTGCAACGATTACTCCAACACTACGTTCAAGCGATTCGACTACGAAATCGGCACTGCGGTTCTGGGCTGGGCGTTCCACTACTTCCCCTTCTACCTGATGGACCGTCAGCTGTTCCTGCACCACTACTTCCCGGCCCTCTACTTTGCAGTCATGGCGTTCTGCTCGATTTTTGACTTCGCCACTGCTCGGGTCTCGCTCGCTGGTATCCGCAAGAACCCTGCCATCAACCGCGTTAGTGCCGTTGCCTTCTTGGCGCTCACGATCGTTGCCTTCGTTCTCTTCTCTCCTTTGGCCTACGGTAACGCCTGGACCAAGGCAGAGTGCAGCCGGCTCAAGGTCGTCGGCACATGGGATTTCGACTGCAACAACTTCTTTGATGACGTAAGTAATACTACTGCTTTTATTCCGAGTAGAGGGGTGCCAGATAGAGGACTGTAATGCCTGCGTTGAGGGTTATCTCAGGTCAGGCGGAATCGGTGTTGAGAACTGGTTGATAGCCAAATGAAACGAGATTCGGCAAATCACCTTGTGCAGGGCTTGTGAATTTGATGGAATGAGGCTGACATTACTTTCTGGCGTTACAGTACTCTCAATACACTGAGCTCCTCACTCGCACTTCCGCCGCTGTTGGAGCCACGCCGACACCTATCAAGTCTGAGGTTCCTGCCGCTCCTGCAGGCGGGCAAGTCGGTCAGATCCCCATTGGCGAGGCCCAGAAGGAGCAGGCGGAACCGGCCGTCTCGGGAGCCCCAGGCCAGAAGGTTCTGTCCCGCGAAGAGAAGGTTGAGTACCGGGACCAGGACGGCAACCTCCTCGACGAGGAACAGGTGAAGGCCTTGGAGGGCAAGGTTGAGTTCAAGACGAAATACGAGACGCGGACACGCGTCGTCGACGCCAGTGGAAACGAGGTTCAGATGCCTGAGGGTGGTTGGCCCCAAGAGCAAAACGTCGCCCCTCCTCACCCCGATGTTCAAGGCGTCGATCAAGAGACCAAGTCCAAGGCCGACGACTCAGCCGCCGCGCCTAAGGTCGCCGAGAGCGTCCAGGGCCAGAGAGAGGCCGAGCAGAAGAAGGCCAAGCCCGCAAGCGATGGCGGCAAGGAGGCTACTGCTCAGGAAGAGCTCTGAATTGTCTAATAGGGGATGAAACTCTGGGCTGGGTTGTAATGGCATGCCCTGGAGTGTGTGCAACCCGATGGGGGGAAGTTGATCAAGTCATCTTTGATCTCACCATTTTCTCTCCACGTCGAATTCGCCCATTGTATACCAAGCCATGACTAGGGGGGGTGGAATGAGCAGGGCGGGATGGGGGCCGACAAGGTCCAAAACTTTTCATTTGTTGTTGTAAGATTCAAAAAAGAAATGACATGTCCACTAAAACACTGCTCCCGTGTAATTTGTGATTTGTGACCCATTCCCCATCATAACCCGTCTTGTTCAGCAGTAGTCGTCACACACAGGCTTGAACACAGGAGGACAAGATTCATAATTTTACTTCGTGCAAAATGGACAGGTTTGAGGGTTCATCCAATGCTCGAGGCATTGTCATCTTTGGCATTAATACGAAGGCATTACGATGCAGTAACCTTTTGTCTCTGTGATCTCCCCATCCTCCTTATCCCTGTTGTTTGTCTAGCAACTGTGCCTTGCTTGATTCAGCTTCACCCTCCTGCTCCCATGATGGCAACTGTTTCCTTGTTCCCCCTTTGGAAATGGGACACAGTTTTTGCTCTCCAAAACGCCGATGCCACCTTCCGAAAATGCCCAGAATAACGACAAAAAAAAAAAAAAAAAAAAGGGTTATTTGTACCCCTCTGTCCATCCTATAGTCACGTTTCCGTGAATTTGTTCTGCCCCTTCCTTGGCTTCCCCGTGTTGTCCTCCCGTTTGATCTTCATTATGAGCCCCGGCATTCCTGCTACGGTGTCGTAGGGCGCGATTAATACAGTATCGAAGATTAAGTGTATGTGGTGTGTATCGAAAATCGAAGGTTGATCGCTTATGACAACTCGCTCATGATTATGCTGTAGCTTCGGCCTTTTCCTCGGTTGTCGCAACGATAATTTGTTGCTCCTCTTTGATGGGAATGTTGATTGACAGTCGCTTCTCTCCGTCCTTCTCTGCCATGGAGCTTTTCTCTGGCGAAGACGACAGTGTTGAGTTCCGATTGCTCGGGCAAGGCGTCTCTGGTCTTGCTAGTGACTCCTCAGCGTCCAGCTGGCTAGCTGTCTCCTCGAGGGGAGTGGCAAAGGGAGTAGCATCATCAATGTTCTCCGAAGGTGTTTCTACTACCTCTGGCTCTGTGTCTCTAGACTCGCTCTCGTGGCTAGTTCGAGGGCTCTTCTCCAAGGGTAGTGAATGATGATGACTGGCCGGGATGACGCCACCACCAATTCGGGACCAGAACATCTGTTCCCGCAGGCGGACGCTTTCCTCCCAGGCAGCCTTCTCCGCGTCTTCGTCCTCCGCTCGCCAGTGACCGTCTTTGACGATGCGCAAAAAGTTGAGGAAATCGCAGGTTGATCTCACACGACCTAGGCAATATTTGCAAAGGGGGTATCTCTGGGCTGACTCGGACTCGCTGGTTCGGAAGCGATATGTTCGGAGGTGCTCTTCATCCTTCCGTGCGTCGCCACACAAGGAACAGGGGTAGAACTGCGGCTTGACAATTGACGCAAAGGGCGCATTGGCAGGAATTGGCTCCACCACGATTGAGCCATCGCTCATAGCATTCAAAACGCTGCGACGCGCAAGCCAGGACAGGCCCGGGGCAATGTCCAGTCGGAGTGTCGGCTCAACATCCTCTGCCAGGACACGCTTGAAAAACTTGGTTTCTTTTAGAGCCGGCGGGGGTGGACCCAAGTTTGCTGAGGCCGTGCTCGAGACGGAGGCCGGGGTATTCGGCGTCTGCGGCGATGACGTCGCTGGAGTCCCCGTCGTGGATAGGGAAGCAGTCGAGGCATTGGAAGGGTGAGCGCTTGAGGTGCTGCCGCCCATACCAAGACCCAACCCACTTAGACCGTTAAATGAGCCAGATGAAACACGGCTACCAGCACGATTCCTGGACAGCTTTGTAAGGTTGAGAAAATCCTCGTAGGCTCCCAGATCAGTCCTGAGAACTGGCTGAATGAGATGCGTCAAGCTAGTAGGGTACGTTGGCGAAGTCGGGTCCATGAGAGGTGAAGCGACTAGGCCTTCTGAGCGTTCATCGTCTTTCGTGGTGTCGGGTTTACTAAAACCGGGAGACGAAGGAGCTGTGCCGGTCGTAGCATCGTCTCTTTCGAGCATCATCTGCTCCATGACGTGCTTGAGATCGGCTAGTTGCTGTTGTTGTGAGGTCAGCAAGGCCTCCATATCGCCAAGCTGGGATCTCAGATTGTCGTTCTTTCTTTGGATAACCTCCTGCTCCAACCTCGCCTCCTCTTTCGCGGTAATGACCATGTTGTTGGCCTCCTCGAACAAAGCGGTGGACAAGCTCTCCAGCTCTGTTTCGATCCTCTTCTGCTCCTTCTCAGCGTCCTCGCGGAGTTTCTTCTCCTGTGTAACACGGAGCATAATTGTTTTCTTTTCTTCCTCGGCGGTCTTGCGACGAATCCAAATATCGCCTGCGAGCATCTCTCTCTGGGATTCATTCTGTTCTTCTAAATGCTTGATTTTCTCGCGTGCTCTTTCCAACTCTTGTCTTGTGGCGGATAATGTGTCGTCGAGGGTTGTTTGGTGGTTGATGGCGTTGATCAGTTTGGCGCTCAGAGTTGCGACTTCGTCATTTAGCTCGGGGTGTTGAGCAGTATCAGCTTCGCTTGCGGGACTCATAGCCCGGCTGCGTGGGTCGGGTAGGGTGCTCAGTTCGCCGTCATCATCTGGAGGTGTCACTGTAGTCGTGGGTCGTAGTGACGGCGAAGATGCTACTGAGGAAGACATGATGGGCATGTCAACAACGGAAGGTGCTTTACTCGACGTTTTCGCGGCTCGAGGACTTGGTGACGGAGATCGAGCTATTGAAGACAGAGATCGAAAATGGCCAAATGGTCTTCCACCGGGTTGGGGGCTGGTATGCTGTGCCCAGCCAGCGACGGCGATAAAGCTGTGCCACACAAGGTTAGTTACAGCCATCTGACGGCGACGAGTGCAAAGTGCAAGCCGGTGTTGATCGTGACTTTCTCGAGCTGAACAGGCAGAGACAAGAGAAAGAACACGAGAGGCATGGGCTGGTTATTGAAGGATGAGAGACATACGAATCCATTCCCTCTGAATCTGTCAGCCCGCTTAGGACGAGAGACAGAAGCTACCAAGTATGGACTTGGGTAATTGGGGTTGTTGGATGGTGAGACAATGCGTTGGCAAGAGCTGGCACCACCTTAGATGAGATGGGTCTAACGGCAGGCGCGAGGCGTGAGGTATGACAAGCAGCAAGCGACTGGCAGGCGGAATGCACGGAGCAAATGCCGATTGATTGTTGCTAGCAATCAAACTGAGGCCGAACTGTGAGGGCCGGAATGGGGCGTTGGGGCCTTTAAAAACCGCAAGAGACCATGGCGGTGCGAGCTATGGAGGTTGAGATTCGGATTCTCTTTCCCTGGTAATGTACAATGTTGGTGTGTATGTGTGTGTGTGTATGAGTATTTGTTGGAGGATCGGTCGGGATTAGGCGTGGTCGGGATTAGGCGTGGTCGGGATTAGGCGTGGTCGTGAGGCAGTTCGTGATCGTGAGAGACTGGCGGATTAGGCGGGTCACTGTAGGCCGTAGTAGAAGGTGAGGTGAGGGGGTTGTTTGAATAGGTAGTTAGAAATAGGAAGGAAGGAAGAGGAGAAGAGACGAGGTGACAGGTCGAAGTCGAGCAGCGGAGCAGACTTGGGCTTTGAGTGTTTTCGGCGTGGTTGGCAGGAGCCGAATAAGCAGGCGGGCGGGAAGGTGGTAAGGTAGCACGCAGGTGCAAGTGCAAGTGCAGGTGGCAGAGCAAAGAGGCGGCGGCGGCAAAGTGAAAGGAGCAGCAGCCAGCGAGAGAATAGGATGAGTAGCGAAAGACTGGGGACGCGAGAGAGCCATGACCAGTGACAGGGACCAGGACTGGAACTGGGCGGATGACATGGGTGGTATTGGACGGGGTCGAGCGTGGTGACTTTGTGAGCACGACAGGGACCAGATGTCGACAGCAGCGTCAGTCGGTCCTGCCAGAGACCGCAGACTCCAGACAGCGGGCAGGACGGGAGGAGAGAAAGAACCTCCAGCGCCTTCCCAGTGCCTCCTTGGGACTGGACCGGGCGGGGCGGGACCGGACAGGACAGGCGTGGGATCGTGGTTGTGGACGCATCGAATAGCAAGGAGGGTGTGGGTCTGGGCAAGCCGCCAGAGCAGGGGTGGGGGCGGTGCAATCGCTGGGACTGGGACGGGCCCGAAAGGGTTCCTTCCAGGTTATGGAAGTAGGTACCTGCAGTTTTGATGCTCACTCCTCACTCCTCGCTCACTCCTCACTCCTCACTCACGTCCTCACCTCGCCTCACCTCATCTGTCTTTATACAGCGGCTATTCTCAGTCGCCGTCATATTGTTTTTTGATATTTCCAATTAAAGAAGCGTGCTCAAGGTTTGGAGTGTTTGCGTTGTCATGCAGTCCAAACTGCATCTTGTTTCAAGCACTTTCATGTACCTTATCCGTACAGATGGATAATAGTATTGATCTTACTCAGCTACAGATGCCCCCTCACAAGCCTCAGTCATTGATACACCACACTAGGCATAAGCAAGTTGTGCACGAGCAGGGTTTAGGAAGTCGGCCATGAGGTAGCGGCCTGGTGGCAGGTGAGCTAGCCGAGTGTGACGACGTGACGACAATAAGACAGAAGCGATGGACATGATTGACATGATGGACACGTTGGAGTACCAACACACACACTTCGTACAGCTGCACATGTCTCCCGTCCCATCCCATTCCAATCCATCCCATCGCGTGTTCAACCCCGGGGCCGTCGGTCGGTCGGTCGGTCTTTCGGTACAGAAGACGCTAAGGCAAGACAGAAAGCTGCAAATGATCTCGCAGTGGGGAACTGGGGCCATCGGTTTGGTCGGGAGCACCTGGTCACACTCACGACTCACAAGTTACAACAGCTCTCACAACAGGTAGGTATGGACTACAGATACCTACCTATCCAAGACCAACTTTCAACTGTCATTGTGGACCTTGCTTTTTTTGGCCGTTAGCCTTGGACACCACGCTCACGATTCTCGCATCTTTTCTGCGCGTCTTGAACCGGGGGGTTGGTCAGTTGCCAAAGTGGGCAGACCTTGGCCGCTTGAGATGACGACCACCTTTCCATACCTAGGAAGGTAGGTACCTAGTTACCTAGGTACGGATACCTAGTGATTCGCTTTCGCCCCCTTTGCGCGCTTTCTCACACGGGCCAAGCTCTCAATACCGTCACAGCCACAACTCAATGAAAAAAAAACCCAGCTCCGTCATTACACCTCTAGTCCCTGATTTCTATCGGCGCTGCTGCCGACAGGCCCGCACCACACGCACGACTCCGACCGATGCGATGCGAGCTGAAGCTGGATCACACACTCGTCACTGACTACACTATTGGATCTAGGTACGGCACGGCAGGCGACGATCAAGAAGCGATTTACGGCTCGCGCGCGCGCATGAATCGAAAGAAGAAGATTTCAAATGGCGTTTGTGTGCGAGTCGAGACAGGCTTTTTTTTGTTGTTCCCTCTTAACCAATTGCTCAGAAAAACAATTCCTTATTTGAGAAAACAGAAAGGGAATCTACCAATCAGCGTGTCGATGGCAGTGAGTTATGGCAATGAGATGAAAACGTCTCAAGTTTCTCCCGCAAGTAATCCAATTTAATTCGCCTCGGGATTACTTCAATTCGGCCAAATTCCTCTGCGCATTCCGCTTCGCTCCCTCTCTCGCTGCCCACTTATCCTTCAGGCTTCACTTGCTGGTTCGATAAATACACTAGCACATTGTTTCTCTCTTTCCAAGGTACCTACCTCGTCCGTAGGTGTAAGGTACTTTCCCTCTCCTTCCTCTTCCTGCTGTGCCGAGTAGCTGCAGAGGATCATGAAATGATGACAGTGACGGGAAGCCTGGAGGCAGAGACAAGAAAGAACAAGAGCACGGACGCTGGGCTGGTCTCAGCTGGGCAGGTATCTTCAAGTGGTCAAAGTTATGAACGCCTGTCGCTGACACAGCCAGCTTTCCTGGTGTGTTTATGCATGGATTGTCCATCTTGTATGTCTCACCTTAGTCAGTCCCGTCAGAATCCTTTCCTCTACTACGTACCTTAGGTAAAGTAAGTACCAAAGCACCAAGGTAAGGTTCCCACGTTCCTCCCCATTTCGTTTCCGCGGACCACAGAGACCCAGAGTTTCCAGAATCGCGAGAGCCAAGAAAAAGGTGAACCTGATCCTCCCGCCGTCTCCCCCCCCCCCCCCCCCAGGCCTCAATACTCTACTCCGTACGGATACCCTTTCGCATTTACCTGCTGCTCGCCTGCACATGCAAACGTTGGCTCCACCGAACCGAACCCTCGCTTTATTACTTCGGTACGCCGCACTAGGCACAGCCCGTTCAAACGGACCCCGAACCTGACGCGCACGCCTTGCTGGAACACGACACGGGTCACCCCAGCCAACATCGTGTCTGCTGCTCTCAAGTCTCAACTCATTTTTTTTTACGAATATCATCTATCCGTATCTCCATCCCTTACGGCACCCCGGTCTCAACACTCTTCGAAGCTGATTAGTCGCATTATGGCACTATTCTCTTGCATCGGCTCCCCCTAACTACACTAGGTAAGCTTCCTTGATACGTGATACCTTAGATCTAGGTTCTGTTGAGCCTCCGAGGATACGGATAAAGACTACGGTCTAAGCTATGCAATAGATACGAGTATCGCACGATCAACATCTTCCCCATATTCCGTATGCATTTTCTACTCTCGCATATTCTGTCGCCTAAGAAATGCTGCAACATTGGCCCAGCTAGTTTCAGGTCACGAACGATCAGCAAAGACCATTGCACATCCCGTCATCACCCATTCCTATTCTTAGTTCTGTACGGTTCCCCTTTATCGATTTGATCTTCCTGCTTCGCACTCCGTACTTTCGAATCAACGGCGAGTCAACAGCAGCCACGCCCCGATTCTTGACCACATTAGGGGCTCGAATTCCATCCGCTTTCGCATATCTGCACTTGCATATGCATCGGCATCGGCATGAGAGCCTCAGCAGCACCAAGGCCGGGCTCCGGGCTGGCATCTCAACCCCTTGAGTCCAAGTTCCAATTGCCACGGTGCCACCTCACCCTGTCACCCCGTGTCCACTTCAACCCCCAAACTCTCAAGTCTGAAGCATGCAGAAAGGACTGCGGTGTGCTTCAGCTTCACAATGCCTGCGCCCATCTTCATGCTTGTGCGGCGGCACCTACCGAATGGCCTGGTCATTATCCAACTCTGCACAATCCAATCCGACTGCTACCTTCAACAAACGAAATGGCGTTCCATAATCCATCCAAGCTTCCGGTACGGAGTACGGATACCATTCACCAACACCACTGTGGCGGCAAGGCCATGTTCTGGACTATGCAGACCGGTGGGTCCGGCCCCAGGACCCTGGCAATGTTCAATTGTCAGCTGCACGCCGAAATCTCAATCGCTCCGCAAACTTGATTGCCGCCGTCCGTTACTCTTCCAAACCCGGCGCATTGCTTTTGCGTCTGCACTGACGCGCCTGATCGCCTAATTACCACCCTGCTGTGCCTGCTTCCAGACCAGCTTGCCTCCTCGTTGGAAAGCCCATGGCAGTTGACCTGGGCCAAGCCAATATGACTGTTTGCGGCTCTACGAAGACATAGTTTCTTTGAGCTTTACCGACAGCCCCAACAAGTTACAACCGGCAGTTGGACATCGTTGCGCTCTAAAGGCTGGACCCTCGTGTCTCTCCGCCTGGCTTGACCGACCTAACGCGTTTAGTCATCGTTGGCCTTGTCTATCGATTTCATCTCCGCCATGCGTTACACTCTCTCCAGCCTCGCAGACTATCGTCTACTGCCCTTTGTGACCTAGGACAAACAACATCCCGGTCTGGGCTTGGCCAAGACTGTCACGCCGCCCGCTATCTCAACAATCGCCGTCACTCGCCTCCTCCCGATTCAGCCCAGCTTGGCTGATGGCGGTTGACGGTTGGCGTCCGGAACCTGCCTGGCCACCCCACGCTTCCGTGTCCGTGGGCTCTCCCGGGTCTCAGAACGCCCAGCGGCGCCTCCTCACGCCGTCGTTTGCTTCTTCAGCCCGTCTGCTTCCAAATTTACCTCACGACCCAACCCCCGCGAACCAAACGGCCGACGCCTCGTTCTTGACACAATAGCATCAGTGCTTTCCAACCCCTGTCTGTCCGTCCGTTCAGGTCCATCCTCTCTTCGTCCCATCTCCCCCGGATCCCGAATGTGTGTTTCACACAGACGCCTAGTTGGGCTGGCAGCCCCACCATCCCAGCTTATTTCATGTTCTTCTGGTAGCATTGCTTATTCTTTACCCATGAGCTTCTCGATGCTGACGCGTCGGATCTGTCTTGCTACGTCGCAAGCCATACGCTCTCGTCTGATGAGCCTCACATCAAGAAAGTACGACGCTGGAAGCTGAACCCCTGAACCTGATCCCATAAGCACTCGCCCTCCCTGGACCTCTCACCTTGGCATCTAATATTTTTGAGATTCACATTTCTTTTTTACTTCCGGAAGCTGCCTCGGGTTTGCATGTCTCGACTTTTTTCTTTCCTGACATTGTCTCTCGTGCATAGATCCTCACCATCGGAAACCTACAGAGAATATGTTTCGCCTTTGATTGAGCTGCAGTCGACGCTGCAACATAGCCTCAGGGCTTGGCGGGCACTGTGCAGCAAGAACGACAAAAAAACAGCAGAAGGGAGCAACGTCATCGGGCCGCAGTTGTAAACATGCACGCACCGGCTTGGGCCGAGAATTGCAGAAGACGCTCGCCGCCTCCCCGCACATGAGACCCCCTCCCACCCCCGAAGCTGAGTGCCGGAATGAGTCCGTGCTCCGGCCGCGACGACAAACAGCACACGCATAACGTCGTCCCATGTCAAGCATCGGCCGCCGACCTCCATCCGCATTTCCGATCTTCTTTCTTGAAACGTAAAACAGACTTTACGCCGAGAGAAGGGGGGGTAAAATGTAAATCAGGCGACCATATATAGCTCCCGCGACTCTTCGTGTCTCGTTCTGCACCTATCCGGATTGCGCTGCCGACCAACGCCCTTCCCGTGGCTTTGCTCCTGCATCGCATGGCTGTTTCACTTGCAGGCTTCCTTCGTGAGTGTTTCCCTATATCAAAGGATATAGGCGACTTATCCCGCGCGGCCAAGGACGCATTCCTCCCCGACTAGGACCGAGCTCCAGAGCCTGCACCACTTACACAGCAGAACGAGCAACTTCCTATCAAGAGACGAGAATACTAGGGTGCTCCCCCCCATGGAGCTTCTGTAGGTTGCCAAGCATCTACAGTAGGCAGACGTATGGATTTGTCAACGCTATCCTGGTCTGTCAATGTTTGGTCTGATAACGGCTGGCGACTTTGTGAGGATAGTTGTGGCCGGCACCAAACATTACTCAATTCGCAACTCGTCCTAGAAACAGTCAATCTCTGCGGCCCGTCTTGGCGTTTAAAAAAGTAGGACTCTTCGCGGCTTTTCACAGGTGAATGGAGTTGTATGGCGACAACCGCGTCGAATTCTGCCGTGGCTTATGATTCTTCCCGCCTCGCATGTCCCTTTTACCCTCCTCTTGGCGAGTTATCACGCACCAGCTTATCTATCATGGATCTCGGTAAATGAATATCATAGCTTGTAGCAAACGTTTCGAACCGCCGTTGCCGCTTGGTTGAGTAGTGTCCAAGAACCAGAGAGCTCACGATAAACATTCGTTTCCTCGGCTTAGAAGACCCAAGCCACACCTAGCCAAGTAAGGAAGGTAAGGACACCCATGCAAAGCAGACCTCAACAGAGTTCGTCTCAACTATCCAGTTCCCAATTTTCTCCCACCCCCCTCTCTCGCATTCTCCATCCCTCTGTCTCTTCTCAAACAAGCAGTACTAGTACCCTGAACTTGGAAGAGAGAGAGGAGGTCAAGGTGCTTACGAAGAACACCTTTGAGCTGCGCCACAAGAGGGCTTCTTGCGAGGCTTTCTTTTCCCCTGTCGTTTCTCGGTATCTGCTAGGTGGCTTGGCACGTTTGTGAAGCTCATACTTGCGGATGGGGCAGTTCTCGCAATCGCCTTCCGACCAAGTCGGAGCCGAATGTCAGTTTCCGTCAGTTGTTCATTGTTTGACCTGTTTTGCTCGTCTCCTTTAAAGAGTAGTACTAGGTTTACACTAGTTGCCGTCGTCCAAAAGGGGTCCAAGGGGGGGTTCCAGCACACCCGGTAAAACATTCACAACACTAAACCGACTGATTCTCCTCTACCCCTCTATGCTGAATCTTTGCAAAAACCTTACTTTCGTACGGATGGGGGGAAAAGAGAATAGTAAACGTGGGAAACGTGTCGGAGAGTTTTTGTTGGTTGCTTTGCAGGCTGGGTTCATCTCGGGCGCGAGGCTCCGAGAAACTTTGAACTCGGCCGATAACAGTGTGCTACCTACTTGAGCATGAGGAGGAAAAGCTTGCTCGAGCTTTAAGCGTGAGGATCCGGGCAGGGTAGGGGTGTGATTTTCATCTCATCTCGTTTGAGCCGAGGCCCCTTCGAATCTGACCTCCATCTGGTTTTGCATGTTTTTCAAGTTGCCGAATCTTAGATGGTCGGTTTTGTTGTTTGCTGGTCCATTTTGGTCAATTGATAACAGGCGTTACGAGAACCGGGGGAAGGATGGCTTCCGAGCGGGAAGAGGCGTGGAATTTTGACCATGCGATAAGTTTGAGGAATGGTCTTGTTTTGCAAGTCACGGCTGACTTTGAGTGATATCAAGAGACCAAAGGTAACGAGGGCGAGAGTTTTTATCACGATTGATCGGGTATCTCGAGGCTTAAAGGGTCCTGAAGATTGCAATAGTACCGAAGATCTCGTGGCTTTTTCGACACCGGCTGTTTCGATCTTATCATTGGGTGGCTTGCTCTCGAAGTCCTGAAGCAGTGCCGGGACAAGACGCATGTTGCCCAAGTGGGATTCTGTCTCTTGCAATATTGCAGAGCATCTGCTTGTCGATAAGCTTCTCGATAAGCCACATTTCTTGGTGAACTAAAGATGGAAATTTACTGTCAGCCATCTCACTCTGATATATCTGGAGCCTAATGAGTGTCTCCAGTCAAGATGCCACACTACTTCAGCCGAACGCAACAATGCAACATAGAAATTGGCAGCATGTTAAGGACCGGAGCCAGACCCGGTGGTCTGACACTCGTCCTCAGGCTTCTGACATTTTAAGACTTGAAGGATTGCCTGGTTGTTGATGTGGCCATACCACTCGGCGCGAAACGCTGCGAGAAGTCCCCGTGAGCGTTGTACTGTCAATACGGCGGTAACTACTCAGATGGTATCAAAGCTACCAGAAAGAGGGAGTAAGGGTGTCAACGACATGGGGTTTCTCTTGTTGATGTGCTGGGTCCGGGGTTCGCAACTTGGAAGCCAGTGGTCCGGAATCTTCAACGAAGCCCGGGGACATCAACAGGTCTCGAACCAGTAGAAGTCAACAATCCAATGACAAACTAGGATAGGTTTCTTCAGAAGACCGATATACATCTCTTGTAGTTTACGAATAGTGTTTGTAAATCAGGTTCCCTCTTTCTCAAATCAAGCAAAGCTCCCTAATGCTACGCACTACTGCCAGCAACACGAAGAATGTAGTCTCAAGTATCTACAACGAATAACCCCATTGAAAGCAGATCAGAACACTTATTTAGGAGACTAATCGCAGATCTCTTGAGAGAGATCGCTTTAAAGAAATAAGATCATGAAGTCTCGGACTTTGACATAGGAGAGGTCATAATCAGCTTAGCATCGTCAAACTGTCACATACGACCATACCCATTGGAAAACTCGGGATCCCGTCCGCTCTCCCATAGATAAGCCAATGAGGGCCGGATTAGTATTTGGGTCGGTGACGACCAGCGAATACCTGGTGTTGTATGTTTTTGATTTTTGTAGGAAGCTATCGTGGTGTGGTTGTGGTGGGTGACGATGTTTTTGCTTGGTGCGGCGTGATGGGTAATGTTCGCTGCGTGACGTGGTGGTTTGATTTGCTTTAAACACATTGACCCTTGGTTCTAGTTGTTGGGGTAAAGAGTTGGGGGTAATGTCGAAAGACAGCTGCGAAATCGCAAATATGTCGAGGGTGTTTGCTCCTAGCCACGATGCCGTAAGTGACTATTGAGGATGCATCTTACTTGGCTCCGTTACATCTAGAACTATCATATACTTACTGCCAGATATGAAAAGACTATGGAGGTACTACGCCTTGTTGATATCGAACAATGCGGCAACATATATGGATTGAATATGACTCCCTTTGAAGTGCCTTGACGTTACTATTAACACACTCTCGCAATATATATTAGATGTCTCACGAGATCGCGGAAGTAAGCCGAAGATGTCTGGGGAACTTGTTTGGGGCCCATTCAATCTCGTTTTACTTAAATCATCTTCGGTTTTGAGGCCATTGACCTCAAAGCTTTTAAACCCCCTATCCCACGCATCCCAAGGACAGAACGTTGCTCACGAGTATAAGCGACCACGGACGGGCGCCGAGACTGATCCAGAAGAAAAAGAACAGTGCCCGACGACAGATGAATCTACCATGCCCCGTCGCAGAGCCTTCTCCCATGTCTTTCCCTCGTCCGAGTCGGGGTGACAAGCAGCAGAGATGGCCGCGCTACAACTACCCGCCACGGGCATGACCCCGAATCGCAAACGACGTCTCTCCGCGACGATGAGAAAGCCCATCGTGACGATGATTACCACGAGAACGCACAAGACCCCGAGTGGTGACCATCCGCAGGCTGTCACGCCGGCAAACGAGTTTCCCTCGACTAATCGCACCATAGACTTGCCATCAGCTGAAGGAACATATACCTCCAGGTTGACGAGAAAAAAGCTCTGAGAAATGAGCCAGTGAAGTCCACCTGAGAATATTACAAGAGGGAGGGAGTAGCGGTACGGCAGTTGAAGGAAGTAGGTATCTCGCTGGTCCCCTTTGCGTGTCGACGAGACGCGAAGGCTCTTTGCCTCCTTATCGTTGCCGAACCTGTCCCATTCCGTAACCAGGGATATGCTGGTGTATTGGGCATTGTAAGTGAAGTAAATGAGCGAAAGAATAATTTGAGGCGTGTTGACAAGCATAATATTGCCAAGTATAGATCCTTGGCCCAGGTCGCTCCTGTTCAGGATGGTCTTGGTCTGCATGGCGCCGAGTCCAAGCTTGATAATATCGCCGCCACCAGACATGTGATTCAGGCCTCCAACCAGCAAGCTTGCACAGACGATAATCAGTCCAAAGTACCTAGCAGGGCGGTCAGCAAATTGATATGTTGAAAGGAGGGAAACACAAGCAAGCATACAACAAGAAACACATAAACCACCCTCCAAGCGTGACCGCGACAGACTTCCGTTGCGGTTTGAGATCATATTGTATCGGACCTTTGGACCAATGTTGGGCAACAAAGTGGTCCTTCGACTTGAGGCACATATCTGCAGTCGACTCGTCCTGATTCTCGAGGAAAGAGGCCACTGCATCTCCGATGGTCATTAGAGGGTCTTCCTCACCCATCCCGAAGGCGACGAAGAGCATCAAGACGCCTTTGGCAAAGTTGAAAGCCGTCACAGTCCAGCAGAGGGTGCTACTGAATATGAGCTTGCAATGCTCTTCAGTCTTTTGGCTGTAACATTCCTTGACGCTTGAGCCTAGCGGCTTCCAGCCTTCCGACTTGGGCCGCAATTCGCGTAGATAATCTTCGCATGTCGAGTTGCCAGCGAGTATGCCGGCAATCTTTTGGCTAGATTGGCCGCACATCCATATTTATGGGTATCCCGAAATATCAAAAACCTCGGACGTGCGATTTTCGTCCTTCTTATCATCAGAGACAATGAGTAAATTTCCTCGCGAGGACTGGAAGGCGACTCGATAGGCGTCCATACAAGGTGTTGCATCCATTTTCTCCACGTTGTCGCCAAGAAAGCCTGCGTATATGCTCTTCCACTCAGCGCTGCTGACTATGCTTTCGGTTTCGTTCTTTGAAATGTACGCATTCGTACTTAAGACGCTGTAGTTGTTCATCGAGGTCGAGCTGAAGATGATAGAGTTGTAACTAGTGATCGATCAGTAAGAGTTTCTGGAAGAGAGAAACAGTACAAGGAAAGATGCAAAACGATAATGAATCCACTAACACCAGATGTAATGGAAGAGACGAAGCTGCAAGTAACACCCAGACAATCTTCTTCTTCCATGTTATGCTCCAAAAGTTTCGAAGACTAGCAACCCCGACATCGAGCCAATGTTGTCTTGCGTGTGCATCGTCGATCTCTGGTCGGGTTGGTGCCATCAAGCACTGCATACAGTAATTACTACCTGCAAGAAGAATGATGCCAAGAACGTTGATCAAAATATGGATCCCGATATTCAGCATTCTGATGGTTGAACAGTTCGTATCGAGGAGAATACCGACGCCGTCAATGATGGTATCACGTCTCTGTATGCTTGCCCAGAGAGTGAAAACGAAATTGATTAGAAAGGTCGAGAAGGCTGCAATTGCGAAGTAAGATGCAGCTTGTCGCCATCACTTTGGGAGAACTTGAATCTACCCATCGTGATGGTCGTTGGTGACGATAGTCAGGGAATTGCAGAGCATGTTGGAAAGGAAGAATGTGAGCCAAGGCGGGATGGGAGCCAGGAGGTCTATGATAGGACTGCAAAGAAAGAGCAGTTCTTTCTTCGACGCAGCCTGATCTTTACTTAGCCCTGCCAAGGGATCGAAGGATAGTTTGAGATGTAGCCTGCCTGCTTGGTTCACCTCCATGTAGTATTTGCTGACTGCAGCCGCAGTAGTGTACTCCTCCCACAGCTACCTTTGCACCGCAAGGTAGCGTCCCAAACCAGAGAAACCTCCCTCACCTTTGGTAGAATCCCGTCTTCTGCATAGGACAAGACAGTAGTGACTGCCGACAAACCTGTCACTTCAACGACCGTGTCAATCTTAGTATGCCAGTGTTTGCCTGGGGAAGATGCGAGATATTAAAAAGTGGGAAGTCCACAGCGGTATGTGCTCAATATCCATCTACCATACGTCCAGAATTTGCCTGTCTTTTTTATCTGTGATATTTCCATGCCATAAATGCGACCAACCATGCACCCATACACCTATATTTTTTGAGATCCTTCATGAAAACCATACCAATCCACATTTTCCCTTCCTCTCCGTCTTTACGGGATTTGCTTACACGAAGCCCTTGAGCACAGCAGCCTCAGCATTGAGGATCGACGAGCCAGCAGCGCCAATAACAGTGTTGTGGCTAAGCGCAACAAACTTGATATCAAAGATACCGCTCTCATCCTCCCGAACGCGGCCGACACTGACAGTGTACCCCCTGCCAAGGTCGCGATCGAGTCTCGGCTGCGGCCGGTCAGGCTCGTCGTGCACGAGGATAGGGTTCTCCGGCGCCGAAGGGCACCCCAACTTCTGCGCCTCGGAGACGTACTCGCGCAGCGCCTTCTTGACCTCCTCGGCCGAGGGCGCGGGGCGGCGCGCAAACTTGAGCGAGACGCAGGCGGTGTGGCCGTCGAGCACGGGCACGCGGTTGCACGCCGCGCTGACCTTGAGCTGGGTCTGGTCCTCGAAGGCGGTGAGGTCCGATGTGATAGTGCCGAGAATCTTTTGCGCCTCCGTCTCGAGCTTGTCCTCCTCGCCCGAGATGAAGGGGACGACGTTGTCAATCATGTCCATGGACGAGACGCCCGGGTAGCCGGCGCCGGAGACGGCCTGCATGGTGACGACGGAGACCTGGTCGACGGGGCCGAAGACGGCCTGGAGGGCCGCAAAGGGGATGACGAGGCCGATGACGGCGCAGTTGGAGTTGCAGACGAGGAAGCCCTTTTCGAGGTTGTGCTGCTTGCGCTGGTGGGGGATCAGGTCGAGGTGGGGGAGGTTGACGGTGGGGACGACGAGAGGCACAAGGGGGTCGCGGCGGTAGTTCTTTGCGTTGGAGAAGACGGCAAGGTTGGCCTTGAGGAATTCCATCTCTATTTGGTCGCAATGATCAGCCATTGTCCATAATCCTCCGCGGGCGCTGGAGTCGCAGCCCCAGGGAATACTCACCAATTTGGCCGGCAACGTCAGAGTCAAGACCGCTGAATACGACGTCGCAGTCGCTGAACTCAGAGGCCTTGCACTCGCGGACAACGAGGTCGCCGACGGCGCCCATGGGCGAAGCCTGCTTCCACCTCACGGCATCGCGGTATTTCTTGCCGGCGGAGCGGGACGAGGCGCCGACAGCGACGAGCTTGAGATACGGGTGCTGCGAGAGGAGGAGGATGAAGCGCTGGCCGACGGAGCCGGTGCAACCGAGAACGCCTGGGAGTGGACTTTCAATTAGCTTTGGGTTGTTCAAATCATCTTAAAAGGCGCCAAAGTTTGCAATGTCTCCATGTCGAGATTTCCCGAAGGCAGAAGGGCGGCGATGGCGGGGAGGAGGGGTTAAATCGTACCGCACTTCTTGACGGGGAATTCGCCCATTGTGAAAGATGAAGAGGGGGGTATCGAGGGTATCAATTGTCGAAAAGAGGACTGGACTGAATGAGCGAGGGCTACAGGTTCGAGATAAATAGAGAAATTGGGCGGGTTGACAATGTGAGTCAAGAGGGGAGTGGCATGTCGCCGGCGGCGCCCCGGCCCAATAATTTTTGGGGTGAGCGACCGACGTCGGTTGCACCCCGCCATGCCCCGCCATCGGAGCTTTGGTTGTCGGTGGACGAGACATTTCCCACTTGGACGAACTTCAGTCTCCACACCCCACCACCTCAGCCAACGGCCCAACGATCATCAGTCCAAAGACCGGCCGGGATCTGATGGGCATAATTTACCTTTCGGTGAGTAACGACATCATCCAATTGGCCTTAAAACAACTGTTATCGTCATCTGTCACCATCCCGATCATTCGATATCAGGCAATCCCCGAATCCCTTCGCGTTGCCATGCTCTTCGCGCACATGGTCATAATGTGCCATTTGGAATTAGTTGAATAGGGTCTCGTGTATGGGCCCGGGAAATGTGTTTCGCGGAAACAGTTCCTGCATGTATTGTTTTCTTACTCTAAAACTGGAACAATGAGCCAATGCTGCTCGAAACCATTTCCATGTGGTCCACCCCCCAATGACCAAGCATCCAGATAACCCCCCCCCCCCGTCACGAAGACACTTGAAACGGATCAGGTTGCCTCTGTGGCTGATACACGCCGACCAAGCATTGACAACTCAAGGCCTGGTTGTTCGGCCGCTTCTCTATTGTTCTGGGGCGCGTATTCATTGGGCTCTTGCAGTCTTCGTGCAACTTTGACGGGATTGAACTGGTCCAGATCTGGAAGGAAGCTAGCGCCAATCAGGAGGATAACAGAAAAAGGGATGATGAAGAGGAAGATCGATCGAAGTGAATTGGCGTATCCGGTTTGAATAGCGTTGGTTATCGCAAGCTTGGTTGTTGTGTTCAATGACGTGAACGTCGTCAAGTTGGTGTTTCCGTTCTTCGTTGCCTGCTCTCTGATGACGGCGCCCAGTTGTAACATTGTCTCAGGCAACAGGCCAGCGCTCAGAACAGCTGGAAGAACGGCCTTGGTCAATTCCTCCTCCAGCTTTTTCCGCAACAACAAGGTAAACAATGTCCTCGAGAAGGCACAGCCCAGGCTGCACATTGCACCGAGGACTCCCGATGCGAGGCCTATGTCTTGCGCTTCCCACACAAACGTAACGCCGGTGATGACAATGGCAACAAGGTAACCTAGAGCTAAGACGTATGTATCAGTATTAAACGTTTAAGAGAAGGCCAGGATTTGCCGCAAGACTTACCAAAGGACGCAGATATGCCCAATAGAACGATCAGTCGTTGATGGCCACCAGGCGATATAGTGCATAATGGAGTCGTGAGAGCCACAACCAGGAATGACGCCACGACGCACTGTATCTTGACACGTTTACCACGTAGTTTCGGAGAAGCCGCCAGGAATATGCCCAGTGTGGCACCAAGAACCAGCAGTACCCCAAACCAAGCGACGTCTACTGAGCGCTTGTTGAAAACCTTTCCGATAGCGAACGGCCAGAGAATTGTGAGGACGTAGAAAATCGTTGAGGCGAAAGTTGCACAAGTGACGAGACTTGTGAAGTGAACATTCTTGAACATCTTTGGGGGCATGAGAGGCTGTTCCGTGGTGGAAAATGCTTCTGCGACACGTCAGAAAGTGCATCGAGGATTGATTCGAACGGGGATCACGCTCACCGTAGAGTACGAACAAGACCAGCGCTGCAAATCCACCGACTAGGGTGCCAATGACCTCCTTGCCAACAGAAGGATATGACGAGGCTCCTAAGCAGAACCCGAGCAGCAACAAAACGCAGCCAGAGACATAAAGGAAGACGCCGACGAAGTCCAAGTGCTTGGTCATCTCAAGCTCTGTCTTCCCAGCGACGTTGAGCTGCCTATACGAAGGTGGGTGGTAGACTACCAGGTACAAGAGAAAGGAGAAGAAAGCAAAAAAGGCTCCCGCGTAATAGCCCCACCGCCATTGCGAAGGATGACCCTCGGGCGCATGATTTTGGACTATGACAGTGCCCAAAACAGCGGTAATGATTGGTGGCAGGGTAGTAAGGGCAACCGTTCTTGTTCTAGCCTGGTTCGCGACGAGTTCTGCTACAGCAATTCCGAGAGGTAGCTGGGCAGCAGCAGCTATTCCGTTGCAGATGTTGGCGGCGATGAGTATCTCGGCGTTGATCGCAAAGGAGCCGAGAACGCAGCCGGCGACTCCCAGAAAGGAGGTTCCTAAGATGATCCACCTCCGTCCGTACAGGTCCGAAAGTCGACCGACGAAGAGAAAGCTAATGGAGCTTCCCATGAACTACATGATTGGTGTCCAATGTACCTTGTCTGACTGAGGTAGGTCTGTGTGGAACAGCACACTATTGTTAGTTGTTAGTATGTGCCAAGGGAGGCTGCGCTGCGCTCATCATGTCACTTACCTCGTGTTCCCGGGTGCTACCCAGCTCATCCATGCAGCTGTGCTAGCCAATGCTTGGGCCTATATTGCATCGGTCAGATTTAGTGAACGACACGAAGGTGGGTTGGATTTACTCGCCAGTAACATCAGCCAGACTCTGGTACTGCCCGACGAGAACAGTGTGCCGAGAGCATCTCTGTCGACATTTGTGACGGTACCATCGATATGTGTTACCTGGAGATGGCTTCCCATGTTTTCGAAGTCCCAACAGTCGTTGTTTCTGGTGGGTTCTTCTCGAGAACCTTGCTGCGTTTGAGGGTTCGGTGCCACGGTGATAACATCGTCGTTGACCATATCTGTAGATTTTGTGCGGACTCAAGTGTCCGGTATTGAATAGTTGAAGCAAAGTGCCAAGAAATCAATAGCTGTGATAATGCCTGCGGGTGATGATGTGTCGGTGTGTTGTAGCTTGGGAAAATAACAAGAGGCGTCGGAGGGGCAGACATATTTTTAAGTCCTTGCCAACCATCGTCTTCCTTCCACCTGCTACATTAGTGAAGAAAGTGTCATCCTTCCAATCGCCATACAACGGAGATCTACTAATCAGCGGGCAGGTGTTCTGAGCGGAGGTTGCGAAGAAAGAATGGTATACGCCCTTGCCCAATGGACCTACCTTTTTGGCATGGCCCTTTCTCTTGGGAAGTGGCGTTCTAAGGTAGAGCTAGCCTCCGATTACACACACCTCTGGGCCAAGTCATGAAGGTTTTGAAGTGGAAGGTTCAGTAATCTCATGCGTACTCCTGCTACTGCCCGCAACTGGATTTCAGGCTGGTGGGCGACAAGATACAGTCAAGAGTTCCCCGAGAACGTGAGACGCCCAAGGCCCTTCCACTTTCAGGACCTCTCCTCCGTGCTGTACAGCAGCAAATGCACCCAAGTTCCTACTTCAGAGAGCCCAGAAATGAAGCGAACTGCTTTAAGTTCCAAGACCACGATGAAGCAAGATGTTAGTTGCTGAGATTCATCATCATCCATCGTTACGCTGAGCCGATAGAGCGCTGCTTGCGACTTGGTGGTCTTGAACTACCGGAGCCGACCGACGATGCAGTATCATGGTCGAGCAGTTCAATAAGAGGCTGGTATGAGACCTAGTGACTGTAATTAATCAGGTTACAAAACATCATTTACGCATTTAACCGTCAAGCCGATGCTACGTCGATCTAACTGTCTAGTATTATCATCATGGCAGCCTTTCCTGGACTGATGAGATGGTTCAATGGATTCAACGAAGGACCCGTAAAGCTGCAAAAGGTTTGAGCCGCAAGATAAAAAAAAGGTAACTAATCTGAAAAAATCAGACATCCATCAATTCAGTGATTGAAGGGCGAGAACGGAGACGCTTGAAGTGAGAAGGGCAAAGAGAATGATAAGTTGATGAGGAGCAGGAGGGGCGCCGGCAATGACTTGGAAAACAGACCTTCTACCAAAGGTACCAATTTGGGTGCTCAACAAGGCATTCTCATCAGCAGACAGTATCCTACCTTACCTATAAAGCATGCTAACCTCTTGGATTGTGTCTTCGTAACTTGACAAAGACCAAGTTCAAAAAGCTTTAAATATCGCTTTATGACTGCATCTTCCTGTTAAAATAATAAGGCAGTGAAGACCAGTTGTCTTCAGAATGCACAATGCCCCATCTCTCCCTGTGGAAATTTGACCGCAACCTCTACCTCAGGAAAGGTATATCAGACGGAAGGCAAGAACGACCCTCATTCTGGGTCAAGTATCGCCTGAGGCAGGAGCCTTCGGCCTGTACCTGCTGTATTCACACCTTGTATTCTGCCTACCGCCCAGCTGTGCCAGGTTGAACAAAATCTCCCCACTTGGAGCGCACCAACTCCTTCTCAACTTGTTCTCACTCCCATCAGACGAGAGCCGCCGTCCCGAAATCGCGATGAGAGCAGCCCATCTCATCACCACCCAAGAAACGATGAGTGGGCTGGTAAGAGTCTCCCATACTAATCCTTCAATCGGAATCCTGACAACTAATTTACTTGCCTGAACAGCTCTCTCGATATTTGGTTCCAATCACCAACAATTGCTTCAACAACTTATTCGAATAATTTGCTCGGAAATTCTGCTCGAATAACTCGCTCAAACTTTCGAGTATGCAGGAGCAGGCAGGGGCCCTTATTTACAAGGGTGCTCTCGCCCTCCTTGCAAATTTCTGTGAGGCGTGACCTCACCTCACGATGGGCGGGAGCAATCTGCCATCCACAAAGCTGCTCCTGCCCCCCTTGAAACTATCGTGAGTGAGGTCACAACCTCCTCACAAAGGGTGAGGGCAGAGAAGGCTACAACTCATGGGGCTGCTCTCGCCTCTCTTGACCTTACAAAGGGCAGGAGCAGACGAGGCTGCCATCCATGAGGCTGCCCTCGCCCTTTTGCGATTATCGTGAGTGAGGTCATGACCTCACAGAAGGCGAGAGCAGCCGACTTCCATGCCCATGAGGCTGCTCTCGCCCTCCCAGCAACTATCGTGAGAGGTGAGTGACCCACGAGAGCCTCACTTCAAACCCTAGCCTTGCCCTGAGGTTTGAATCTCAATCCCACGATACTTCTATCCTCTACCTGTCGAAATACAACCCACCATTTGCTGGTTTACCTTCTTCAACCTCCACAACTCACTCATCGGCAATCAAAACATATACACCTCTCTTCACACAACAACCCATACCCACAACCCCTCTCCATACACATCTCAAGCTTCTACTGCTTTTCGCCCGCATCACTTTGTCATACCCAATCTTTCGATTATCGAAGCTGACAGTCTGCAAGAATCGCGATGGCTTCATTCAAGGATATGATGACCGACTCGGCTGAGAGAGCCGAGTTCTTGGAGCGGCTCCGGCAGCTGGGCATCCAGCATGACCGTGAGCAGGCGCTCCGGGCTGCTGCAATGGCCTCGCAGAATGCCGGCTCCTCCTCCTCGGAGGATGTCGAGAGTGGCGGCGGCGTCCGCCTTACCAACGAGTACCTCTCGGGCAACCCGTACGGCTTGCTCGCGTCTCTCGGGGCCGCCGAGAACTCAGCGCAGTTGAACACTTCCTCTCTGAGAGGTAGTCCTACGTAAGTGAAATCTCTCTCATGGCATCTTCTCATCATCACTGACACTTGATAGTCGTCCTTCTCAGGATGCCGCCAAGACGCTGCGTCCTACTTCGTCCGCCACAGCTGCTGTGTGAGTTCTGATTTTCCATCACGTTCTAGACTTATTCTGACTTAATTTCACAGGGGTGGCACCCCTTCCGTCGTCCCCGAGACCACCGCAAGCGACGTCTTCAACGAGGCCGCGTCTGGCTCAGGCAAGGACCCCATGGTCGCGGCCGTGTCTTACACCCTTGGTCAGAGCAACCTCCAGGCCTCGGAGTCCGGTGGCAATGGCATGTCTCAGCGCAACGAGTATGTCGGTGGCTCTCCCAGCAAGGGCATCTCATCTTTCGTGCGCAACGTCGCCGATAACTCTCAGTTCGGCTTCCCCACTGGTTCTTGCATCTTCGTTGCCAAGTAAGTTCATCCAGAGAAGCTCATCAGTACTCAAAACTAACTTTCTGTTTCAGCCTTCCTGAGTTCAAGGATGACGTTACTCTCGAGGCCGCTGTGATCAGTGAGTTCGACCGCTTCGGCGTTGCCTTCGTCAAGATTCGTCGTGACGGCAGCGGCATGCCCTACGCCTTCGTTCAGTTTCATGTAAGCAGCTTTCCACATCGACATTACACTCGACAGCCTCACTAACGCATTCACAGTCAAAGCAGGACGCCGAGGAAGCCCGCATCCAGGGTAGAGGAAGCTTGATTCTTGGTCGCCCGTGCCGCACCGAGACTGTGCGCGCCAATCGTGAGTCTGTTTGCCCTACGTTTTGATTGTTGAAACTAACTTTTAAACATAGGTACCTACATCATCTACCGCCATGATCGACTTGACATGACGATCGAGGAAGCCCAGGAGCTTTTGACTCCATTCGGTGCGCTTGACAGAATCAACCTTATGGACAAGGAGATTCAGGAGAAGCTTGGACTTCCGGTCACTGTTCGAGTCCAGTTCGCTGTCCACGATCCCTCTCAGCAGGTCCTTCGGGCTTTCCGCATGAACCACACGTACAGGGTCGAGTCGTACGACTTCAAGAAGGCCATGCAGATCCGGGCTCGCATGCCCCACCGTCCTGCCATGGAAAACAACACTGCAGAGCGTGACAGTCGTTTCGTCTTCATGGGTGATCTCCCTCTCGGCTTCACCGACGACAGAATCCGTAACCTCATGGATCATATTGGTGGCGTGGTCGCCGTTCATACCCAGCAGTGCGCTTATGAGGGTAAGTCTTAATCAGTTCCTCCTATCCCTACGTGAATAAAACTGACAGCTGGATAGACGGTCCCAAGCAAATTGCATTTGTCGAGTTCACCAACGTCAGCTACGCCCAGTCTGCTATTGAGCGTTTCGTAAGTTCCACTTGATTGAAGTGTGATGAACGTTCATACTGACATGCTCACTAGAATGACTCCCTCGTCGATGGCCACATCATCCGCGTTCAGCAGCGTATGGATAGACGTCGTCGCTATGGCGGCTTCAACGGTGGCGGCAGCAACCGCGCATTCCAGGGCAACAGCTACCATGGCAGTGTCGCTTCTACTCCTGCTCGTATGAGCCATCTTCAGCAGCGCCTAACCAGCCTGGCCATCGAGGCTGCTCCCTCCTCTGAGGCTGCCCAGAACACCCTTTCCATCATGCGCACTTCTTCGCAGGCCCCTATCAACAACACCCATGGTCTGAAGATTACCACGCAGTCTCTGCAGAATGGCAATGGCATGCAGCAGAACATGCAGAACATGCAGCAGGCTATACAGAATAGCTATCAGACCCAGACGCACCCCCAGATCAACAGCAACCAGGGCATACAGATTCAGACCCAGCAGCCCATGAACACCCAGATGGTTTCGCAGATCCAGATTCAGCCTGGCTCAATGCAGCAGGTTCAGCCTGCCATGCACTCTCCTATGCACATGCAGCCCATGAGCCAGCAGATGAGTCAGCAGATGGCTCAGCAGTCTCCCATGAACGCGGAGCCCATGGGTCAACAGATCAACCAGCCCATGGTTCAGCACATGGTCCAGGGAATGCCCATGCAGCAAACCCAGGTTCAGTACCCCATGGCTCCTCCCCCCGTTCCTTCTCAGATCGGAACTCCTATGCACAACAGCAATGGCATGCCGTACTACGCTCAGGGCGGCCCCGTCCAGACCCCCGTCCAGCAGTCGCCCACTGGCTTCTGGGGCTACGGCCATGGCACTCCCCTCTGGACTCCGTTCGGCCGCGATTTCGCGACCTACTCGTCCCCGGCCTATCACCCTCAGATGCCCGCCACCGGTATGATGCAGTCTGAGCCTGTCATCACCGAGGTCAACCAGGCCTTCGTCACTGATGGTTCCGACCGTTCCAACTAGTCTCCAGACTTCGATTGGTTCATTCCAAATCTTTCTTTCGAATCCTTCTCGGGTTCAAAATAGTGTGTTTACCCTTCTTCAAATCTTGTGTTTTACTTCAAGATTTTCTTCTTCAACAAAAGTTTGGTGGTGGTTTTTTCTTCAGATACGGTGGAAACTTGAAAGCATGGGAGTGCTTCGGATACGCCAGGGCCTTGATCTTGTACTCGGATGATCGGCAAGACTCGGTTATAGAGAATACGAATTGGGGGTCATAGACGAACTTGGTTCTTGTGCAGAGAGCACCTTGTCTACTTGAGGTGTAAGGACACTCGCCACCATTACGGATAGATCAGTCAGGAATGCACGCTTGAGTAGACCACTTCGAGCCTCCCACATTGCGTGTGACTGTGACACATTGAATGCCATCCTCTTCTTCTAGCCATGGGACAGATCGACTGTCTTATCAATCAGTGATGCTGGCGCGAGATGATGCTCCCCAGGCCTGTGAAGGTTTACAGATGGAACGGAAGTTGTCAGAATGTTGGCCTATTGAAGCTCCGAGGGCATTTTGAGCTGAGGATTATATCGAATTAATTAACCCAGAATTAAAAAGACCAGAATTGTAATTCTGGATAAATCTACACATTTTCCACGGCAGGGCTGGGACTGTCATGGCTTCAGACCAGTAGTTGGTATTGCAGGGCATGGGATGGACATGAGGTGTCGTTGGAGGCGGAACACGGTCTTTCTTTCCCCCGCAACGAAGCTCGAGCTCGTTGTACCCATGTACCTACATCAGTGCCGAAAGCTCCAAAGCAAGCAGCCGGGAGGTGGTATTAACCTGAGCAAAAGTTGAAGATTGTGACCAGAGATCCGAACCTGCCAAATTTTCTGCCCAAACGGAACAGACAGAGAGGCACGGAGGTCGATTGCCAATCGCAAACTCGACAGCACCGCGGGCGCATCGCGCAAGTACGCATCGAATCCGAAGAGCCGAAACATCACTTAGAAAGCTTAGCTGTCGGCGGCGCCGGCGGAACGACCGCGAGTATGCGCGCCACACCCTCGCTGATGGCCAAGGGCATATTCTCCCGAACGATGGACGAGTTCAAGCGCCGCGCAAAAATTGGTAGGTTCTGCCGCTTCCAATTGCCCTTCTCCAGGATCTCATAGTTCAAGAAAGCTAATGTAGCAATGCGCAGCCACAAAGGCCGAAGGCATCTATGGCCCCTCGGGTCCCTACAACCTCCAAGACTTCCGCAAACCGGGCTCGACCGACGATTGCAAACTCATGTCCGACCAAGAGATTGGCGGCTTCTCACACAGCGCCCTCGACTGGGTCTCCTCATCCCCCTCTACGACGACAACATCACCACAAAGCACACCGACGACAAGTGCAGGCCACGCCCGCTTCCACGGCACAATATCAACAGAGCTCCCCAAAAACGACCCCAAAATCCAACGCACAGGTTTCGCGGCATGGCGGACGCCAGACCAGAAGCCCACGCTCTTCGGTAAGGCGGTCTGGGACATTGATCCCTACTCCTACCTCGCGATGCGCGTCAAGTCAGACGGCCGGAGCTACTTTATCAACCTACAGACGGACTCAGTGGTGCCGACGGATCTGCACCAGCACAGGCTTTTCGCGAAGCGGCCGGGGGAGTGGGAGACGGTGTTTGTCAAGTGGAACGAGTTCGTGCGGACGAACCACGGTTTCGTCATTGAGCCGCAGACGGAGATGCTGCGGTCCAAGGTTACGACGGTGGGCGTGGGGCTTACGGATAGGGTGCCGGGACCGTTTGAGCTTTGTATTGAGAGGATTTGGGCGACAAATGATGTTGATGAGGTTGATGGGGGTAGTGAGGGTGATATCTTGGCTGCCCAGGAGGCGAGAGAGGCGCGGGAGAGCGAGTTGAAGAATAAACAAGGGGAAAGCGTTCGCTGGAAGGAGACGTGAGGAGGGATGGTAGTCTTTGAACGGATATCAACTTTGAAAAGGGGAGCGGCATCGGTCTGGGCATAAGACTACAAGCTCCTGAATGGAACATGTTCGCCAGAGGGTACATTTTGGCTTGGGGAAGCATTTGGAATCAGCAACCAGCTCGGCCGAAGGTTGCTCGGTTCAACATCAAATATTGTAGCAATATCTGTAAGATGACATACAAACATAATGCATCATGTCAAAAACCAGGGGCAATGTTAGAAGGGGAAGCGATGATATCGTGCCACTTAGCACACAAGAACACCTACTTGGTGGATTGTCACTGTGTCCTTGTATAATACCATTCAGTTGGAACGGTTTCGCTACTTGTAAGATAATAAAGTGATTCGACCCGTACTACTGAACAGCGAGGGATGGCGTGGAGGTAGTCGCGAGAAACACGCACTTGTGCTGTCGAAGCATTGGTGACCAATCACATTTCTCGTTGGCATATGTGGAGACAACCAACATCACAGAAACCTCACTGACAACGTCGAGACTGACAAACAGGATATCTCTAGGCGTCGAGTCCCCGGACGTCGTTTTTCAATCCGAGAATCCATATCCATTTGGCTGATCATCTGGTTGCTTTTGGTGGCTAAGGGGCTCTCAGTTGACGCAGGCGCGACGCGCCGTAGTGCTTCACCTCACCTGTACTCAGCGCTGGTGACATGGTCTACCGCGACGCCCACGGGTTCACCTTTCATGTCATTCGATGAGCTTCCGAAAAGCCAAGTTCCCTGAATCTTTTGACAAGGCTGCACGTTATCCGGCATCATAACCAACGATGGCACGATACCTCACGCCTGCCAAGATTGGCCTCCTCGGCCTCATTGAGCTGTACACAGACGAACATGTCCCCGCCACGGCAATCATCCCCGTACTCTCCTTCATCACATCCCACCTCCTCGACCCGGACCCCCAGAGCTTCACAAACACCACTAGCAAAGACACACGCTGGAGGAAAGCCGAGAGCACCGTCAGCCTCGTCATCGGCATCAAGGATTTCGAAAAGCTGCTGAGCGCCCACTCCGTCGTCGTCGGCCTACCGGGTCGGAAGCTCTGGGACACATTCCTCGCCAAGCTATGGGGCATCAACTCCCTCGACCTCCTCCACGACTTCTTCGCGCGCCAGTCGCAGTGCCTAGCTAAGACGAAAGAGGAATTGCTGCGGGCGGCGGGCGGCGACGAGACCATCGCCGCGCAGCTGTTGCAGGAGCAGCAGCAGAAGCCCGGGATTACGCTGTCGAGGAACTCACCTCTGGGTCAGTTTGTGCGGCGATGCCAGCTTGAGTTCACGAGGCTGCTTTTCCACGACGCAACGCAGCTCTGGACGGATTTCGTGCAGTATCGGCAGCCTACAGCGGGGTACCTCCGGAAGAGAAACCCTTCCTTTGGCCGGCTTAGCTTCGACAATGTTCTCATGACGGGCGAACAGTCAGAGTGGGACTTGGAGGGTGTTGCGGCGCTCACGTCTGTTGTCTATGGCGATATGGTGAGGAACGGAACTCCTGCTGCTGTGCCGGTGAGCACAGACGACATTGAGCTCTTACTGGAGTTCCAAATCGAGCAAATGCAGAGTGAGTAGACCTCTCAAGATCTTCAGGATTCAAGGCTGACAGGAGAAGAATTCGGCAACCGAATACCATTGGAACTGAGGAACCAATTTCATGACCTTCTCGGCGACAGTTTTCTCGTGCCTAGCTTGAGGCATTATCTAAGGCAAGTCACTCCGATCAATGTAGATGAGTAGCCTTTTGACACTCTGTAGTTTCCTTGATGCCTGGAGATCAGGCGACTATCCTACAGCGTTCGACTTCCTCCATCAATATTTTGACTACACGATGCAGAACCGAGACAGACTATTCTATCAATACGCCTTGATGAACCTAGCAGTCTTGCAAGCAGACTTTGGGTGCTACAGAGAAGCCGTCGCAGCGATGCTCGAAACCGTATCGACGGCCCGCGAGAACCGCGACATGACTTGTCTAAACTTTGCACTTAGCTGGCTCTTCCACTTTGGCAGAGCCCACCCGGACCTTGTCAGGGATCTGGAGGCAGACAGTCTACTCGGCACGGCCAAGGAGAGTCTTTCCTACCTGCGAGTCAAGGCGAAGGAGACGGGCATGTGGACGCTGTGGGCGTCGGTGCTGCTCAGCGAGGCGAAGCTCGGCCTGGCAAACGGCGAGAGCGTGGCGACTTCGGTCGAACTTGTGGTCCGCAGCTCCCATCTCATCGTCGAGCGGAACATGAAGAACATGTTTGGCGCCCAGCTGTCCATCTTGATCGCGCTGTGGGATAGGCTGGGATTGTCGCAGCTCTCAGCCATGGACTGTGAGATTTTCCTTCGGTGTCACGCCAGGCACTCCATCTTTGACGACGAGCTCAAGGTCACATCGCGCTTGGCGTCGCAGCTCGCGGCGAAGGGCAAGTTCGACGAAGCGCTGCAGAAACTCGAGGCCCTCGATGAGAATGCCCTCCGGTCGTGGAAGCCCAGCCAATACTGGTACAAGTACCGCGGCATCATCAAGCTGAAGCGGGACCTGCACCATAACAATCTCGACGGCGCAGAACAGCTCCTGTCACAACTCTTGCAGTCCAAAAAAGACGACTTGGAACCGGACATGGCCTTCGTCGTTGACTTCCTCCACATCGACTGCCTCACGCGGAGAGGGGACCTACAGGCGGCCTTCAACAAAGTCGAAGACATGCTGGCGGCGATACGCGATGATAAGAGAGACGTTTCGCTCCGCGTAAGGCTCATGCTGATCAAGGTCCACCTATATGACAAATGCGGGCGTCCGCAGCGTGGCTTCACCATCGCTATGCGCGCGGCCAGCATGGCGTGGAGGGCGAGGCTGGTCTCCTGTCTGTGGCAGGCCATCGGCGCCATCGCGAATATTCTATCGTCGCTGGGCGAGTTCGAGGCCTCAGCACAGCTACTAACCGCCGTCCTGCCGCGGAGCCTCGAGTGCGATTCCGCGGCGCTGAGCGGGCAGCTGTACTCGTACCTTGCCGACGCCAACATGGGCATGGCGGGGACGATGGCGCCGCAATCGGCCAAGAGGCGGGAGTACCTGACCCGGGCTACGGGTGCTATACAAAAGGCGTTTGATCATTATTCGAGCATCGAGGATATCACGAGGCAGTGCGAGATGATGGCTAAGAAGGCGACTATCATGAAGGTTGCGGGGGATAAGGTGTTGGCGGCGGATTATGCGGCTGCGTATGTAGCTCTGCGCAAGGAGGCGGCGGCACTTGCGATATGACATGTTAGAGCCTCGGCATGTCTGGAGAGGGGAACAATGAGTGGCAGTTTCACGTAGCACAAGGCATGAATACCACCTCGGTGACACTCTCAGGTTTTTAGAAAGCCGCATCTCTCGATTGCTGTGACATAGGGAAAATGTACAGGATAGTCTACCCCCTCAGCAGGCGTGTCACACCCCGAGTCTATGGATCGCTCCCTCGTCGTCTCCTGAATCAGCGATATCACGTTCACACTCAACGGGCTTAATTTAAGCCTTGTCGGGGTTGTGGTAGTTGACGTTGTCGTTCCAGCTGTTTTGAGTGTTAGCCTCTCCCACGAATTCACCCCCTGGTTACCCCTCGCTCGAAATTGAGGAAACCCGGGAAAGCCATAATCAGAGAAACGTACAAGATGGTCTTGTCACCGTTGCCCCATTGGTAGTTCTTGGTGCGGATGTTCTGGTAAGAGTACTCGACGCGCTCCTCCAGAGGGGGCATGTGGCTCCAGTGGTCCCAGTGCTCGTTCCAGAGGACGTAGGCGTTGGCGGCGGCAAGGCCGAGGGCGGGGATGCAGCCGCTGTGAAAGGTAAAAGTCTTGTGTCAGCATTTACACTCTTGGTATGAGTTTCCCGTGCCTGCCCAGCAGTTCCCGGATCAAATCCCGCGGTCTTTTCCGGCCGCTCATGATACTCAACATAGCAGCATTGCCTGAGATGGCCGGGCAGATATCTCGCGGAACGACAGATTCGGTACTCGGGGAAGCATTCGACTGAGGGTTGTGGAGGGGTGGTATGCATACTAGATGGAGATCTTGCGCCAGAGGCCTACTCAATATATTAGCATATCATGTTTTTCCCCAATGTCTATGTACCCCGAACTCGCATCGCCGCTCGAGAGGTCAATTGAACCCAATTGGCTCGCCAGAACTCGAACATTGAAATAGACCGGACTCGGAGAAGGCAGAGAGACGAACCGGTGGTGCCCTCGGCGTGGTGCTTGGCAGCCTCGCGCTCCTTGATGAAAGCGTTCTCGGTGGTGCTGGCGAAGCGGCGCTGGACGGTGGAGCGGACGGCCGGGGCGCGGGCGGCGCGCGCGGCGGCGGAGAGAAGCTGACGCTGCATTTTTGTGTGTTTCGATGTGTATCGGTGGAGGGGAGGGGTTTCGATCGGCCGGGTGGGCGTTGGTGGTGGATTTCGAGGTTTTGTGAAGTCGGAGTCGGAGGATCAGGTCATTCTCTATCCAGAGCTCGGCTAGCGGGAACGTTCACGGCCTTGGAGTGCCTGGATTGTTAGGCGGCAAGATGGTCCTTTGGGGATGACTAAATGATGTCAGGTCATTTGCGGAGAAAGCAGGAAGGGAGGGCACGGGTTCGGTACGTACCTCGACCAACACCAGTCGCTCGTCTCAAGCACCGCAGGCTTACCTTCCCGACTTAGACTCAGGTACCTGACTTCTTCAGAATGAAGAATAAAAAAACAGTGCAAAATCTGTAGAAAATTCATTCACACCGGGACATACGTGATTGAGATAGAAGAATATGCTACGTTCATGAAATCGAAGCGACTTGCATGATGTCGTACTGGGTCACGTGCGTGGAGAATCACGGGACACCGCGCAGACCGTCGCGTTCATCACTTCAATGACGGCAGCTACGTCGCGTTGACCAGGGCTTGACAGTTTAATTGAGGCGTCCCAGCGTCGGTTCTCACGGATTCTAATTCCCAAGAAACTGCACTCGAAACTTGACATCCCGGTCGTCCACCTACGCAATTGGAGGCGAAGGAAGCACTTGAACCACTGGTTTTGATACAGCAACTCATCTCGGGCATGGGCATGAAAGCGACGTGATTCCGGCGTTTGTGATTTCGAGTCTTTTTCAATCGTGATACCAGGAGCAAGCGATTTATCAATCAGGATGGGGTTGCGTATCGTGACATGGAATGGTAAGTTGGTCTCTGGTACATGGACAGACGTTCTTGTTCACTGACAATCCCCGTCCCTTAGTCAACGGCATCAGGTATGTCATCTTCAAATGAGTATATCCAGGCACTTCAACTAACACTGCCGAGAAATCCATTCGGATATCAGCCATGGAGCACACAACGAACATTCCACGTTCGTTTATCCTCTTTACTCGCAGGTTTACACGTGTCTCTGACTAAAGCCCGCAGGCAATGTTCGAGACCCTCGAGGCGGACATCGTAGTCATGCAAGAGACGAAAATCCAACGCAAAGACCTCAAAGATGATATGGTACTAGTACCTGGCTGGGATGTCTTCTTCAGCCTCCCTAGGTACAAAAAAGGTAAGCTCACGGCGTCCATCGTCCCTCACCAGGATTCTCACTTCTCACTCTAGGATATTCCGGTGTCGCTATATATACCCGGAACGCAACCTGCTGCCCCATCCGCGCCGAAGAAGGAATCACAGGTGTCCTCCCTGCCCCAAACTCGTCTACCAGCTTTCGCGACCTGCCAGAAGACCAGCAAATCGGCGGCTACCCGCGCGCGAGCCAGCTCTCAAGCGAAGTAGACGAGGGGACGCTCGACTCGGAAGGCCGGTGCGTCGTCCTCGAATTCCCGGCCTTTGTCCTTATCGGCACCTACAGCCCTGCCACCCGCGACTCGTCTCGCGATGACTTCAGACTGGGCTACCTCGGCGCCCTCGACGCACGCGTGAGAAACCTTGTCGCGGCCGGGAAGCAGGTCATATTGACGGGCGACCTTAACGTCATTCGTGAGGAGATGGATACCTGTAACCTCAGGGAGACGCTCCGCAAGGAAGGCATGACGGTCGAAGAGTGGATGGAAGGGCCAAGCCGAAGGTTCATCAACCAGCTCGTCGTCGGTGGTCAGGTCACAGGCGAACGCGATGAAGGAAAGGAGACACCTGTCCTCCATGATTTGACGCGCTTCTTCCATCCCACCAGACAAAGCATGTTCACCTGCTGGGACACAAAGAGGAATACTCGCCCGGCGAACAACGGCAGCCGGATAGACTACATCCTGTGTTCGTCGGGCATCAAGGACTGGTTCACGGATTCCAACATTCAGGAGGGGCTGATGGGATCTGATCACTGTCCCGTGTACGCAGTCATGAATGACGTCGTCACAACAGACGGTAAGGAATCATCCGTCCTCGACCTGATGAACCCCAGCGGCGTGTTCCACGACGGCAAACGACTCAGGGAGTGGTCACAAAAGGATTTACTCCCTCTATCCGCAAAACTCATCCCCGAGTTCGACCGACGGCGCAACATCCGCGACATGTTCATGAAGAAGCCCGCCCCAAAGCCAGCTCCGAGCCCCGTATCGACTCCCCTCGAGTCACACAGTCTGCTCACCGAAGACGACAGCGACTACCCCGTGACGACTCAGGAGACGCAAGACCTAGACGCCTCGCAGGCGACAACGGCAACCGAAGACGCGCCCGCCACCTCCCAAGCACCCATGCATTCCAGTGCCGCAAAGTTGCCACCCCCCAAGCCGACAACCTCCTTCTCCTCCTCGTCACAAACCACCAACCCGCTCGTAAAACGACCAGCCGAATCGGCAGCATCCGCTAAACGAACCCCCAAGAAGTCGAAAACCAACGAATCCGACGGCAAGGCCCAGAGCACCCTCATGGGCTTCTTCAAGCCAAAGAACCCCTCACCACAAACCCAATCTTCACCCGCTGAAGCAGGCGCGTCGAGGACCAATCAACCACCATCACCGTTCACCAAGAACAAAGCCGCAGGTGTAAAAGGCGGTAGTGCAAATGGCCCAATCCGTGCCCTCTCGGGTTTGTCAGAAACGGCCGGCCCACTCCCCGCGGGCACGGCAGAGTCACCCGGCGGCGGCGGCGGCAAAGACACTTCGCCTCCTTCCTCATCCGCGAAGCCCTTCGAGACGACTTCAGAAAAGGTCTTTGACCCCATCGAGGTCAAGGAATCTTGGTCAAAGTTCAACCTGGGGAAGAGGGTCGTGCCAAAGTGCGAGCACGGGGAGCCCTGCATCAGCTTCCAGACCAAGAAGCCGGGCGTCAACTGCGGTAAGTGAACACCCAACCCAACCACACAACACACATCTTACCCCTTCTTACGCTCGTTTATGCGTCCACCGAGGACTCTGTCCTACCCTCCACTCCCCCTCCCGAAATGTCCCGACCTTGTTCCTTCTTCCATTCATCTCAGAAGCGAGGGCCTGCAGCTGATAATCCACACAGGCAGGTCATTTTTCATCTGCGCTCGTCCTCTGGGAAAGTCCGGAGAAAAGGAAAAGGGGACGGAGTGGAGATGCCCTACTTTTATCTGGAGCAGTGATTGGAAGAAAGGCCAGTCTCAGGGGGCGTAACTGCACATCCATCTCCAAGGGCGACATGGAGTCACATGGAATTCGGCGAACGGCATATGACGAGTTGTGCACGTTACTTTCAGTAAGAAAAGACAGCTAGCTACCTTGACCACGCAGAAGAAGATCAAAGCAATGAGATATGAATATTATGATTCAATTATTGTTCTACTAAATCTATCAAACAATCTATATCAATATTGCGGTGGCTCATCTTCGCATCGTGGCAGAATAGATATCCAATTCTAGGGCAACGACGACAAGAACCGCTCTATTCTTTCGGGTCTTGCTTCTTTTGGACCAGCTTACACCTTTGGGCGAAGCAAAGGCGCCGCCAACGCCCCCACCCGATGGTGCGCCTGGAATCTGCCCATCTTTCTGAGCATATCTGAGTAGAGGAGCTAAGATCTCTGCAGGCTCTGCGGTGCGGAGCTGCCCCAGGCCTTTTGCGAAGCCTTTGATGGTCTCCGCTAGCCCAAAGGGCGGCAGAAGATAAATCTTTTGCTACAGCTGACCAAGGTATGGACGAGTGCCAGGCACAGTGTGTTTGCCTAGTTCTTGCCAGAGCATGACATGTTGAAGCCTTCTAGCTTCTTGACGCAAGCTGGGAGGTAGCTTTGAGGGGAGAAGCGGCACATTCAGCCTACGGACGCAGAGGGGGGTGCTGCCTCGCAGCAACTTGCAGTCGCTCAGTGTATTGCACAGTCATCGAGACCTAGCATGATAGGAACCAATGCAGCGATGCTGTGGTAAACAATTTAGCCCTTCGATTCTTGAGCTCGATCTCAAGAACGAGTTGGCTAGGGCGATTAGGTTGAGGTGCTTCTCCGGTTACGACGACGCTTCTCGGAAGGCTTGCGTGGAGTGTACCGATAGTCAGGGTGCATCTTGTTGTGGCGCTCTTTGTAGGCTTTCGCGAGAGCCTTGTATCTTTCGCGGACTTCGTGAGACTCGTTGTTCCACGCTTTGCCTAGGATTCCGGCTTCTCGAAGGTCAGCGAGATAGTGTAGGGCTATTGATCTTGAGGCACTCACAAATATCATTGTTCTGAAGTTGAGGATTCATCTGCTTGATTTGGGCTTGGTAGTCGCTGCGGTAGAGGATGAAGGCATTGGGAGGTCGTGTGATCTTGACTCGTCGTTCAGGAGCGTTGACAAACTGGGTGGTCGCACCGGGTGCTTCTTCGAGGAGTTGCGGTGGTGGTCGAGGGACGACGACAGCAATACCGTTGACGGATACAATCATGTGTGGTCCGGCGATGAACCTCTCACAAGGCCCAAGGACCCATCTGTCGACGGTGGAATGCATGCCGTCCTTGACCCACATGACTGGTTGGCCCAACATGCGGCTGTGATAATTGTTAGAGATGCATGAAAGAGTAGTATAAAACGGACACGAAGTCGATATGGACGCTTACCCCATCTGCAATGCCATGAAAAGCCGACCCTCCTCGCCAAAAGCAAAGTAGTCTCTTGCGGAGACGGCAATGGTGGACTCAAATGTGTTGAGGCGAAGGTCTAAGATCTCTGTCACAATGTGAAGGATCTCGGGTTGTACTTGGGTGGGATCAATGTTGCGAGCAACGATGTTGCCAGGGTTGAATGTCAACGCCATGGTGAATGGAAATGGCGGTGTAAGGTGGAATGCCGTGTCAATAGGCTATTAGGGGTAATCTTGTGTCTCTTTGGGAGTTTGAGTAAGTAACAAATCAATTAAGGTTCTGATTAAGTGGTGACTGGTTTCTGGGCTGTGATGGAAGAATCTTGATTTGAAGCTGGCTGTGCCGATGGTCATAAATAAGAGATCAGATCAAGCGGGATGCGGATGACAACGGTGGGTATCCGGGAGTTATTGCGGGAGAGATTTGAGGGAGACAACATGGTCCGCGCCAGGATGGATCTGGAGTAGTCCATGGGAAGGAAAGAAGGCCTTACTTGGGAAAGAAAGCGCCACCTTCCCCTCAGGAAGCGAAGAAGTCATAGAATTGGCCGAGGACGTGGTTGGTTGTGGTGTGGAAGGCCCAGCATTCTTTTGTGGGACGATGTCTTGAGGAGGAGAAGGTGTAAGCTGCAGGGGGGGTGTACGTGGGTGTGTTGGTTGAGGTGTGTGGTGTGTGATGAATGCTTCCCATTCCAGGCCTGGCCAGACACCAGACACTACACTTGCCGGGTTTGTCTTTCCACGCAGGAGGGAGGGGTGGTGGTTCTGGAGGGTGTGAGAATACTTGGTTGAGTACTCGCCTTACCTTACCTGCTTATTTCTATTTGCTTTACTCACTTTCCTCACCAACGTGCATACCTACCTACCTTACCACATTACCACACTCATCCGTACATACTAGCCAACCTCGAATTGGAGTCGGGGGACCTCCACGATCGGACCCCGGTTTGGGACACGGCATCTCTCACACTGTACGCACTTGTGACCTTCGAGACGTCTCTTTCTCTTCAGTCACTACAGGTACCCAGGAGCCTCCCCCCCAAGGTACAAGATATTTTGGCTGGGTCACGGCCCGAAGATGCAGGTACCTCGACCTGGCTTGAGCAACAGAAGCCAGGCTTACCTTACCTCACCGCAAGCCCACGCAGCAAGCCTCCGACTGTCATCCACCCTACCATGTCAACGGCCGCCGACGGTCCCTTGGCGAGTCTTTGTGTTCTCCGTCCTCGGCACTGGCAGCTGCAGCCTCGCTTCGCTACCACTACCTTGGCTTACTTCACGGATGCCTGCGGCAGTGCCTGCGGCAGTCTCTATTCAAGGATATCCCCTCTTCCCGGATATGCTTGACCTGCTGCTGACTTACACCAAAAGGTCAAGAACCGCCGTTTTGCTCCCAGCCCGCGCTGGGCATCTTCCAGCCGTGCGCGAGCGCCATGACGCTGAAGCTGTCCCGGAACCGCATTCCAAGGGTCCAGAAAGCCTGGGGATTGTATCAATCGCGTCAATGCTGGGAGCACAAGGGGATATAGCAAGCAAGCCGAAGCATTTTATGATACGTTACTTGGGCGTACATGTTTGTACAGTTCAGATCGCCGACTCGGTGATCATTCTCTGAACATCGCGTCTATGGCTCAACTCGATCACTCGCTGTCACGCTGACGACTCCTTGTGTCCCTGTCGGCTGCGCGCTTAGCGGGCTGTGCATACGAGTTGAAAGCAACCAACGACGCACACAACGTTTTCTCTCGCGTATAATTCCCTTCGATGGCAGAAGCAACACCGACGGCCCGGTTGAGAATCAAGCAGAAAGACTATGTGCGGCGGCCAGTGCAAGGAACATGCTAGGCTGGCCTCGACGCAAAACGTTGCCCGCCAACTTGAAAATCCAGCATCCTGGATGAGAGTATGATATCGCCCGTGCTCGACGACAAGTACCTGCATCTCAATCAAATCGTAAGCCAACGTATCACAGCCCCAGACTCGTGCGAGCTGTCCAAACTGCCTTTACGAGGTTTTGACGACGAGATGGAACATTTGCTGGTGACGAGGCAACAGTTGACTTGTAGCCTCTTTTCGAGAATTTCCCGCCGCACCACATTGTGGAAGATCTGCTAGCTTAATAAGGCTTAGGCGACTAGGCGATCGAGCTGCAATTCCCTGGTCTCGTGTCTTCCTGCCACGCTTGTCTACCAAATACTCCAGCAGTGTTTGGGCCAATCTTTACCCAAAAGTCTCCTCCAGATGTTATCGCGAGCGCTGCATTCGGTAAAGGGGCATTTCTTTTAGCTTATACAATCTTGTGCTGTCTCTTCTTTCTTCTCTCATCACGCCCCCCAAAAAGCTATTTTGACCTCATCTTACCAAATCCCTATTATCTTTTGTCTTTTGTATTTTAGACTCCCCATCATCCCTACAAGCACTTACACCACACTTATCGCTTCACCCTCACCAAAACTCGTGTACCCGTCCTTTCAAGACACAATGTCTCACAATGAGGAACCATCGCCGCCGGAATCCCGCGTTGTTTTGAGAACCCAGGGGATGAACGAAGTCTTGCCGCGTCATGATCTCGACATGTTCACGTCTGCCGGAACTTACCCGCACGGGAGTTGGGAGCTTTCTGAGGTCGGTCAGCCTCACCAATTTCAGGCCGCCTACTGCGTGCGAGATGCTCAGGGGCAAAAGGTGCGAGCGCCAATGCCGCTGGTCAGCCTCTCTGCAGTCACGAATCAAGAAGAGATTTATCAGCACTGCACAGTCTATCACTATGATCCGGGTGAGTGATACGATCGTCAAAAAGACTTTTCAAATGCTGATCTTGAACAGCAGGTCAGAGCCGATGTAATACAGAGCTCCCCCAGGCAGCTCCCACTATTGGCCAGCATCGACATCATCCCAACAATGCTCTGCTGCAGGAGCAAAGCGATTTTCAACAGACGGCATTAGATGTCCAGGCGATGAATCAACAGCACATCAATTTTGACGTCCAAACCGATGGATTTTCTCGGGATGGTGTTGCACTCCTTTCTAGTCCGCCAGCGTATTCGTCAATAGCGGCACAGCGCACAAATCCCATGGGAAAAGACGGGGGAATGACACGGATGTCAACCCAGGGCTCAAACATTATCTGCTTTCCAGCGGAGAACGCCACTGATGAATATTCACGTCGGGAGGATTCGTTAGTTGCCAACGGATCTTTCAACAGCAATTCCTACCACGAGGCGTTTCAACATTCAGCGCCAGACCATGTCCATGACCTTGGGATATTCACACCGCAAGAACCCCTTGACACAGGTGTACAAGGAGAACAGTTCACCATGAACGACTCTTTCACAACTATGACGCTTTCGCCTCAGGCATTTTCACTCGATGATCAGGCATTCGACGAGCTTTTCCGCCAGAGGCACGATGCCAACTACGACTTTGACCAAGCCAACATGAGAGGCAGCCCAAACGGGGTGGTAGATGATGCGGTCACAACCAAAAAGGAAAGATGAAATTTCGCCTTGATTGTTTCTTTTCTCCTTATTTGTTCGGGTTTAGGCATGGGAGGCAAATTGAGGTTAGCAAAGGATGGAAGTTGGGGGCCATTTTCTGCAATGGGGCTACTATGATAGAGTCAAGGGTAGGACAGGCAAACGAGGAATTCTTCATTCTTCTGAAACATTAGGGGCCGACTCAAAGGAGCTGCTTGCTGGTCTTTAGCAATGGGTTGACCGCCTCTTCAGGCGCAAGAGGACTACAATCTGGCTATGGAAAGGCGGTGGGAAGCAAAAGGTAGGGAATAGGGTTTGGTGATGGCCTTACCGTTTCTTGCGTCATTGCCATCATTTCACGTGGCTGGATCACTTTAGGAAAGGCGTGTCGATTAGAAATCATGAAAGAAGCAATTTGGGGCAAAAGAATACAGAGTACATTACTTGCACACTTACCCTTTACGCGTTCGACCCTGTCAGATTATGCAGAGAGGTCGATGACCACGCACGCCAGTGAAGACAGCCGGAGCAAACCAGAGCCATGTGATGCTGGAAGAGGCACGGAACAGGCCTGGCAGAGAGAGCAAATAACAAAGGAACCTCGATGTTCCAACGGTGATTTCTGGAGTAGACAACTATGATTGGTTACCGAGAGATGCAAGAAGGAGCAAACGTTGATACCTTGGCTGCATGATTGGGGGGTTAGACGAGGGTCGTCGAGATTAGCAACCGGGCTAAACCCTATTGGTTCAGCCTCAGCCAGGATGTAGACATGGGTACCTTGTACAAGGACGCACAGATTGTCCCATCTGGGTAGGAAGGAACCTTGGACTTTGACGGGTTCCATGGCCCCCCCCCCCCCCCCCGTGTCTCCTCCTTCACAGGGAGCCACTCACGCAACTCTGTCACTGCCCACTGGTGCGTTCCACGGGCCCCGTTTCTTTCCCCAAATCTCAATCTGCTGTCTCACCCTTCAGATATGCGGGCGAGCTATCGCAAAACATCATCACATCCTCACGGATCAAAACGAAAGAAGTAGAAGACGAAGAAACCCCTAAGAACGCTAGGAGAATTACCACCCACACCTGCCACGGCTCTCGTATTACAACTCATATTCAGACTGATATGGTGGGCACATCACTTCCACTGTCAATGCAGGACAACCTGACCGCAAGAACAAAGCCACCAATGCCATAGCCGCCCCAGCAAACATCTCCCCGCATTGGTCGAGATCGACGCCTGGATCTGGTACTTTGATGGACCCAAGTTCCCTGCAACACCAATGATATCGAGACAGGGAGAAGACTGCGCTGCGCTCCAAGTGAGAGAGTGGGAGAGCGCGCGTTGGTAGACTGGGGGCCTTTTTTTTTTTTTTTTTTTTTTGGTTAAGCCACCACCTCGGACTCAAGATGTGCGGGCGGTCCGCTCAGTCTGTATCAACGCAGTGCTGTCGTTCATCCCTGCCTTCGCTTCATGCGACGCATGCTGGCTCAAGAAGGAAAAGTTGGGTGCGTCCTTGCTAGCCTCTTCCCTGCTTCCCCTTCTTTCCCTCTCTCTTCCAAGCTTTGTCTTCACCGACGAGAGCAACTTGCCCTGACTTGCGACATCCCGCAGTCTGCAGCCACAGCCCCGGCCACGGGAGGGGGGGGGGAGTCGGAGTCATTCACGGGTTTACCCTCCCCCAAATTGATCGTAGTGTATGCTGTTTATTTTTAATTCAATCGCGGCACAGCAAGCCACCTCATTCACCGACATCACCTGTCGAGTAGAATGATGCCGCAGACCGCAACTATCGGCTGATACTTCCAAGATATGCACACGGCTCTTTCCGTATCCTCCAACTCACACCTATGCTCCCAGTTTCGACACAGTGACCAACAAAGTGTACGCCTCGAGAGCAAGAAACTGTCACCGCCTCGAACAGACATGAAGACCCCAGGATCTGAGAGAATCGCCCACCCTGGCCGCCGCCATGACGACCACTGACACCATATGCGCGAGAGAAACGCCTGGGAAATATCCGTAGATAAGCAGGGAGGAAACAAGAACGGAGTCGCCTGAACCCCACCAGGCAACATCCGACGGCTTCCGCAAGACGTTTATGACCAACTAGCGGCACCTGGTTTCCGTCCGACGGATCACCCTCAGGGTCAGCGTTGACATTCCTACCGAAAGCCACATAGACGGCCCCCAACTGTCACGAACCCGGTACTTGACCCTATACTGCTTATCCTTGCCAAGACAGGCGGCCCCCCTGGAGCTGTGACAGTCATGCGCTGCGTGACTGGAGCGCCCTCGGACCCCACTACCAAACCGGGATCCTGTCGTAGCTACGGTCTGATGTTCTCCTCATTGCCCTGCCCTACTGGGAGTCCAACTTCACAGGCTGGATCGAGTTTCTGAGTGCCTCCAGCTACTCCCTCTACCTGGTTCGCGTCTTGGCTCGCAAGGGTTGCCGATACGAACGCGGTAGGTGGCAGTGGTCCTTGGCTGTTTACTATCAACCACTAAGAGGAAGGAAGCAAAGGACAGGAGAGCAGATCTGAAGCGCAAGCCTTGTTTGTTGCGGGAAAGAATCGACAAGATTAAATGCTGCACCGATTTCTAGCACTAAAGCAAGATGCTTGACACAGAGCAACGGTCGAGACAGGGAATATTTAAAATTCCAATCTGCTCTAGCCTGGTAGGGACAGGAAGACGGGGGACATAGTCGCCGATCACTTTATTGCAGGCCAGCAGTCAGTACCTCACGAGGAAGCGCATAGAGTTAACAGCTACAGGCAACAGATTGGCGCTAGGCGCACGTTCGACGAGGTGGCTGTATACAACCTTGTTGTTGTTAGCCGACATGGCGTACTGTGCCGCCCTCGAGATACGAACGAGACTACGTGACGTGGGAGATTCATCGTGCGCGAATACTGACATACGTGCTGAACAGGAGCCCTGTGGGAGACAAAGCGATTGGCGACATATACGGTCGCGCTTTGGAGACTCTTGGTCGAAGAATGGATCATTTACGTGTGGTCGCACAACTCTGTTCTATCACAAAGATCGTGAATTCGTGACAGGCTGCGATCCGAGCCTTCCAGCAGGCATATTCGACATGGCTGCTAGCAACCCCTGGACTGCCCCGCCTCAAGTCTTTTGGTCGCCGTTCATAAATCGAAGGATACTTCCTAATTGGATTGCTCGCAGGCTCACTTCATCACTTCCCCCTAGTTCTCTCCATCACCTGTGCTTCCTTGTTTGTGAGGGTGCCCCTCGTCCGGCTCGACTTCGGAACCGAACCTTCATCTCGTGGCCTCCGAGCAGGGCTCAGCGACCAGGATCAAAGGGAGCAAAGCAAGACGTCTCAGCCAGGGAGGAAATGCCTCGACTTTCATCAAACCGTGTCAATAACGCAAGGCAAACGGTTTCTTTGGGACTAACATGGCGTCTCATTTAACCTTGGCGTCTCGGCAAGATGGCACACAACCTTGAGCAGGATGAAGGCGCCAAAGCTTCCGCTAACTCAACAAAAGAAGCCATTCTTCACCAGGAACCCGGTAATCATCTACTCCTATCCGCCTTCAGCGGGCTTCCGCCAATGTGAAGGCTCTTTTCCCGAGTCTGCATCCTTGGCGATGAAGGGCGACTGATTTCGAACTGGGAGAGAGCACGTACCGCCATCAATCAAAGAAGCCCTATCGGCCCTCAAGAGGCCACGGTAGGGATGATGCTCGCCTTCCAGTCGCTCCTTTTGCGGGTAATTGTTATTGATCGTAACCATCATCTCTTATTGCAGGCAAAAAAAAAAAAAAAACCGAGCCAGAGCACCTTCAATTCGTTAGATAGGCGAGCTTTTGACGCTCATGCCTCTTTTCTTACTACCAAACTAGGTCATCCTAGTTGCCCTATTTTTCCGGACCCTGGGGTAATCTGGCGGACTAAGTCTAGGTGAACGTTTGATGAACGGAATAGGAAAATGCTCTGGGTTCTCGATCGTGCTCATAGCGTCGGGGCGGACAGCCTGGAACCAGTCTGTTCTCCGCCTGGGTCATCCAGAGAAATACATCGTAGAGGGGTCGAGAACGAGAGCATTACTGCTTACTGACTAGCGTCCGATGATATTGTAGCTACCTATCATCTTCATTCTTCTGGAATACACACGAGAGGGCGAGACTTAGGTGGGCATCTCCCGAGAGATGGGGGAGGGTCCCTCTCAAGCCAACGAAAGCCACGGGCCACGCTGATGAAGTTGAAGTTCTCGACTTCGGACGGACAGCGGAGACCCCGGGAACCCTCGGGAGGTGTGGACTGCAACTTCGAGGAGGGGCGCCCACGCCAGAATCTCGGGGAGCCGGGCCCCTCTCCGAAGCAGCGGGAGGCTTATTGCTGGCGCGGGAACTCTAGTGTCTGAGTCAACGCGGGATCTCGGAGGACTTGGATCTGAGTCAAGTGTCTGAGAGTGGAGGTTTGTGTATAGAGCCCAACGCTACCAACCTTACTTCCCGTCGTTGGGCTTATTGACTTGCTCGCCTACACAGCTTTCGGGTGGAAAAGAAACCCAAACCCCCAAGGCCAAGCCGCGAGCCGCGTGCCGAATCGACGCAAAACGTTAAGCTTGACCGCAGGAGGAGAGGAAAGTGAGACAGAACTGCCGTCAGGAGAATAAGAAGAAGGCTGGTCTAGACGAGAGGCGGCCGCGAGGGGAAAGGCGCGAGTAGGAGAACACTTGTTTCGTGCACTGCGTGGGTTCTTCACCACTAATTTCTACTACTGGAATAAATAGTGACATCTGGAACGTTGGCGATTGGATCGGAGCGGGAATGATCTAGGGAGGTGGGAGGGGGGGCACTAGGAGCTTGCCCAGACGGGTCGGACGGCTTTCACGGGTCTGTTGGATATACGCCCCCTTTTTCTTTTTCTTTTATTTCTTTTTGCGTGAAGTGTAGAACGTAGAACGCAAAACGTAAAACGAGGGGGGTATCCTGCGTATCCGACTGTTACGGTGATGCCGATGAAGCTGCTTCTTTTGATCT